CTGCGTTCGAGGTAAGTGAGCGGCCAGCCTGGCATCTTTAGCTGCGGGCGGCTGTTAATTACATAGTCGTCACTACTCTCAATAAAACATACTAGCATGTACCAATTTCCTGTTCATCGAATTACCAGTAAAGACCTATTGTAACTACCCGACGAACCATACGGTAACGCAGAATAGGAATAGGGGAATCGCACGTATAAAATGATGCGATCTGTCGCCATCCGCTATTGACCTCTGGCGGCTCTGGCCCCCTATGAGCACGAATCATGCCAGGATCGCGCTCCCCGCCCGCTCCTTGGCAGCCTAGCCCGACTGGGTGTCTGCTTTCCGGCAGCCGCCCGTGTCCGCACGGATACGGATAGGGGAGATTGGCTTGGCTGTTATCCGTTTCGGGTGACCTGAACCACCCACAGCCAATGTGTTTTACATGACAGAGGAATCCCATACTACAGTACAAAATACAGCGTAGAATCGTTGTGCCATGATTCGCTCGGTGCGACCGACGATCCGCCGGGGATTGATGAACGAGGTCGTATACAACCCGCAGATCAACCCGTGTCCTAGGGCCGTGACCGTTGCATGGAAAAGTGTAGAAAACCAATGGATGGTCCTTGGTAGAGTCGATCGATGGGCACTAAATGCTAATCGTGGTTACAGTACTTAATGATCAGACCCTAGTTAAGCTGCATGATATACAATGTCATTATGTACCCGCGCTAGCCACTGTGAACATAGCATATAGCACTTAGTATGTAGATGAAACATACCCCACTGGCCCCTTTGTCTCTTGTCAGTCCGTCAATGTAAATCTGTGTAAAGTATTCTTGTGACTGGTAAGATGTTTTATCAGATCCCCTTCGCTTACTACGAAGGAATCAGTAAGTTACGTTATTGTTTGTACTCGAAAACTCTACTCTGCTCTGACTGTGTTTCAGATTTATCCTCCGATACACTTTCCGATGTGCAATGTACAACACGCGCGTCATTCCAACGGAGAGAGGGATGTTCCTTGCGGAACACAAACACGCACCTCCTCGCTTCAGGCAGACATGTCACCCCGATCTGCAGGGTCGAGGGATGGTCCGTCGCTAGTACATACGCGGCACAGGTAACTAGTACTATGCAAAGGGGATATAGCCTTGAACATGGAAAGAATCGAAGCTCTGCTTCACATATGACCTCATTGACGGAACGGTGTCTTCATCGCGCAACCGTGGCCTGTTTCATGGTCGTAGAGCCGGAGAATTAAGTTCAGACTCGGCAGGGGCCGCCGGCGGGGTCAAAAGGTTAGAGCGTTGCATCCTCTCTACTAATGTGTCGTGGCAACAACACTAACTAGCAGCCTTGAGGACTATGTATTACCACGCAGGACAATCAAGGGGAGATCGCCGAAGAAGAAGATCATCTTCCCCCGCTTTTACTAGTACATAGATTCATATGCAAGGACTGCGCTGAGATCGACACGGGATGAAGCAGATCAGCTGGTGTGATAGATTCTTCTTTCGTTGGTTAGGCAGCTGAGCCACCTTCGTACGACGTGGAACATGACAGTGTCTACGACATGATCCACATAATAATAGCTGTACAGTACCATTACTGATTATAGAATTCCGAGCCTGAGTGAGTAGAGTAGACTGTGTATGTCATGGTAGGACTCGCTGACATGTCCTCGTGTGAGTAAAATTGCTCAGTATGTACAAGATGTTATGCTACAAATCAGTCATCGGAAGCGCCGTCGCGATCATCAAAAATCATAAACTCGTCACTGCGAGCCTCATTGCCCATGATCTTCTGCCATGCCTCCTTGACCACACCGACGGTCTCGTCTTCGAACGCGAGGTCAAGGTTGGGAGGCGGGAAGCTGTGAACATGGGGCGAATGCTCTGAGAGGGTCGGTGGGATGTCGCCGTTGCTCAACCGCCCCAGCTGGCTGTATCGCAGAGACCAAAGAACAGTGGCTTGGGGTCCTTCTGCTTGAAGTAGTCGGGCCACGGCGGAATCGAGAAGAGACTGGCCGTCTGGCCCGGGTTGAGCCACACTGCCGTAGATGATGCCTGTGCATACTGCGTTAGCGGTATGATTTGAGAAAAGGAAAGTAACAAATCGATAATATCCAAATCCATGCTCGTGATCAGGTTGATAAAGAAATCTCATCAATGGAATTACAGCCAATGTAGATAAGTTTTGAAAAAAATCATCATGCGAGCGGGTCCAGAAGGCATAGGAGCTAGAAGAAAACTTACTCTGCTGTCGGGGACAGTCGCCAGTGTCGCTCGAATGAATCTGCAGATACACCGGGGGAGACTGCGGGCTGTCCAAGGTGGACCCGGGAAACATCAGAACGGCATTGGCAGGGAAAGGGGCCCCTTCAACTGTGACGGGGAAAAGGGACTCGAAGATGGCAGATACAATCGTGATTGACCGCGCGACTTTGATGCCGGAAGATTCACTCTGCTTCTGGGACGGCAGATCCCAGATCGCGCCGACCACGGACCGGGTCTGCACGGACTCTCCGGTGGATAGCTGTACCTTGACAGGATGTTCCTCAGCATCTGAGTCCTCAACCGACTGGATACCCGTATCCAGTGCATAAACGGCCCCGCCAACGGCAGAGGCACGGCAGGCGACCTGCAGGATCTCTGATCCACCACCATATTTGGAGATCACAGCTCCGAAACCAGGCCCGAGCGCACCAATGGATGCCAGATGCCTTTTGACCCGGGGAACAGCGTAGCTGGCAGATGTCTCTGGCTGGGCTAGTTGGGAGAGTGATAGGGATTGCAATGGGTTATGAAGGTCCGCCGGAACGCTGAACTTGGAAGCCAAGTACTCTTCAAAGGGCATGGACAAGTCTTCAGCCTCGGGGGCCAGGTCCTCCTCGTCAGCTGGTTTACTGATATGGCGTAAGAACCGCATCAGAGACCTCTTGGACTTCATGGAGATACGGGTATCCGCGAATACATCCTCGCGGTTGCCCGGGACGCGCTGGAGAACCCGGGCTGCACCGGTGAGAGTGCCATTCTCTTCAGATGTATAGATCCACCAGCTGCCCACCGCCATAAAATCTAGCTGGCGGTAGACCTTGGAAGAGATCAAGGTGGAGATTAGTAGGGATCGGGTGTAAAGGAAGTAGGGGGAGAGGGAGAGGGTGTAAGAACGGCTCGGGGAGAGCTTCGGGCGGTCTGTTTGAGAGGGATCTGGGGCATCGTGGGGTGTTACGATGCTGACATCTTCAAATGGAGATTGACCAGGCCCTAGGAATGGTTAGCGATGCACCGGATGGGGAGATCAACACAACCCACGTTGGTTGACACCGTCCATCCATTGCTGAGCCTCGTCCAGACTGAACGCTGCCTCGGTTCCGCCATAATATGGGTTCTTGTCCACATGAAGGACTTTTTTTCCCGAGCGCGAGAGAGCTCTTTCGTGACCGGGTCAGCGAGAGCTCCAAGCTCATGCTGCCAAGAAAACACTCACAGCGCCAGAAGAGACTCGGCCAGCCCTGTGCCTGCGATGATCACATCCCAAGAGGAATCAGCCAGGGTTTCCATCTCTACATGAGGACGGCGTGAAGCATGAGAAGCAGAGAAGAAAACGAAAACCACGAGAAAAAGAAGCTAGACGATCAGGTGACTGACCGTCTATGCCCAACCGGGTTAGCGCAACAGGATAAATGTGGGCAATATTTTTCCCGCTTCTTTTTCTCTCTTCATCCACTTCCCGTGCTCAGCACAGACAAGTTGCCCTCATATGGCATGCTGGTCTACAATGGCACGACCTTCACTGGTGCAGCCATGTTTGGGGAGTGGGAGATGAGAATCTGGTCACTCTGTATCTGCTGCTCCGGATGGACACATCTGATGGAAGCGGTTCGTTTTGTAGTGATACATTTATGTCTCTAGGGACTATCTCTGTCTGTCGATGGTCATCGGACAGGAAACTATGTAGATGTAGTTGATCCAGCTCGGACAATGAGCGCGTCGCTGCTCTCAGCGGGCGCAATGCCCGACCGGGCGTCCTGGACGTTCTTCTCCCACCACCGCCGTCACCGTCCGAACCCGGGATGGGTGACACGGGTTCTCCGGCAGGATTTTTGTTTGCAATTCTCACCCAGAATAATGCACCGCTGGGGAGTAGAGATGATGCCGTAGGGGAGTATGTCAAGGCTGCAAGAAAGTAGGCGCAGGCCTTCTCACTCCTCGCCTCCCTCTTCCACCACCCGCGCCCGAATGATCTTCACCTCGTCCATAGGCTTGTCGTCGCTACTGGTCTTCACCAGCCCCATCCGCTGAATGATCCTCATACCACTCTTGACGCGACCAAAGATGGTGTGTTTCCCATCCAACCACGGCGTCGGAGCGAGCGTGATGAAGAATTGACTGCCATTGGTATTGGGACCACTGTTGGCCATGCTCAAGACTCCCGCGCCCGTGTGTTTGAGGTCGGAACGGATCTCGTCTTCGAATTTCTCGCCGTAGATGGAGCTGCCTCCTCGGCCAGTGCCAGTGGGATCACCGGTTTGGACCATGAAGTTGGGGATGATGCGGTGGAAGATGACATTGTTGTAGTATCCGCGCTGCGCGAGGGTCGCGAAGTTCTTGCATGTCTAGAGAGCCACAGTCAGTACATGGAACACATGGGGCGGGTGTTCCGCGGGGTTCAGACCTTTGGCGCATGGGTGTTGTAGAGCTCGACGGTGAAGGAGCCCTGCGGGGAGTTAGTGGTAGGTCGCAGAAGATGGATAGAGCACTGGGGTATTACCATCGAAGTATCAAATGCCACGTCAGTCGCCATGGTGAGTGTATGGTGTAGGGAACGAGTTGAGTAAGTGCGTGAAAGGAAAGAAGAGTTGAACAGAGAAAGAAGAGGTCGGTGGAGCTTGGCAGATCCCGATCCCCCAACTAACCAACAATGATTCCCACTTGACAACCACCATGGATTAACTGACGGTTTCACCCTCGCTCATTCATCACTCCCTCACACCCTCCCTGCCCATTACCATGGCCGAAGTCAGCCCCTTCGCGGAGCTGCTCGGGCAGGCCTTCTATCACTTCGACCGCGTCAAGCCTCTCCTTCCGACATACGGCCACCTGCTTGTTTCGGCGCTGTTTCCCATCTGGATCGGTGCTCATGCCTCCCTGTCGCGGCCTTCCTCTGCCGCCAAACCCTCGAAGGAAGACACGGATCCCGAAGACACCGACGATGAGGAGGAGGAATCAAGTCCCATGCAGAAGATGGAGAACCTTGAAGCATCAGATGCCTTGATGTTTCCCTTGACGGCGGGACTAACACTGGGTGGTCTGTACATGGTGATCAAATGGCTGGAAGATCCGGCCATTTTGAACAAGATCCTCAGCTTCTACTTCTCTCAGATGGGACTGTTCTTCGCCATTGCGTTTCTGAAAGACACTCTCTTGGTTCTGAGGTCGTTTCTCTTTCCTAGATACTATCGGCATGCAGGAAAGCTTTGGCAGGTGAACCAATCCGAGCGCGTTTTCAAGGCTTCTGCGACAGACATACGGTGCTCGCCTCTTCCGGGCATCCTTGGTGCAGTTCCTCTGCCCAACAAGATCCTGGCCATGCTCTGGACTTGTCGCCATGTGGCATACCAACGACTCAGACTTCGTGCTCATGTACGCGGCCTGCTGAATGCCAAAGGACTGGTCGGATTGCTGGATCTCCTGAGCGGAACCATTGCTCTGATCGCCGTGGGCTATTTCGCGTTTGTGACTAAACCGTGGTGGTTGACCAACTTCCTCGGCTTCAGCTTCTGCTACGGAGCTCTGCAATTCATGTCGCCTTCGACGTTCTGGACGGGCTCGCTCATTTTGGGATCTTTATTCTTCTATGACATCTACTTTGTCTTTTTCACGCCTCTCATGGTCACGGTCGCCACCAAACTCGATGTACCAATCAAGCTACTCTTCCCACGGCCCACCGAAGACCCGGACGTCGTGTCGTTGGCCATGCTGGGTCTTGGTGATATCGTTGTTCCTGGCATGATGGTTGGTCTGGCCCTACGCTTTGATCTGTTTCTGTATTACCAGCGCAAGGGACTGCAAAAGGCACAAGCAGAAAAGTCGTCCGAGGAAGCGATTGTCAAGCCCGAGTACCAGTCGGCCACCGGCGCTTGGGGGGAACGATTCTGGGCGTCGTCGATCGCGCCAGGTGAGCCTGAGCTCCAACCCCCGTACCACGATGCACGGTCTTTCCCGAAGACATACTTCAAAGCCAGTGTGGTCGGGTATATCTTCGGAATGATCGCCACTCTTTTGGCCATGCAATTCTCAAACCATCCCCAACCGGCTCTCTTGTATTTGGTTCCCGGTGTTTTGACCTCGTTGTGGGGAACTGCGTGGTCCAAGGGCGCGATTCGCACCATGTGGGAATTTTCTGATGCAGAGGAGGTGGAAGAGGATGATGCAGAGAAAAAGAAGGAGGAGGAGGGTAAAAGCAAAGACCCCACACAAAGCCAGAAGAGTCTGATCATGCGTCTCTTCTCGGGCGATGTGAAGGCATTCGGACCAGCCGATAAGAGCTCAGACAAACAGACGACCAAAAAGGCAAGTGAGAACGACTTAGACTCAAAGTCTGATGAAAGCAAGAACGATGATGATGGTCAGGACGAAAAGAAAGCGGTCGATGATGATCTGGACTTGGTCTCCTTCTCTATCTCGTTCCCCCGCAAATCTAAGAAGGAAGCTAGCGATGGTTCATCCGCTGGAGAAGATGAAACAGATGATATGATCGTTGTTTCTGACCTCAGCAACGGTGGAAACGAGCCACCCGCGAAGAGAAGACGACGCAGCCCGAAGAACGAGACTACATCAGGCTAGAGCTTAGGAGGATTGAACTTGCATATCAAGTTGGAGCAAAGGATTTCCATGTTACGACCAACAATAGATAGGTACAAGGACAGCACAATATGATTCGCATTATTCATTCATTTTACATGCCTATATTCAGTAGGGTATAAAGTCAAGCAAAGCCAGACCACTTCCTGACCGTTTGTGATATACATCGGCGTCATCAGACACTACTGCCCAATGCCTCTCCAAAATATCAATCGCTCTAAGAATATTTCGTATCCGTAATGTCTCGTATAGCTTCAAGAGTAGCTCTCGGACTATGACCCTGTCACGGCCAACCGCGTCGCATCTAAATAGCAATCGTCAATATCATATCAATCCCACTTGACTCGGAATAACTAACCCGGCCGTGTAAATGGGAGTAGCGAGAAGGATCCAGGGCGAGAGCGCCTCAACCGGGAGAATACCACACACAACATCCAGGGTCTTCCTCACGCACTCTTGCACCTCAGCGGAGAACGGGCTCATCTTCCGAACACGTCTGTAGAGATGTATGAGAGCCGAATACTGATATGCCGCATTACAAGCGCTAAATTGGCGGATATAATCTTCACTGAGAGACAAATGGGCAGGGACTCGTAGTCCCTCCTCACTGTCCCTCCGGATCATCTCCTGTAACATGCTCTCCAGACGATCTGCTTCTCTTTGCAACTCTGGCTCGGCTGTATCGTCGCTCGTCAGTTCACTGTCGAGAGCCTGCCGCTTCCACGCCGCAGCCCCAATTTCCATAAACGCCACATTAAGATCTGCCGAGTATCCAGTATAGATATCCAAAAGCGGTTTCTCATGCACAGCCTGGCGGATCAAGTCCTGGGAATTTGGTTTCGGAGGCAATCCAATGTCCGTCACAGCGGCCAGAGCTTGAATAGATAGACACCATCTAGCCCATAACCAGCGACTAGGCTCTGGATCCGCCCAGATATCTTTCGGATCCGAAGATTCAAAAATCGCCCTTGCGCCGTTGACATGGACACGCCATGAGGAGTCTGCTTTCCCCGAATATATCTCGCAGTGGCATAATGTCCTGATGGTATGGAGAAGGGCCTGTTTCGGGTGATTCTGAGTTTGTAGCTCTTCACGAAGATGGCGAAGGCTCGCAGACATGTAGTATGAGACTGTTTCTTCGGGGATGAATTGGTTTGGGAGGTTATTGAGGAGTGTGAGGCGATGAAGCGCTGATAATGCCATTGTCGCGTACATCAGTGAGGAAGAGTGGTGCGCTAGAGGAAGGATCTGTCGGCATATTTGATCGCGTATGAGGGTGTGGCTTGAGATCAAGGAGGCGCTGGTGATGAAGTGGTGGAGAAGTAATTTAGTCGTTGACGATAGGGCAGACCATGCATCTAGTCTGGTTGAACAATGGACGAGATCGGTGTGTTGAGGCTCCGGGACATTATTAGTGCCAGGAAGTTGGGCGTTGTCCGGTGCAGCTGCCGGTATTTCGAAAGACTGCTTTCTTTTCGATGTCTTGGGATCCCTGGGGACTCGGCCATTCCATTTGAGAATAACTGAATAGTCACACGTCTCCTCCGCTTGGCGACAGCGCCCACACGCCGGCTTCTGCTCGTCGCACTTCTGGCGGCGCCGTTTGCACCGGACACAGCCGTGGTGAGAACGGGGGGGCATGGCTTAAGGACTAGTGCCGGGGAATAATAATTGACAGGGAGAGAATAAGATGATCATATTCGCACAATTCCGCATCTCCTCGACTTGCTGAGGGCGGGGCACTCCGAGCCGCCGATAGTCTCCTCGACTTACTCCAAACGGCGTAGTGCCGATCTACAGCCGCCTGATAAGGACCTCCCCTCCTCGAACTTCCATAAAAGTGAAGCAGCCAGAAATCTTCTGCGCGAGCGACGTTGGAGATGGGGATGGTCTCCTGGAGTTCCCTAATCAAGTGTCGCAGAAGAATATATAAACCTGCTTATTGACCTACGGAATCCACGGGTCATCGATCAAACTTCCACAATGCTCGCACTTTATGTTCTCGGAGTCGCATGGATTGTCTATACAATCGCCCATATTGTTCGCATACACCAAACTAAAGTGCCGGGTCCTTGGTATACGAAAATAACGAGCCTGGCGCTGAAATACCATGAGTTTACTCGGCAACGCCGACTGTGGATCCATGACCTTCACCAGAAGTACGGGCCGGTTGTTCGGTTGGCTCCAAATGAAGTATCCTTCGCCAACTTAGAAGGCATGAAGGAAATCTACCAAAGTGGAGGGAGTGGCTACGACAAGACCGAGTTCTATGATCTTTTCAAGCAGTACAACTATCGGTGAGTGTTAAATTGCGTGAAAAGAAGCCTCAGAAGCTAACCTGGTCGTAGTACAATGTTTACAACTCTACCGAAGCGCGAGGTTTGTAATATCCGTTTAGGAAGACTTATTTATAGCTGACATGGTTGCAGCACTCGGAAAGAAGAAGGTTGTTCGCAGAGCGCTATGCCATGACCAATATTCTTGGTTCCTCGATTATGGAGGGAATCAGACGGCGCGCTGGTAGCGTGATTAAACAGTGCGAAGCGTCTATGGGCGGCTACTTGGATGTTTATGTATGAGACGAACCTGACAAAACCCGAGATGAGTTACTGATCATGTTCAAGGTGACGCTGCATTGCTATGCGCTCGACTGTGCATCCCATTTCCTCTTCAACCCTGGCGGAACAAATTCACTGATTGACCCGAAGGACTTTGTGCTGATGAAGGAGTTATCCTACCACGACAGTCTGAAGCGTAAGAGACATCCCCTGCTCCCCAAAAAGTTAACGACTCACCAAGAATCAATAGAGCGTCTGATCCAACATTACTGGCCTACCCTGAACAAGCTTATCACGCTGTATAAACCCAAATCTACACCGCTAGCCAAGGATTTCGTTATCAATAGAACACTGGACTCCAAGCCACACGAGTCATCACTCGTCCACAAACTCCGGAGCAAATCTGACTATCTCCAGCCGATCCAGATGGCCGCTGAGAGCATGGACCATATGGCAGCCGGCATTGACACGACGGGCGACGGCCTCTGTTTCTTGATGCATGAGCTCTCTCTGCCACGCTCACAACAAATCCAGCAGAAACTGCATGAAGAGCTGATTCAGAATCCCCATGCTAAACTTGACGAGCTCCCATATTTGGATGCCGTGATCAAGGAAGGTCTGCGCCTGTTCCCTCCGATTCCAATGAGTCTCCCTCGTTACGTTCCTGAGCATGGACGCACTGTCTGTGGGTACACTCTACCTGCGGGATCGATTGTGAGCTGCCAAGCATATTCTCTGCACTTGCTAGACAAAGATGTCTTCCCTGATGCCGAGAAGTTTTTGCCGGACCGATGGCTGCAAAAGGAGGGAGAACTAGAGAGGAACAGGCTGTTCTTTGCATTTGCTTCTGGAGGCCGAGGGTGTATTGGGAAGAAGTATGTTATCTGCTGCAACCACCTTACCAAGATTGAACTAACCATAGTACAATAGTCTTGCTCTCGTAGAGATGAAGACTCTCCTGCGCGAGATCTACTCACGGTTCACGACCAAGGTTTCTGTGGATATGAAGGGCGATATGACTATCGATGATCAGATTATTGCTTCGAGGCCGAAGGATCAGACCTGTCTTTTGTCTTTCCAGGAGGTGACGGTGTAATTATTTCGATCATTCCGACAATAATTCATGATTTAAATGATTATATCTATGGCATGGAAAGTCACCTCTAATTATCAACTGGTAATCATAGTATCATTCCTTCGTACATCTGTAACGGACCAAACGCCGAGAGAGTCAATCAGCATTGGTCGAGTATCCGCTTCATCTCGTCCCATCTCCGCGCGGAGATATCCACCAGCTGCCGGAGATCGTCACTATCGACCGTCCAACCACCATGTTTCTCCATCTTCAGAACAACAGTCTTGCCCTTCCCGCCCTTCTCCTTGTCCACAACGATGCAGACTCTCTCCTGACCCAGATTCTCCTCGTAGCCATCCGGATCTGCCAGAATCCACCTCTGCTGGGATCCCTTCTTCTGGCTCCGAGCTTTCTGCTCTTCAGCATCGGGAATGACAACAGCCCTCCACCCCGCAGCGGCATCCGCCTCAAATACACAGAAGGAGCTAGCCACAGGCAAGCCACGCAAGGAAAGTTTGCTCGCTTCTGACACATTATCCGAGCAGAGAATCATCTCGCTGTCGACATCCCACCACGATCTGGGAAGCTTTGTATCGCGTAGAGCAGCCAGCACAGAGGCCCAAGCGGCGTCAAAGGGATTACCGGCTAGCGAAATGACCATGACATCAATATAGAGAACCCAGAAACCCTTGATTTCTCGATTTTTGTGATCCTCAACGCCACCACTCGGGTTAGGATCCACATCCATTTGCTCATCGTCGTTGTGACGTTCCAGCTCCTCGGCGCCTAAACTCGGTGGTTGATACCAAATGCGTAGGTCGTCCGCACGCACAAGGCGTGTACTGTGAAGCAAGGACAGAAGCTGGTGGGAAAGGGACTGAGCCAAAGCAGAAGGTGGCGCACCTGGAGTAAAACCCGGCGCACAGCCGGTACTCAGGGAAAGATTCGGAACAAGCAGGTTCAGGTCTTCGATGTGTGCGCGGTCGTCGGCAGCGGTGTCTTCGTCCTCCTCATTCGGTTTCTCATTGATCTCAGCCAGTCGACGGCGTTTATTGCTAGCCTCATGTGAGGTTCGCGACACACTCCACGACGCAATATCTTCCGTGCGGAGAATCTCTGCGCGCACGCCGCACACGGCGGCTGTGTCGCCCATGCGCACAACGGCACTGCCATTCGTATGGGTCAGGGAGCCTGCATTGGCGGATGTGACTCGGAATTGTGACGGGGCGCGGCCATTGGCACGGATTGAAGGTTGGTTGCTAGCTGTAGGAGGGGAAAGGTGGGCGAGAAGGTAGGCGTGAGGCTGGAGGCGGGCAAACTGGGATGGTGGTAATGAGAGAGAAGGCGGTACCGGATGGGCGGCTGCCCCTGTTGCTGAGGCCATTTTTGACGACAATACGACTTGACCTAGTTCACAGCCTCCATAGCAAGAATCGCTGTGGAAGAAAAGTCGCGGGCAGAATCATTTGCAAGAGCGGGGCGGTGAAGAATATTTTCTGCCTGAGGCAGAAGTACTGAGCTCACCCCAACAGACAGGGCAGCGGAAGCCCTTACGCTGCCAGCAGTAGGAATGACTGTTGGCTTTTTTCCTAGATTCGGTGGAAGCTGAGGATTAGAAACACTTGTGGTTACGGCAGCAGGGACCGTTCGCTCCTCGGTACTGGATGAGTTGGCTGCAGTGTTTGCTGCTAATTGAGGAAATTAAATCTGAGCGAAAAGACCTCTTGTGTTATCGGTGCTGCACATCTCGGATTGTTTCTAATGGGCCCTATTGTCATTTTTTTTTTCTTAGTTTAAGAGTTCTGGTTACGGTGGTTCCTGACGTATTAGGACTAGACCTGTAGCTATACAGGCGGGCCTCTACTCCACACGAACTTGATCGAATACAGCCATCTTACATACTAAGTGCCAATGCTACAAGAGAGACGGATTGATCTACCATAACGACTAGGATGAAGGCCAATACCAGCGAGGAGATGCTGTTCTCTATAAAGGAAGGGAGAGAATTATAACTACATACATAAGCGATCTGCGAGCCGTAATCTCGCTAGAGCGCTCACAAAGCATAGAATGCGCAGTACCAAGGTTGATGTTGGGATCATACTCTGGACAGAGAAAAAGGACGAAAACGGTACAGTGGTCATCATTCTGTGAAATGCCAGGATGAGAGCGCTCAGTCCTGGAACATCGCTCAGTAATTGGCGTTGCAAACGAGTTGATCGTCCCAAAACCCTGGAGCGTTGTCGTCAATGATGCCGCCTCCAAGATAGGTATTTGGCACTGAATAGCTGGTGCCGTAGATGTCGGTGCCTACACATGGATTCACACCGAAAGCACCCAAGACGGCGTCGCTACTAGGCAAGTTCGCGCAACCGTCCTGGAAGGGCCCGTAAGTATCCCACGTCCAGGTACAGATGCGAGCAGTGCTTATGCAACTGGCCACTGAAAGGTCGGTAGGGTCTTGAGTCGGGGCACAACCCCCGTTCGAACCACAGGTCTGCGTGCATTGCAAGGCGTTCGTAAACAAAATCTGACCAGTCGTGAGAGGGTCGCCACCACCAATAAGCTGTTGTAAAATATCGCTTTTGGAGTCTTGCATGTTGTTGGGATCCACAATACTGTAGGTATCCGTCCCATCGAAGAAATAGCCGCCACAGATACCATTGTCGTCATAGCCGTCCTCGCAGCCAGTATCCCCTGCTCAAATGTTAGCATACTTCAGAACGCGTACACAACGACAACGAGGTCTCTAGAGGGGGTTATATGAAGTCAACTGACATTGTAAATTGCCGCCTTGTTGAAGGCTGTGGACATCTAAGGCTTCGGCGCGTGTGACAGCCAAGCCGAGCTCATTAAGGATGGCGGATATGACATAACCGCCAACTGACTGTGAGATAGTTGAAGTCAGACCGTCAAGCGGTGGACGAACACCGGACAACGGAGTATTCTGGTTCCTAAACGAATGGACGGAAAGTCAGCGAATGCCACACACGAGCACAGCGCCGTATAATATGCTCAGGGTACATGCGAAGGGTGCATTTCTCTCGGCGTTGGAAAGACCCCTCCTGCCCATTTTGACTTACAGGGTAATGAAGGCAGTAATGTTATCCTGAACAACGGGAAGTCCTTTTCCGATTGATGTCTGCCATGAAGATACGAATTTTCCGAGTTCTCCCGCGACATCTGCCCAAACAGTGACATCTCCATCGATATCGCCAGGAGGAAAAAGGAGGCCATGCAGTAGCGTGGACGTTTGAGGCGCAGATCGGAGGAGTGCCTTGAAAAGAACTGTGCCTTCAGAGTACCTACAGGAAAGCAAGACGGTCAGTAATTGTCTCAAGAGCGTGAAAGGCGACTTGAACCCCCGGAAGAGATTTCACTGCCATGGGTGATGCATCAAGCTCCAGAGGAGCCTCCTACCTATGGGCATACGTACAGGCTCAGACCAAACGACAGTGCATCGAAGATATATTCCCAGGGGCTTGTCGAATCATCAGGGGGGTCAAGTGCGGTAACCTGCTTATAATCAGCCCATGTCTTAGAACGGCGATTTGCTCAATGGTATCACTAACGATGCTTCCGATGTTGTCAGAAACAGGGCCCGCTGCATCGCCCACGGCATTGTACAAGTCCAGGAAAGCGCCTTGTGTATTCCAAATGCACCAAGTGACGTAGAAATTCTGCACATTATTGAAACCTGTGAAGTCATTCCACTTAGGTTGCTCGCAGGCCGGGTCGGTGTTGAGCTGATCGCATGTAGACGGCGAGTATGGCGTCATCTTAGAGTACCAGCAATCGGCAAATCCGGGGAAGCTTCCACAATCGTCCTCGTTGTCATTCCACCTAACTTGTAGTCAGCAAATGTCTCTTACTCGGAATGGACATATTGAGCTCCCCCAGAATGTATCACTGCATCAGCGTCGTCGGACGCTTCGGGAAGCCCTCTATCCAACTGTGTACTTACCAGTTTATTATGAAGTCAGGAAGATCAAGCTCATTGAAACAGGAAGCGTCAGGAACACCACCTGCTGCACATTGCGTAGGAACTGGCGCTGGTGGGACTGTGCCAGTACTGACAGCGATGGTGGTAGATGTTCCCACCTCGCATGTGTACGTGGCGCTGCCATCCGATCCAACAGTGGAGCCTACTCCGGCCCCCCAACCGTCGTTGCAACTGTCGAAGCATGAAAGTCAGAAGCTATTTAAAATGGCGCAAGTGAGGCCTCGGAGCGCGTTGTAGGCTTTGGACTTACCTGCAAGCGATGGTTGATGGTAAAGTAACAGGAGAGCTCAGTGGATCTAAGAATGTAGTAGCACTTTGGGAGACAAGACTGCATGATGTGATTGGTGGCGCGGTTGACGTCGTTATTGAAGGAGCAGTGGTTGTTGTGGTGGCGCTGCTAGTGGATGTACTAACAGCGATACTGCTTGCGAACCTCGCCGCAAGAGCAGCCCTTGCCATGAATGCCATCTCGATTGCGGTGGTCTTGTTGGGGCTAAAAATGGAGAGTATGAGTTGCTGGTGTCCATTCTGTGTTCCTAGGACATCATTTATACTTATTTTGCATTTGCTTGCGCCAATGCAAGGCAACCTGAGTACACAAGGCTACGAGAAGACGATCCTTTTTTAGATTGCTACGGTTCGAGGATTGCTATGCATAGCAAGGGACAATTGTTGGAAGGCGTTAATATTTTCTAAACGGAATGCCATGACATGCTGCATGCGCTCAGAACCAAGATGTGATTGGAGGGTTAGTCCTGTTTACAGCCTTATGCATTGGCCGTCCTGATGGGACCATCTAGACCAAGTATTCAGCCTCGCTATTTTTGCCCTAGCGTGTGTTTGATGTTCCTTGGCATCAGATTTGAAGAATTGTGGAAGACATGTATATGCCACTGAGAGCTACACGTGCACAGTCAAAGGAGCATCACATGGAGCTATGTAGATCTTATTATATTTTCCCGGCTTAATTATAAAAATGGCCCCCTTCCCCTTGGGGGCTAGGACTCCTCTCGCGGCGCAAACCTCGACTTCTCCATTCATTTAGTGATTCTGGAATTGACACGAGACCGATTTGTACCTCTGTCCCCGCTCTGCGTGTCGCTTGTTCCATCATAACTTCCAGTTTGTAGATTCTGCTCGGTTGATGGCGGTGGTTTCCGCGTGTTAAAATATAATATTGAATAAGATTCAACAAGACGAAATGATGGAAAAGTCTACATACTCGCCCCCAAGTCGGACCCACAACAGTAATCATTTAGTAAAACAGGCTAGTCCGAAACTAACTAACTCGCAAGATGAACTAAGCCCGCGAACAGGATCATTCGGGGCATTAAGCACCCGTCTACTATAGTCACTATTTCTACAATTCCACTGGTTAGTATAGGCTTTGTACTTTTCTTGTGCTTTTGTCACAACCTTCCAGGGATTTCCCTAGCATAATTAGGAGCTAGCGTCGTCAAATTTGTAGATATTCTTAGGCCCAATTTTATAGGCCTATAGTAGCAAATCCAATTGATTATACTATTTGCAAATAATCGGTAATCGCTCGGCATCTACCCTGTCTGCATCTATGGTTTTCTGGGTATTATAACTATTGTCGATAGTGAGGCTTTTTAGGGAGCACTAGGGCCGATTTTTGGTGACGCCTCGGTCGGAGTCACCTAGTTCTAATTTCATTTGCTATAACCCCAATGTCTTAGAAGCTTAGCTGAGCATTTGCAAGATGAAGCAGCTCTATCTAGCCAAACAAATCCTTGCTCTTAAGGCTTTTCAAGGCAATTATTGACCCCTTGGCGGGCTGAACGAGATAGACGACCGTGAACGTGTCGTAAAAGTCTCCGGTAATCAACTCTGAATTCCTGCGCGACCACTCAGATCTTATGCTTTCCACGACTGGTAGGCTTGTATGGCTTTCTGGATGCGATCATCGGCTCCGCCTGGTCTTTTGGGCACCGTTTTAGTGAGAATGACCCAACTTCACATTAATGCACTCTACGCCCAAGCCAACCATATCTTAAGATACTGCAACCCTATTGAGTAGTTATAGTATATTAAGCCACTGCCTTAGCTACTAGAGCGTGGCCCACAAATCCTCGATTAGTCGGGCGACATCTGGCACTCTTTCTCTCACAACCCCATGCCCCGCCTGTGGAACGACAGCAACGTTCCCGCATCCCAACTTGGTGCAAGTCCTGCACGCTGCACAACTCGTCCAGCTCTCCTAGGACGCAAAGACCTTTGATGTCTCTTTTTGCTGCTTCAACAAATTTAGCATGTTTATCCAGGATCCTACCATCACTAAAAATACCCACTACGCTGGCTATGTGCCCTTCATGGTCCCTCATTTGCCAGTCTCGAATTGCCTCCGCAACTACTTCGCCTCGACCTACTCTCTCCCTCCAATCTAGAAGGACAGTTAATTCGCCTCCTTTTAGAAGCTCTCAGATCCACGCTCGCGCCCGCTCCTCTAATCCCTCGCCGCTATGCAAGTAATTCCACTGCAACTCTTCGTAGAAGGTAAAGAGGTCTATAATCGATGACGTTGGCGCCCAGTCGGCTGATCTAACACCCGCAGAGGGAAATGATTTAACATAGTTAGTTCATACAGATCATCGTTACTATACTATATTCGATATTTATATCGTACGTACCTCGCGAAGGGCGAAGGGGACGATAGGGGGCCAAGGATTATTATTGTCCGCTGTATGAGTTTAAAAGAGAACACTGATGAAGCTGTTCTCGGTGATCTTAGCCAGGAATAGTCCTATTTTAGAGGGTTTGGTTCTAACCAGTTCAAGAAGTTATCAGATGTGGGTCCCATTGTGAATCCACATTAAGGTTGGATGTTCCATGGTTAGGTGTGATATGGCTTCCCAACAGAGAAGTTGTACGGAGTGCTTATATGTGCCTCGAGACACTATGCCTACTTACTTGCCATACTTTTCTAACAAGAGGGGATGAGGATCCGAAATGCTCCTAGAACTAACAAATTCGGCGAACCATTCTTCGTCTCTCTGTAGCCTTACTGGTCGAATCTCGATCGCCTGGACCCCACGGCTAGGTATATCCTCCCTTTGGCGGCTTACAGGTAAGACCTAAAACTTTCTAGTCGACGGAGTTTTGCCAATATCTTTTCGAATTCCCTCGTTACAGACCCGATTCGAACCAGGCCGGTAGATCGTGGATTCCCGTCCCGTTGAGAGTGGAATAAGGGATCTTGGATTCGCCACCACAGGGGAGAAGGCTATCTAAACACTCCCCAGGGCGGCGTAGGGCCGAGACCGCTCTACTGACATATTCGGCGCCGAATGTTGTCTAATGCCCAGATGCGGTAATTTGATTAGAAATAGCACCGAACCCTTTTCAGTATATATATACCTTGAGATGGCGCCAGAGCTGTCCGTTACGACAGCACTCACGAGTAACCCCGTGATTGCAATAAGCCATAACCTGCGATCGACTTTGACCATTTCGCCGCTTGCCATTCGCCATTCGCCATTCGCATTTTACCTCACCGCACCTTGAGCAGAGCAATCGATAGTTCTGCATTCGTTCGACTTCTCTTGCAACAAGTCACTTTCGAACGATAATCCATCTTGTGGAGTTTTGATCTTAGAACTATGTATCATCTCAACCCGCCGCACAAGGAAATCAATGGGCACACAGTCACTCCCAAAGACTTCCATGTGGACCAGCGAACCGGATTTGTGCCGCCACAGATGCCTCTGCGGAGGCTTTCTGATGAATGGGAGATATGGGAGGCTACTCTAGATGTTGCGAAGTCACAGAAACTCAAGGTGGCTGAACAGGCTCTATTGTTGGATGCTCAACAGAGAATAGTCGCGGAGGACAAAGCACGGGCTTGGAGGAAGACTGTTGAGAAGGTACGGATGGAAGTTCCATCAATTAGCATATCTCTGATTGATCCTTGCCAGATGCCGGTGTTATCGATCAACAATCTCAAAGGATGTGAAAGGGAGCTCAGAAGAGCACATCTTGTCCTTGCTTTTACAGTTCAGTTCTATACACATACTGTTCCCTCAACGGAGCCCATCACTGTTCCTCGGTCGCTCACCGTCCCTCTCCTCCGCGTCTCTAAGGAACTTCAGCACGCCCCTTATATTACCTATTCTGACCACGCCCTTAACAACTGGTCTCACAAAGAACCACGCGAGGAAGGAGCCCTTCCGACAAGCGATAACCTCCAGGCCCAGACCACGTTTACAGGGACCTCTGACGAGAACGAGTTTCATATGACGGACATCCGCATAGAACTGAAAGGCGCCGAAGCTGTCGAGTTGATGAGGTTAGTCACTGATGAGATTGTAGGTAGCGATAATCCCGATGTTGGGCGAATTGCGGGGTATCTCAGACGCGCGGCTGCTGTTATTGAGCAGATGAAAGATGTTTTGATGAGTACCAAGAAACTAGTTAAACCTGAAGCATTCTACAACGAAATCAGCCCATGGCTTATGGGGGCCAACGCTGATTCTTGGAGCCGAAAATGGGTGTGGGAAGGTAGCGAGGAGGTTGAGGGCTCGGCAGAAATGCTGGCAAAGACCAATGGTCCGACTGCAGCCCAGAGCCCTCTGGTCCCCACTCTGGACGCGTATCTCGGTCTAGAGGAGGACGAGAGCAAGAGCGCTTTCCTGGATCGCGTTCGTATTTATATGATTTGTGACCACGAGGCGTTTCTTCAGCACCTTCGATCGAATGGTCGCCCAATTCATTCCTTCGTTGAGAAAATATCTAGGGAGCAGGGTGCGGATGCGCCAGTTGTGACTGCATATGATGCTGCTATCAACGCGATGAAGGGTTTTAGAGAGGCACACCTCATTATTGTGACATTGTATGTCATAATACCCGCCAGACAAGCCAAAGTGAGGGCTGGAAATCCTGGGATGAGTGTCACCATGTCAGCTAAACCATCTGGTACCGAAGCTGGGGCAGTGGGGAAGATGGAAGACGAAAATCCGGCGAATGGTGTTCCCGGAAAGGGTGACAGAGACACTGAAAAGGCAGCAGCCAAAGGTAGTCAAGAGTTCCAGCTGATGGAATTTTTGAAGGGATTTAGGGACCAGACAAATTATGGTCGTGTCGGTTAATCTTCTGGTGGCGAGTTTCTTTTCGAAGATCCTGACTTTCGATTTTGACTTCATCAATAGTAATAGGATCTATCAAGAATTGTTCTCTATGCTTATACGCGTCGACGAGGCCCACTCGAAGCAACTTCCCTCTTTGCCGACTAATGATCGTTCCAACGAACCTTATTTTCCCGATCAGGCCTTCTCTCAAGACTCTCCGCACCAAGGCATGCTAAAGTGACTGGTGGGAAACCTGGCTTGTGGAATGGGCTGCGGATGGCTTGGAACGCGATTGAGAGAGTCTCTGAACTTTAATAATCCCAGCCCTCGAAGATTTCCTCAACCTAACTCGGCCATTTCAATTAGAGCATGGCCAATGTTTAGACACATGCCGTTATACCCGACGCCTCTAGCCCCGGCGTTCGTGGGGCAATGAATTGTGATGGTTAGGTTAGTTGCTTTGGCATGGGCAACGTGATAGATAGTATATTCCGAGGGAGGCTCAAGCCAATCACATCAGTAAGTGAAAGTAGAAAAGGCGAACGTTATACCACAAGTACGAAAGATTAGCTTTATCAATAGCACAAAAAGAGAGTATAACACAGCTTATGAATCATGGCTATATCATTGCCCTAAAGCACCTGCTTTGATTTTTTAGCAGTTTAGATCTAGCAACCTTCTAATCCACCGATATGTGGTATTTCATTAGTAGCGAAAACTTATTTAAATAGCCTATTGTACTACACCACAGCGCTAGGCGACGGTAAATCGGGTGCCGGAAAGGACTACCTTGGACGCCATTTTCGGCGCCCTTTTCACTCGGTTGCTCTCTGAGCACCCCTCGATTGCTGTCCGGTCCCACCGAACTTCTCGGTCTTCTCGACAACCGTCGGTTCCGACCCGACACGGCCTTGTACACCAAAAGATTCGCACTACAGTACACAAGGTACACTCTACGATTGTTTCTCGAAATCTAATGTCTAGTATACACTAGTACGTATTTAGATTTTCTCCAAAAATCCCCGGTGTTTACAAAAAGTAACCTAGACAGGAGCGGGGCACATTCGCTCGTATAGCTCAAAAATACGAGACCTCGTCGCCCACCGTAAGCTTTCTCCCAAGTCTATCGTCCTCTCATCATCCCCCAGAACACTGATCGTGGTGTAGCTTTCAGGCATGGCGACTTTACCGGTGACGCTCCCGGTCTGCCGGGAGTTCAGCTCAAGAGAGCGACTTGAGGTGTGTCATTCTTCTCATCTTACCCGACGGATACTCAGGCGATGCTAAGCCCGTCTGACCTCATAAAGGCCCATATCGAGCTCATGCGAAAGTTCAAATGCATTTTGAATGATGTAGAGTACCCAAGTAGGCACGCAGATAGATTCCCGCCCCCGCCGCCTGGCGTTTCAGGCCCGGAAGAAGAGGCGAGATGGAGAGTGCAATGCCTGCTGATGAGCGCTGAGGTCCGGTACTCGATGTACCTGCAAAGTTTAGAAAGGTGGATTGCGTCTCATGGGCTCCAATCACCCAAGGATGAGTGGCCACTCCCACCATGGTGTGACAGTCTCGATTTTTCGTGTTGCCTCCTTTGGGGAAACGGAGGGAGTATGGACTAACATACTTTGGCAGGGACGTGGCCATCATATTCTATGCTCATCTCCTCTCACCATTCAACTTTCAGCAAGAAATCGTATCAAATTTTCCAAATCTGTGGAAAGCAGAGATCGAATTTCCTCTTGCAAGGATGCGTTCAACCAATACCGATGAAGCTAGTAAACGTGCCTGGATGAAGGAATATCCCGATATACTTTATCAGGTTGTCGAGTTCACTCCTACTGGTGACCACGCATACATCACTACTGAAGATGCCATGGGCATACACGGCTATAAATGTGGCCGGACGCAGTGCGCCACGAAGGCGACGGAGGGAGCGCATGTCATCCGAATGACCGAATGGCCCAAATACCGTGTTGGCCGAGCCATGATCATCTGTCCGTGTTGTCATATTGAGATGTTCATCGGCAGAACGGTCGAGGCTCCCGGAGTGCTCAAATTCTCTCGTGCTGCATTCGGGTTCCCCATCTTCGACCTATGGGACAGCCCTCAACGACAGTTTGGTAACCAAGCTTTTGTAGACCGGATTTTGGCCTTGACCCAGGCTGAAGCCCCGTTGCCAGACCATGTCTCCCGCTACCTGAAGTTCTTACAGCTCATGAAAGAGAATAAATGTACGCTTGTTCCAACACTCGACATCGATCTCCTCTGGCACACCCACCAGCTCTCACCGGTCGCATACGAGAAGTACTGCAAGAAGTACTTGGGCCGACGGATCAATCACGTCGATACCATCCGCGCGATGATGCGCTCCATGGGGCAGGACGATACGGCGCGCCTCTGGGCGACGCGGTACGGCGAGTCATACTTTGACCCGGAAAATACGGCCAAGTCTACCGAGATCAAGCGAGGCAAAGCCACGTGGAAGGAGGCCAAACAATCCGTCAAGCTGGCACTGCGGCTGCGTAAGCTGCGTTACTACCGCCAGCCTCACTGTCAGCTGCTGCGGGGGCGGGAAGATACACGCCAGTCGCTGATGGAGGAGCGTACCTACAAGTGGCACGAAGCGGAGACTCTCGAAGGTGAGGGCCGGGGTCTGTTGGGGGAGCAAGAGCGCCTCAACAAGAAATGGGAGGAGGCAGAGAAGAGGAGGCGGCTGCTGGAGGAGCGACTCGCGGCCCAGGTGGCCTCGGCAACAGAAGCGATCTGGCAGGGTAATGCCGATGGCACGGATAAGCACAACGATCAGCACCAGCAGCAGTACCAGGAGGACCGGTATAACGGATCGTGGTACTCGATCGTGCCGTCAGAGGTGCAGTCCTATGTGCGTCCCATTGTGGATGGGGCGTACCATAGGAAGTCGAATGTACTGTATTCTAGGACGGGCGGCTACGTGGGAGGAGGAGGAGGAGGAGGAGGTGGTGGTGGAGGAGGAGGTGGATGTGGTGCAGGAGCAACATATGACGCAGCAGGAGGATGCGGCGGCGGCGGCGGCGGCGGCGGCGGAGGATGTGGAGGAGGGTGTGGAGGTGGTGGTTAAGGCGTGAAATAGCAACGGGAGTGCCGTGACAAGCCCCTATCGACATCAGCAACTTCTGCCTTGGAACTTATATAAGGGGTGTTTGGACGGTGGAAACCCGAGAAAGCAGCCACAAGAGATGGGAGCTCGGTTGCTTTGGTTCTTTTTCGATTGTCCGAGTCATTTGACTCCTCACAGGCCGGCCGGGAGGTTACTTTAGACATCTTACTGTCTGCTTTTAGGAATTGATCATGAAGCCGAATGATACAGGCTCATGCCTATTCGTTGACTACGAAATAAGTTGAGGGCAAGAGTTGTAGGGTGTGTAAAACCGACGTAGGAGGCTTCAGGCGGAGCTGGGATTGAGCGCAGCTTGGATTGAGCGCAGCGAGTCGCCGGGCTTCACCGTCCCAGGACGAGGTAGCACGATTGAACTCTTTGCCATCTCGTTCATAAATGTGAGATGGTAGGATACAGGTCACTTAGGTGAAAAGGTTTGCTTAGGAGGGTGAAAAGGAACTAGTAACGGCTCACCATTTATTTGGTAGATGTGGACAAAGGCTACATAGGAAAAGGAGAACAGTGGGCATTAATCATGTCAGATTGCTAGGTTTTCCTCTCTGTTTGGAAAACCCACCTAGAGAATTCTACCGAAATTTAAGGAGACCTAATCATAGTAATGGTCTACAGAGGTACTATATAAACAAAATCTTCTCCTACTCCACGACAGCTTTACCCGAGCTAGGGATGATAGGGGAATAGCCAATATGACCACCAATTCCACCATCTTTCTCAACGAGTCGGTATTTGTTCATGGGTAAGCTCTACAATGACGGAGTACCGACGGAAAACCCTCCGTCCTCAGGCGGCACCTCCTCAGCTTTGACGGACTGGCCGTTTTCCCTCTAAAGACCTAGCTGCAGAAACGTCCAATTGGGATCCGTTCGGCTACAAGACATTTGACTACCTTGACATGAACCTCGACCACGTCGAGTGGACCGTAAAGACCGAACTTGCCGTTCCAGAATCCCGCGTTTAATTCATTTTGTGGCTCACAAATGCACTGGGGCACTTCGAAATTCGCCTTAACCAAGGGGGTTACAACCATTCATTCCAAGACCTCGCAGCGCTGTTGGATATCAATAGACTATTGCTCGAGGACTTTGCCCCCTTTCTTTCACCATCGCATCGTATCCCGGTTATTTCCCCACAGCAGCCGCAGGACCCAGAAGCTCCTACCGGGCTGCTTAATCCGGATTTGATGCAACGACCGATCCTGATAAATGGGCGCAGAAAATGGTTTCAGTGGCCAATTTCGGCGGTCGATTCACCGTCACCTAGCGTTGTGGTGTAATGTCTTTTCATCTACCCAGTGGATTTAAATAAGGGCGGTTGTCTGTTCGATTTCCATTTTTAGAGCTATAAACGTCAGCGGAGCTAATAACTCACCTAGGCAATAAGCTGTATTGAATGCATCATTGGTCGAATCGGCATCATTCACTGAACCGTTATCCACTGAAGCGTTCTCGATTAAAATGTCCAATTCACCTTCGTACAGGGTACTGTGTTGGGTGATTTGACTCCTTCAGTAATTATTCAGTGCTCGGCGCTAATGCAGCCCCGTCACCCCCATCACCGAGGGCACCGTGCTGATTGGCTTCGCGGGCGCTAGTCCATCACGCATCACTGGCAACCGACTCGATGCTCAGCGACTCGCCCATGCGGCCTCAAGGCCATGGCTTCTATTTTTGTGTATGCCCGTCACATTGTGCGACCCCCGCTTCCTGCCATACATCAAGCACAAATCTTCCGCTTCTTTCTTTTCTTTTCTGTCTCTCCAACCTCCAGTCGGTTTACTTCAGGTTGACCAGACCCTGAGGCCATGGGCTTGGTGCAGCTATAGCAAAGGAGGGAGCGCTAGTTAATCGAAAGTCGGTCAGTCATACTGCACAACAATCCAAGTCTCCGCTGACGGGATCACTCTAGAAGACGAGCTTCTGGCTGTTGTGAAGGCTGGGCCTTCACCAAATCATCTGCAAAATGAACTCAATCGTTCCTCTCGCAAAGCGCCTTATTGTGCCCATCACGGCCTCGATCACCGCAGCGGATCAGCGGGAAATGAATCGGGATCCGTGGGCGAAGTCGTGGAAGTATGGTGTCGGATTTGTCTACTTCGCAGTCGTGCTGCTGGCCTTCACCACTGCCATTCGATTCTTTCATATCTGGGGCGACAAGATTCGCGTTGCCTTGCACCGGGAAAGCAACCCGCAGCCCGTTACCCAGCATCAACAATCTAACTCGGAGGGATATTCACCCTCCAGTGCTACGACGGACAATTCCACCGCCCAGTTCTTCCCCCAGCAGGCTGCCCGAATGCCCGTGCCCAGAAGGGAAGAGTCGTTCATTTCGAAGATCGTCCCGGTGAATAAGGCTATTGCGCTCTCGCGATGGATCTTCTACCGGCCGATTCCAACGCTGAGGATCGGGAAGCTGGAATTTGTCTTTCCATCGCTGGCTGTAACGGTGATCATTCTGGCGGCGCTGATATTCGTCACGCTATACTGCTTTCTTCCTCAACCACTGTACTTTTGGTCGATCAAGCTCGGCTCACCACCACTGGCTATTCGGGCGGGCATGCTCGCAGTGGCCATGGTGCCGTGGATTGTTGCGCTCGCCACCAAGGCGAACTTCATCAGCATGCTCACGGGCCTCAGTGCTGAGCGACTGAATGGATTACACCGGTGGTCTGCATATCTCTGCCTCTTTCTCAGTCTGGTCCACACGGTTCCGTTCTACGTGACTCCAGTCTGGAAGAACCCTACCGCTTATACCAACTACCGTCTGCTTATTGGCACAAATATTTACATCTATGGAACAGGCGTTGCGGCGCTGGTGCCCCTGCTGGTGCTGTGTGTTCACTCACTTCCTTTCCTGCGCCACAAATTGTACGAACTTTTCATCGTCATCCACATTCCGGTGTCGTTCATCTTCGTGGCCATGCTCTTCTGGCATACGATGAACTTCCTCAAATCATGGGCCTACCTGTGGATCACCATCGCCATCTGGGTTGTGTCGTACATAATTCGGCTGTTCTACCTGAACTGGACAAACCCGTTCCATACGAAGTCTTTCATGATCGGCGAGGAGTCGGCCGTGACGCTTCTGCCACAGAATGCAATCAAGGTCACCATTCCAACAAGGCTACGCTGGCGACCTGGTCAGTACGTTTACCTGCGCATGCCAGGCATCGCGTTTATGGAAAGTCACCCGTTCACCATCGCGTCGCTCTGCAGCGATGACTTTCCGTCTGCGTACGGCGAGAAATACCGCGACATGACGTTGGTTTTCCGTCCGTTCCACGGCTTCACGCGTAAGGTTTTCCGGAAGGCATTGACTGGGAGCCCCTACAAGACCTACACCGCGCTTCTGGAAGGGCCATACGGTGGCATGCAGCGTGAGATGGCCGCGTTTGACGATGTGATCTTTTTCGCCGGTGGCAGTGGTATTACAGCTATTGCCAGCCAGCTTCTGGATCTCATAAAGAAGATTCGTGACGGCAAAGCCGTGACCAAGTCTGTACGGGTCGTCTGGGCATTGAAGACCCCCGAGACGATGGAGTGGTTCCAGGAAGAACTGCGCATCTGTCGGGACTATGCACCGCCCAACATCGTCAATTGCCATTTCTTCCTGACAAACATTAAGGACAACCGTGCCAGCCGTGATCTCGTCCAGGAGAAAATCTACGACATGCTGCAGGGTATTGATAAGCGCAACTCGGCGTATATCCGTGAAGCAGCTGGCGGTGATGCGGAGAGGGAGAAGGAACTGCGTCGCGAGAATGAGGATGGTCTCGCTGCGCTGCCTAATGCGTACATGGCTTCCCACATTGCTCCTACTAGGCAATACTTCCAGCAGCCACAGTTCCAAGAAGCTCAGATTCAACAAGCGCAGTTCCAGCAATTGCAGTTCCAACAATCGCAATTCCAACAAGCTCAGTTCCAGCAGTTCCGGCAACCTGCCATTCCACAGGCATACTACCCCCAACCCGAGCCTCAAGTATCTTCGCCAGGATACATTCCCCCCAGTCCCAACAATGGAGCCCAGGTACCCTTTGACTTTGGCTTCGCGGCCCAGCCGTCACCTTACGCTGCACCACCAGCACAGCCCTCCCCCCAGAGGACACCGCCGCGCTTCGCCTATCTCCAACCATCCCAAAGACGAGAAAATTGGCGGACAGACTACTTCCGACCCAACATCCCAGAGATGCTGAACGAGTTCTCGAACAGCTTTGGTCGTCGCGCCTGCGTGTTTGTCTGTGGACCGCCGAGTATGCGAGTCCAGGTGGCCAACACGGTGGCCAAGCTGCAGCTGAAGGTGTTGGCTGATTCGTCCAAGGATGAAATCTTCTTGCATGCGGAGAACTATAATATCTGATTTCTTTGCGATTAAATCTTGTTTATATAATATCTTCCGTCTTGTTGTTGGGATGCATTTTCGTCTCTTGCTGTTCGATATATACTATACCCTCTGAGTTTCAGTATTTGAGATCTTGAATGTCTTAAACAATCTATTCAATTGTAGAGTAGCTAGCTCCATTGATCCATCTGGAGTAGACTTTACATGGGACGGAAGAACGGGTAGCTATGCATCGAAAACCAGTATAACTCCAAAAGCAAAGCAATGATTCTCGAAAAGGGTATCCAAGGTAACACAAAAAACAATGCAAAGCAATCACCGCCGCGAGGCCGACTGGTGCTCATTCTCCTCTGCCTTCCTCTTCCTCGAACCCGTATCCTCCCTGTCCAAAACCCGGGACTCGTTTAATGGCTGCACGCCATGATCACCTTCGTCGCCATCCTCAGCCTCGACCTTCTCCCAGTCTTCATCATCTGGGTCATTGGGAGACGTAGTGTTGCGTGTATCCTCACCTATTGCAGACGTACGTTCATCTTCTTCGGTCCACTGTACAGCTAGCCGGACGATTCTCGCTCCAGATGGCTGCAACCGACGATAGTATCCCTCGACCACAGCGGATTCGACTTGAAACCCTCGCGCAGTGTACCACTTCAACCCTTCCTCGTTCGCCTCGTGGACATGTGCAGTCACGCTGCGGATGTTGTAATGCTTCACCAGCTCCGAGACTCTATATTTGCCTTCCGAGTCTGGCGGCGAAGCGAAAAGCAGTGAATTTAACAACGCAGCAGCCACGCCGTGTCCCCGGTATGGAGAGAGAAGGTGCAGAGTCTGGATGTAGAGGTTTGTCGGCTGGTGAGTCTGCTCTTCGGTCGACTGAGACACTCTCTCCAGGCGGCAGCGGATCCCGCCGATCACCTTGTCTGTCCCCGCTGACGCGCCGGACCCAAGAGCTACCGACGCCGGTGTGGACGCTGGAGCTGCCACAACAGGGTGGTCATGGTAAATGGCGACGCGCGACAGAGACGCAATAACGGGGTCTGTGATCGTGGCCGTATAGAAGGAGTTGGGGTAACGGATTGGAAGTAGCAGACCCGTAATCCGTGTCAGGGAAGGGATATGTGCTGTCCGAATAGTCTCGACCGTAATATGCGGATGTGGAGTCACGTAGCCAGAGGGAATCGACTGTGGATATGGCTGGAAGGACTTCTCCTGTTTATGTGTCTTCGGCTTGGATGCCGTCGCGACAGCCGATTGAGGGGGTTGGAGGGGCGGCGGGTGGATGGGAGGCCTGGTCGTCGCTCTGCCAGCACCTGGAGGAGGCGATGCAGACGAGGAGGACGACCGAGACTGCTTAGCGAAGAACTGGTAGGCCATGGGCAGCAGGCACGGAACTGGCGAAGAGGAAGAAGGGGAGGATTATTGAATGCGGAGTTGGCGATAAGATAAGAACGGACAGCGAGACCGCTGCACCGACCGAGCGACTTGGCTTGGACAACTTCACGCCCGGTCTTCGCCCCAGCACTTGTTCCTCCCCCCGGCACCGTCATCGAGCAGGCATTCCCCGTGAGTTCTCTCCTCTGTCATGCCCGATTGAGTCGTTGTCTATCCCGGATTGGCGCATCGATAATATTTCGGAACTTCAGGCTCTTGATTTGCGCGGCTCCCATTCAGGGCTCCGAATCATCCACCTCCGACATTCACTGACACTCTCCGAACAGGGCTCGACGCTCTCTGCCAATCGCCTTTCCTTTCTTTCCTATGTTTGTTACCTTTCGCCTTGCCCGACCCACTCGGAGCTCCATTTTTTCTTGCGCCGACGGGGACCCGGACCCTGCGCAGACCTGTCTTTGCCGTCAGTACATGGAGACATAGACACCGCCGACTTGAATCGATTGGACCGCCCGGGTGCGAGGCGGCTTGACTGTGTCGCGGGCAGACACAGCCATTTGCCGCAGGAACGGACGACCGAGGTTGGTACTGGACGGAAAGGGGGCAACAGCGAGTTCTGACGTTTCGGGCTTGTAGAAGGACTCTCTGAAATGGCCGACTCCAAGGGCGGTGGTGGCGGCAAGCCGATATATCCTGCTGGAACGATCGCCAAAGTGGTGTGTTTTTTTTTTTTTTTTTTACTGCGCTGGTGGCGGACTAGCTCTAATTTCTGTCGTTGTCCAGTCCACCGATATCCTGAACGAGACCTTTCACAATATCATCCACGACCTGGTTTCCAAAGTCCACCGCGAGGAGAAAATTGCGCGGATGCGCTCCGCCGTGACTCTTGCTCGTCAGAAGGCGGAGGCGACGATTGACGAGTCGGAGGAGACGGTAGTAGACCCGAAGAAGGAAGATGTTGTGGACCAGAAGAACGTGGCGGACCTACAATTGGAGACGGAGGGAGCCGTATTCGATAGGGGCAAGGTTTTCTTGAAGGGCAATCCGCTACACACCACAAAGCAGATCATCTGTCCGGAGTGTCGCCTACCACGCCTGCTATACCCACCCACCGGGTCCAATGCGGTCCCGCCACCAGATCCGCACGCTGAATACTGTCAGAATCAGCCATTGGTCACAGTGCCAGGTCACGATGTGCACGGGAAACTGTTCTCGGTGATGCCGAACCCGAAAAAGAAGAAAGAAGACGATACGATCCCCACCGTCCCAACCAACAAGTGTCCTATCTGCCCGCGCTATTTTGTGATCAGCCGTCTGGCGCAGCACATGGACCGGTGCATGAATATCTCCGGACGAGGCAGCGCGCGCAACCAGACCCCAACCGACGGCAGTGCGGGATCGGGCAGCGGCGCCAGCAGCCCGACCTCCTCGGCATCAAAACGCGCGCATGCGGCAGACGACGAGGACGGAAGTCCCAGCCCGACCAAGAAGAAGAAGCTGAATGGGCCCAAGAAGAATGTCACCGCCAAACCGGGTCCCAGCAAGCTCAAGAACTCGTTCACGATCGAGGACAATGACGATGATATCAAGAGCGAGAATGCAGACACAACCGACCTCTGATGTTGGTCTTTCGGGTGTAATTGGCGTTTTCTTTTTAATCTCTTTTAGTCTTTTTGTTTTGTGTCTCCTCATGGATCTATCCGATGGCGTTTGGTCGGGTGGGATTTTGCATAGATGATCGGGGCGGGTTGTACAATACTTCTAGGTATACCATACACTTCAAGACGTGTCGAATGCTGTTTCTTTTCGTCGTTGGGCCTTTGCCGAGTTTATAGATTTACCAGTGTTTGGCTACTTCACCATGAAGCTTGAGTCGTGTCAGACATCATCAGGATAAACCAAGCAACCAGGAAATGGAATGCAACGTAGTATCTCCCTATGGACTGAATAGTTGCATGTCTCATTTTATACCTCGTGTTGGCTTATTCGGGCGGAAAGTGGTGACTCACGGGTTAGGCGGGCCATTCTCTTCATCTGGGGAAAAGGGGAAAAAAAGGCACATAAGCCTTGAATTCCCCCCAGAAATACACTCCAACTCTGACGGCCAATTGTCACCAGGGGACAAATCAACCAGCCAAAATGCCCGTCCACTATAACACCCACACAAGAGAGCCCTACTTACGCTTGCCGACACCCTTATCCAACATAATCATCACCCCCCACCGACTGAGCCAGCTAGAAGAAACAGTCGCCGCACAAGTCCGGTTCTTCAATGATCCCATAGTCTACCTTAATCTCGAGGGTACTCCCTACCCCTATCTCCCCGAACACGGAGAGGAATGGGTGAAGATGAAATGCGAGGCCGGAGAGCCGGTCCTCAGCGCCGTGCGTGCGGAATTCGAGAATCCGAATACCGAAAAACAGTTCTTTGATTCTTGCCCCCTCACTGTCATCCGCGAAGTCACGGAGCAGGACCCCGAGACGGGACATCCGCTGAAGGATATCATGATTGGCGATATTGGCCTGGCTCGGTATTCCTTCTATGAAGATGGCTATGGCACTGAGAAGAGGGCGGAGGCGCAGCGTCTGAACAATGAGTTGGCTGCTGGCGATGAGAGGATTGTTTGGGGAGTAGGAGGTATGTCGTCTCGACTTTCGCGGGATGGGCATTGCGATTTGTGACTTACTGATGATCCATTGCAGATTACCTTTCTCCGTCTCACCACGGGAGGGGAATCATGACTCTTGCCATGAGAACGGTGCTCCAGGACTGGGGTGTGCCACGCATGAATATCCACATCCTCAGGAGTTGTGCTTTTGTGGAGAATAAAGGTAGTCTCAGAGTCTTCGAGAAGAATAACTTCGAGGTGGTCTGCACTTTGAAGGATTGGGCGCCTGTTTCTGAGAGCAGAGGTGGCGGGACCAAGTCGCTTGTGATTGTCAACTGGAAGGGCCTGTAACCATGCTTTTGGGTTTGTTTATTGTTTATTTGACTTAAGCGAGCGAGGAGGACATGCTCAACCAGATGTCTTCTACATATCCCTTATTTTCAACCAATATACAATGTATACTTCGACCACTCTTCATCCTTCTTGAGCCTCACGGTCTCTTCATATTTCAGACAAAGCAAAACGTCAATATCGCCCTGCTCCGTCTGTGGCAAGAAGTAGAGAAGGCTTTGGACGGGTTTGGAGGTCGGCCGTCGAATAACGGCCGGCTTGCCCAGGAGACCAAATTCCAGAGTGTAGGCATTAACGCCCGCCCATGAAGACGCATTGATCCAGGTATCCGGATTAAAGCCCTGCACAAAGTTGAACGTACTCTTATCGGGCTCCGAGTCGATGAGCGTTGCCAGACTGCGCAGGAAGTTCTGGTCTCGGATCCTTTGGAGGTCTTTCCGGAGGTGTGCTGCCACTGTCTCCAGAGATGATTCCTCTATTTGGCGGAGAGTCATTGTCGAGAATGTTTTCACAGCTAGTTGTCCCATGTACTGTGCCGGGACACTCAAGATGCGTCGGCAGTCCACTGCGCGGGAGAACCCAGTTATGGCGTCCGGGCTGTTATAGAGGTGGAGGCGGACTGCGCTGAGACGTTTCCATACAAAGGCACTTAGCGCATCGTCTATTGACGGCGTATTACACATCTCTGCAATTGACCTGAGGCTTGTTGCGCTGAAGGGAAAGTGCTGAAATGCCGGACGAGGGCCTGGCGGCGGTGGAGGCCGCAATGGTCTATTCAGAGCAGACGGACAGCGCATTGCGCTATGGTCATACTGGATCTCGTCCTGGCCCAGAAGAGGGAATATGGACCTGCGGTCCCGGTTGTTGATCTCGATGGCAGGTTGTGGAAGTTCCCCATTTTGAAGGGATGTGGCCAGAAGCTGGAGGAATTGATCGATGCCGCCCATGTCGCACATATTATGCTGGGCGGCACAGTCGAGTATGATGCCATTTTTGATCCATGTGCCTGTCAGAGTCAGGACAGGCGCAGATTCATCCTCGTAGCTGTCTGGCAGGGTTGTCTCGGCTGATAGCAGCGAACAATCCAGCATATCGCTTGATCCGTTGGAACGGATGATATCATCGTAGGAAGGGCACACATCAGACCGATCCTGGACTTTAAGGATGCCTTCAGCTTTTGTGCATGAGCAGATGGCGAAAACACCAGAACATCCAGCACCGGTGCCGCGGTTGACGACTCTGCCCGCTAGCCAGGGCAAAGCTGTTGTTAATCGCTGACACGCCTTTTGCAGGGACTCGACGACTGTTTCTCGTGGCTTTATGTCCGGATAGTGGAAGCACAAAGCAAGATGGGTGTATCCCTTCAGACGGGGCAGTTGCCCGAAGACATCTCGCGAGCCGGGCAATTCCTGCATGGTGGTTTGAGGAGATGAAGTGGAGAGAGACTGGCCGGAGTTCACCGGTCCGCCACGTGAATTATATACTCCTACACATATCTAACTGGTAGGTTGTAGATAGTAAATTAATGCGATAAAACGGTATTTCTACAACGTTATTTCATGTCAGGACTCGTCCGCGGTTATTCAGATAATCCCAGCCAGCGCATTCCATCGCAAACCCGCAACACCTGGTCAGCCACCCTCTGCCCTGCAGACTTAATTCAATACAATGCGGTGCCATCGGCACAATCCCACATTCTACTCGCGGACTTGCTGGAAACGCGTCACGGTATTTGTCGACGGCCTCCTGCGTGGAGATCCAGAGTTCGTCAAATTCGCTGATGCCATACATCACCGGCACCTTGATCGCATGTGAGTACCGATGCCATGAATCAAGCCAAGTTGTGTTTATGTCAATCAATTCTTGGATAGGAGTCGGCTTATTGAGCCGCTCAGAAAATTGAGCCACTTGAGGATTGGTGATCTTCCTGGCTGGCAGCTGGAGCATTGCGGCGTCCTTGATGACCGGATCGAACTTTGCATGTGTTTGCTCGGTCGATCCAACCAGACTCAAAAACTTGGCACTGATTTCCAGATTTAGCTCCGCACCAATTCCCGAAGTGATCAGTCCGGCCAAGGGGTAACGACCACTGTCTTGACCAGCAGCACTGATAGCCATCATGCCGCCAATGGAGTGCGCCAGAAGGACAACCGTTGTTGCGCCCGACTTTCCTCCGAATTCCTCCCATACGGCGGGGAGAACTGATGTGTTGAGGTATAAGCCTTGCCAGTGCGCGAATGTCTCGTCTTTGCGAGGCCCATCGCTAGGAAAAGGAGACGGGAAACGGTCACTCTCGCCGTAGCCTGGGCGGTCTATAGCAACGACGGGGATGCCCAAGGCCTCTGTGACGGCGGTAATCGAGTACTCGGGGCTGGCATCGAAGTATTCCGAATCATAGCTGCCGCCGTGGATGCAAACAAGCAAAGGTAAGAACTTGCCGGGGGCGCGATTTTTAGGGATAGAAAAGCGGCCAGAGAAGTGGCTATGAGGAAGTTCGATTTTGAAGGTCTGCATGGCGAATAACTAATTATCTATTGCTGTTGAGTGAGTTCAGTAGCTGTTCATTTACAAGGCAGAAAGGCTATGGCATGCCCCGCAATTTATTTTCCGACACCAATAGTTCGGATATTTAGCATTTTAGCATTATTGATATTAATAAGTGGCAGATTTAGCTGCGTGTCATTGACAGGCTGTAGAACACAAAAAATTGTACGAGAACTCCATCACCTCATTCGTAATAATCATCTGTTCTTTATGTCGAGTAGATCGACGGTAACGAATCCACCAGCATTGTGTTCTTCCTCTTTGTGCACACGACAGAGGAGCCCGCCTATGCTGTATATTCGGGTTTTTGTGCTTGACTATCCCAGTTCAGCCAGTCAAACATGCCATCACTGTCGAGACTGTTTGTAAACATTGCCAGATCATTATTGAGCTCGACATCAAAATTGGCCATTTCTAGCTGTGCTGTAGTCGGCATAATTGAGGCAGTATTGCTAAAAAGGGAATTCAAATGGAGCATGTCCGCGCCAGATAACCTGCCGTATGGTAAACTCCCTCGTGGTAATGCTGAGCTCTGCGCTGCTAAGACGTCGGCATTTTGCCTTGTAGAATCTGGGCGATATAGCACAGATCTCGCGTGCTGCACGAACACCTTTGCGATGCCCTCTAAGCTTGCCGCAAGTGAGTTCCGCGAGCTTAGTTCCTTCAAATATCTTGGGAGTTGCTCCATAGCAGCCAATGCTTCCTTGCTGTCTTCCAGGTTACGTTTGCCATTGGACAGGATGTCGCAAAACAGAATTAATAAAGGGGTAAATGGGCAGCATACAGGCTGTTGGTATGCACGATGGAAGTGGTTGAAGGGTTTAAAGTCAATATGTCTAAGAACTTCTTCAATGCCAAATTCGCGTTTTTTAATGGCAGTTTGACTACCAGCCAATAGATTAAAGATTAGAACGCTTGTATCCTATAGCCTCAGATATATGAAATATTATTTTAGGAGATGGGTTGCTTCTGCAGCCGATCTAAATAAAGGGTTGGCGCGAGCAGGGTATGGTAGCTGTCTTAGCTGTTCTTAACAAAGCTTCGCAGGGTACAAAAGTTATGTGAAGTAATGTTAATACTCATTTTACCTTTCCTTTTTTCCCTTCTATTTTGAGTCATCCTTTGTAGCAACTGAAACAGCTACTGTTCATGGGCTCCCGCGGTGGACACCGGCACATCTCGCTGGACTTGCAATCCTCCAATTTTGCCACATTATTTCTGGCGGCTTCCATATCATATTCTGTATTATCATTTTACTCCGTTAGCTCCCTCATCATGATCGGGTTAGTACAGTATAGAAGCGACCAACTCCATAACTAGTTCCTGCTGGCGGTGAGGTGAAACTACTTCCCGCACACCTTCGTCTTCCACTTCAACCGCTCCCTAACAAGATGGCCCTTACTGCCTGGGCCACTCCCCGGCTCTCCCAACTCCTCCCCTTGGATGAAGAGTCACTCGTTCAGATTATCGACTACGCTGCCAGTCTGTCCAAGGATGCCAGCGCCGACCACCTGAAAAACCTTCTGGGCGACTCCCCCGCCGCCCTCGAGTTCATCGCCTCGTTCAACGCCCGCCGGGAGTCCTCTTCACGAAGCGAACCTGCACATACCGAAACACGGACCAAAAAGAAGAAGGCACCACTCCACAGTACCGGTCCGCCGCGCCGACCGGACAATTACGGCGATGTGGGCGGAGGGTACAAGAAAGCCGAGCAGGAGGAGGACTACATGTCATCCTCACATCTCAAACCAGTTATTGCAACGGGATCCTCATCACATGGCTCGTCCGCTTCCTCCTCCCGTGTTCAATCGCCTATGCCGGCAATGAAGGCACCGCCTTCGGCCTCTGGACCCGTGCTCTCCGACATGCTGCCGAACGTACGCTCGAAGGCGAGCAAGCCCGCCCGACAGAGAGGCTCCGCCAGTCCCTCCAAGGGCGGCGGTTCGCTCACTACGAACAACATCTCTGACCTGACTGCCGCCATCGCCGCATTAGAGTTGTCCACCAATCCGACGCTGGGCGCGGAGAGACGGAAATGCAGTTGCTACGCCACAATCCACCCGTTGTTCGATCCCGCGCCAAACTGTCTCAGTTGTGGGAAAATCATTTGCTCACTGGAGGGTTTACAACCATGTTCCTTCTGTGGCACCCCGCTTCTCTCCGCAGATGAAGTGCAAAGCATGATTCGTGAATTACGCGCCGAGCGCGGACAGGAGAAGATGCGGGCACATAATGAGGGTGTTCATCACGATGGCGGTCCACGACCTGTTTCCGGATCTTCCTCGCCGAGTAAACTCGATGCCGCCAAGGCACATCGTGACAGGCTACTTGAATTCCAAGCGCAGAATGCTCGTCGGACAAAAGTCGTTGATGAAGCAGCCGACTTTGAGACACCGAACGTCGCCTCAACATTATGGATGAGTCCAGCGCAGCGGGCACTGGCGCTGAAAAAGCAGCAGCGCATCCAGCGCGAGATGGAAGACAAAGCTCGCCCGGAGTGGGAGAAGAAGAAGACAGTGATGAGCTTGGATATCAAGGGCGGCAAGGTGCGACGCGTGTATCAGTCTGCCGCGGCGGAGCCAACACCGGAGCCCAGTGAACATGATCCTTATGATGCGGCGGAAGAGGGCTCAGCAGAGCCTTCAAGTGGTGGACATGCATTCAGCCGGAACCCACTTCTCGCGGCTGGAGGGCTAATGCGTCCTGTCTGGCGTGCGCCGGATGGTAAAACCCAAGACCAATCGGAGCGGACAGAGCGGACGGAGCGATCGCAGACGTGGAGACGCGTGCAAGACGATATTGATGACAACGAGCAGTGGATTCTTGATGGTGGGCTGCACGGGTACAATACCTAAGCTGCAGGTCACCTATATCATTTTCGATACACTACCTTATTCCAGGCTCTTGCCGGAAACAACTGGACCCGACCATCGAACGTGCGCAGCACTGCGTCTCTCTCTGCCCCTGCGTCTTGAATCGCCAATGGAACGGAGCTTTATACCCGGGCGACGCTGGAATCGCCTACTCAGCAACCCAGAGGGCCATATCGACCGCTGCCTGCGACACATTGTCGGTCTATCAGCTAGACCCCATGGTGATCTACGGTGAGCAGATACTCAGCAATTTGGTAAGGATCGAATACTGGCAGTCTAAATGCGGCGCCATTTATGGATTCGATTGAAACCGATCATGGCTGAAGAGATGGCCTGATAGATAGGATCAAACCAGAGGGTGCTCACTGTCCCCAGTAATTGCCATTGCCATTCTTGATATTGCAAATGCATATAAAAGGTATGCATTTGCAATATTTTAAATAGCTGCAGCGGGACAGCAGTGAATCTCCATCATTGTGGCCTATTTGTTTAGTCTTCTAAACCTTGCGAATACCAGGAACATTAATGCTACTGCCTCACCTCATCTTTCCCTCTTAAATAGACCCATTCCATCTTAAGCAGATCTTAGAGAGCGGTCTAGATGCACGGGGGCCGCTTCTGGTCCAAGGGTTGTAGCATCCGCTAGAGCAGCATTGACGGTTTGTGCCACACTTCTTGTCCACTACATTCAGGTTCAGTATCAGGTTGCTATCTCTCTCTGAAGGTGCCATCAAGGAGGAACGGTTGAAGACGGTGCGCTTGAACTAGATCAAATAGACCCAAATGGTTTATCTCGACTCAAGATGATGATGTACTAGACATCTGAACGCGTTTATCTGATATTCTACACAGTAAGAATCTTGACCTCGTCCATATGAGACAATGAATTTAATATCCCTCTCTTTTGCCCGCCGCAGCAGCGCCCCTAGCTGTCGCCAGTTCCTTCTGCATTCCATCACCAATGACACCAACGTCCGTGTTGACAGAGATCATGTGGAAACCCTGCTCAGCGCGGACCCGGGCATCTTCGCCATTTGTACAGAAGATGGCAGCCTTCTTACCTGCCGCGTTAGCAGCGGCCAAAGTGCGCAGGATGGCAGCTTCATGTTCTTCACCGCCACGCTGGACGCCCATTTGCTTGGCGAGGTCGAATGGACCTTGTCACAGGTCAGTAAATATCTCAAACACAGTGAGAGTTATCTCATTTCACTTACCAATGAAAAGCACATCAATCCCATCAACCTTGGCAATCTTCTCCACATTCTCAACACCAGACCGCGACTCAATCTGTACAACCACCAAAACCCCATCATTTGCGTTGTCATCATGGTCACTTCCGGGCATGACCTCCGGGAAAGAGTGCGTCGCAAACATGGGCCCGTACCCACGCGTGCCGAGAGGCGGGTACTTGGCGTAACTGACAATCTTGGCCGCATCAGCCTCGGAATGGCACATGGGTGTCATGATGCCGTGAGCGCCTGCGTCGAGGGCGCGCTTAATCATCCACTCCTCACCCCAGGGAACGCGGATGATGGGGCTTGCGCGTTCGGCACCGACGGCGTTGTTGAGCTGGTTGAGTTAGCTTGCCGGAATAATATGAGGCTAGCAACAGACACGTACCTCATAGTAATTCGAGTCCGAGATCAGTCCGTGCTCGGCATCGACGAGGACCCAACTGAACCGGTCAGCGGGGGACGTGGACGGTCTGTGCAGAATAGTTTTGGCAACGGCGGCGCTGGGGAGCCTGTTCGGAAAGAATCTGAGTTAGTCGAGTCCTCGAATTGTGCATGAGATGCAGAAGACCAAAACACCTACGTGAGCCAGAAGCCCCAGGCCACGGATGGGCCCTTGAGCGCTGTACGGATGGCGGTGTTGAATGGCATGCTGAGGGAGTGTCTGGGAGGTAGGGAAAGGTGACGAAACAATTTCTGGCGGACAATCGCGGGGGTACACCAGACACTCGGCCTTGTCCCCGCTCGGAATCTCGGCGGGATCATGGCCCGAGTTACTGTCAAGCGGACTTGCGCCGGTTGGTATTAGCTCATCGCACGGTTGTGGGGCGTGGGGGTTAGTGAGGGTGCGGGCTAAACTAGATGCAGCAATACGTGGGAAGAGCAGGGCCGGCTAGTGCTATGCATTGGTCCGTCCATACTGGTTGCATGAGCCCGCCTCTCTTCATACCTAGTACACAGTAATGCTTTCTGTGATAATTATTATTAAGAATGACCATAATGTATACATCATGTGGAACAGCATCGATCTTCATCGCTCGGTGGTAATCATGGAACGACCTTTAACGGCGACGCGCCATCGTTCCCCAGCTTTATCACGACCTTGACGGCATCAGACGCCTTGGGCTCGAGAATGTGTACAGGCAGTACACCATCGTCCGGAGCAGGCACAACGATCTCCCCCCACCGACGGCTTCCAAGTCAAACGTCAGGACAATCATCGCCACGAGAGAGAGGATCTCGATCGTGGCAAAATGCCGCCCAGGGCAGAGAGTCTTGCCGCCTCCAAACGACCGGAATGCCGCCGGGTGGACGCTCGGCCTTGCCGACCCGCCTTGCTGCGGCTTGAGGAAACGGCCCGGGTTGAAGACGTCCACGTCGTCGCCCCAGATCTGCTTGTCGGCATGGATCACGCCGCCTGCGACCTGGACCACTGAGTTTGCCTTGAGGAGATACCGCTCCACCAACAGTGTATCGGTCTTCACGAGGCGCGTTGAGAAGTTGTTCGAGCCCAGCCGCAAACACTCGCGGAATACGGCCTGTAGAATGGGGCACTCGTTCTTCACACCGTCCATGCTTAGCGTTCGCTCGCCCTCACCCTTACCCGCGAACTTGGACAGCTCGCTACGCACGGCGGCCAACAGCTCCGGCCGCGCGAAGATCTGCAGCACTACCCAGAAGGTCGTCGTAGCAGTGTTGACGATACCCGCGAACAGGAAGGACAGCTCCGAGCGCGCGGTGCTGGAGGCTGGCCATCCGTACTCTTCTGCAATGGCGACACGCTTGCGCACGATCGCCGCCGCCTCACGCTCATAGCCAGCGGTGATATACTCGGTGAAGGCGGACGCCAGGGCCTCCCGCCCGCGGTACGGCTTGCGCGCAGTGATGGAAGGCGCGAGGCCCATCAGCAGGAGGCCGAGACCGTGATCAAAGTCCCAGAAGGCCTGCTCTAGCTCTGGGTGTACGGCGATGGGGTTGTTTGGCCCGTAGAGAAACTGCGCCGTACCGACCGTTACAAAGTGGCGCACCCACTCGAGCAAGTCAACCTTGACAGCCGGTACTCCGCCTGGCTGTCGGTGCTGCAGGTCCGCGACGTAGGTGTTGATCTGGCGGCTCAATTCCGTAGCGGCGCCGGAGCTCAGGCTTTCGAGCGCCTCGCCGGGTCCGAGGTGGCGGTACATCATGTCGTGCATGTCGGCCAGGAAGCCACGCCGGTCGTCGCCAGGTTCGGGATCCAGGTTCTGGCGGACGGCGGCCACGGTGGCATCGTCAAGCCCCAGCACGCGCTTGGTGATATCTGGCACGAGAGGTGTGAAGGATAAGGCGCGTGAGGCGCGTTGGACAGCGGCCGCCAGGACCGGGTCCGTGACGACGTAGATGCGCGACCGGGGCATGGGAAGAGTGAATATGGGCTTGTCGCGATTGGTGATCCTGACAGAGAGGTCAGAATCAGGGGGGTTGCTTCCCGTATGCCCATGGCTAGGTTTTGCTTACCCTATGGACTTGATGTAGCGCCCGCCATTGACGATCATGCCGAGCAAGTGGCCCACGAAGGGTACCACACTGGTAATGACGGGCGGCTCTTGGGGGTGCAGCTTTGCTGAAGACAGGTAGAAGCTCGAGATAATCACCACCATGAGGGCCGCGGCCCATGAGGTGGTGACCCCAGAGAGCGGCCATTGGTCTGGTAAGTGCATGAGTGTCATCTTCTTGTCATCCTGGGAAAAGAATTATGGACTGGGCAATAAATGTGTAACAGTCGGGACGAGACCCTCACCGAAAAAAAGAGTCAAGTCCAACCGGGGAAATTGAGAACTGAAGAATGCGGGGAGAGTCCCTGCGCAGGGATTTGTGGGGGCCGGAGGACAAATCACTATTTTCATAGGTTAATCTCATGCCTCGATGAACAATCTCATTGTCCTGCTGTACACATACCGGAATAAGTCAAGAAAATAGAGGTTAAAAATATATATGATTCAACCATAGTCCGTCCTGGCTCAAGAGATTCGAAAGTTTGTGAAGTATAACTATAAATTCCCAACCACCTAGGGACTTCGCGAGGGTCTGCAGATAAATAGGAAATGGGTTAGTATTAGTTTCTCTTATCTTTCCGGGAGAGAGCAATAAAATCTTGACAAGTACTTATCGTTGCATATCCCGTCTATCATGAAAAAAAAAATCCGCAAGTTACTTCCATCGCTAGCATTAACGCCGCCGGAAGAGATAACGCACACAGGCTGACCAAACATCTCCTGGGCATCGACTGAAAAGGTCTGCTAGGTCAGCTTGAAGTAGACCCGTGCATCGACTTGGTACAGACAGCAAGCGGGCATCTTTGGCAGTGACTGGGGTGAAAACTGCTAACCATGTTGAATAGTGCACAACGATACCGCTGGTCAAATTGCAAAACTATCGCCTGGACTCCCTTAGCCCCAGCAACGTTGGAGCTAAGCACGAAAATAGTCCAACAGCGTGCTTCAACAAAAGGATACTTGTCCTTGGGGCTTCTCGAGATTTGATTATTGGACTGACCGAGTTATACCCCCTGTCAACAATCATCTTGGACCGGATGAGTGCGAGCTAGTCTTACAATACAACACGCCATAGATGAAACCTACAGGGGCCATAAAGTGATTCTGCCGCCCAAAGTTTACAAGGGCGATAAAGATGATCTGCTCCCTGATTGCACGGGCCATAAGGATGATCGGCAGGCCGACGTAGGAACGCTTGACTACAGTCGCGCGGCAAACTTAGTATGCTTGCCTGGCAGGGCCTACTGGGAAACTGTTCTGACTTGCAAAAAGGTTGCTGACGATGATGGCCCGCAAACATCGCAAGTGCCTATATTCACTCATACGGCAAGGATATTCAAGATCCATTATGCAGTCAATATCCCAGGTCAAAACCTGTCAACTTCTCCCTGGCCTTGCCAGTTGCTCTCGTATGTCTGACCAGGTGAGCCCCAGAAAAGACCCGGCTTTTTACCTCCTCGTCTTAGTGCCTTTTCTCGAGCACGAACCCTTCGACTCTGCTCTTTGCTCCGGCGCTTCTTGGCCTTCTCCTCTGCCCTCGTGGCAGAATCTTTGCCGGTAAATAGCCCCATCAGCCGATCCATGGCCGTTTAAATGAGGTTGCAATGGATACTGCCCGACAAGAAGACTGGAACACAGAGAATGTCCAAGTTGTTGATCCAGCAATTACCAGCTGGGCCTTGAATGGATGTCAGTATGCGGCTCTCTTCGCTTCAGGGATGACATACTGCGTTTAACCGTTGACGAGATGCCAAATCTCTCTTAGACGCGTTTGAGCAAGGATGGATTCACGGTCACAAAGGATCCAACAGTGGGTGGAGTATGTTCCTATTTGTAAAATCCAGCCCCTATGTTAATGCCTCAGGCTGAAACCCCGCAGCAACACTTCAAGGTGAAAGGATGTAGTAAGATGTTTTTATTCTTGTCAAGATAGCTAAATTAAAATGAACAGACAGTAGAAAACTGCGCCTCCTGGTAATATCATCTATTTTACACAGGATGAGTCCCTTCGGCTTCTAGTAACAGTTTGTTTTTGCCTATGGCCCCCATGTTCCATGATGTCATGTCGCTCATTTGAGATCAGTCAGTGGCTTGCTGATCACTAATTAGAGTGGGCTTTTCAATCTGCAACGTACAACCGACGTGGGTCTGGTCTGATTGCTATACCACTAGGGTATTGTCCTGAGACTAAATATAGTTTTGGAGAAGGCAGCCACATGGCAGTTACTGAATGAATCCATGAGACGCTGATAAGTTCTTTATTCGGAAATTTTAGGCAGAGTAATGAGTCAAGTATTGGAAGTGTTGGTAGATCGAGATCGCTGTTAAATTTGTAATGGCTATCCCACAATCCCAACAGCAAACAATGTGATGGTTGCTACATACAGAAATCCCGGGTGCTCGCGCATCATCAGGGCAATCCATCCAATATAAGGCATACGACACCGTACCAGGCCAATAATATCTTCTCGATGAACATAATCTTGTCCAACTGGATAAAAAAGGGTATCATCAAACTGGTTGTTGTCGCCTTTGGTCAAGATGAGTTGCCTGCTACAAATTAGCATCCCTATCAGAGGGCTACCGGAGTAAGCGACATGCCTGCTCATGCCATCTTGATCATCGGATTGGTTGTAGACGGCGATGGACCGGTGGACCATTGGCAGGGACCGGCCAGGAAACCACACCACAGGAATGTCCCCCACGTAAACTTTTTGTTGACGGTTCCACAGAAGTATGAGATCTCCTCGATACAACGCTGGCTCCATAGACTCCGATGAAACGACCATAAGCGGATGTGATGAGCTCGTAATCGCGCACATGCCTTTCCATGCCGTAAAGATTGCCACTATAGTCAAAGTGACTGGCATCAGGGTGTCGAAAAGGCGTTTTGGGCTGTAGATAGAGCTCATTTTTGGATGCATTGTCGATTGCAAGAACATAGTGCGACGTGCTCTGAGTCTTGACACATTCGGAGCCAAAGTCAATGAAGAGTAAAGGTAATATCAGTCTTCGCATTTGGCCCCATTATCAACCAAAAGGTCCATCACGTCTTAACCTTCATGAATCGAGTGTTCGAGGCAGGTGTTGCGTCGAGGGCCTTTTTGTGGGGACGCTATACTTGCCTTGTATAGCACTCGGCCCCAGATGCGCAGCTCGCTAGTGGATCACTTGAGGACCAACAAGTTTTGATAATAGAACCCACAGACCCGTACTTGAGGTCACCCGTCAATCATTTACCTTTCCAGTAACTGTAGTTTTACTAGTATCAACATATTCGGTTCCAATGTCGGGAACTGTGGACGAGGTGCGTTTCAAATAATCGGGTCATTGTTTGAGATTAGACAAGGATTTGCGAATATAAGAGAGCCTACCTCCTGCTTGAGCAGCAACCAGTCCTCCAAACGAAATTCATCTTGTCGAGCATCCCTCACTACGTATCCTCAAAATCCTCAAAATCCAGAAATATTCTCCATCGATCTCAACATAACATGCACAAAGCAATCATTGCCGGCGCGGCCCTAATTGCCTTCTCTATGATTCCCACCTGCCCAGCACCAATTGGTCTTATTGTCACTGGTCTTGCGGCCCCCCTTATCGGGGGCTTGACTTATATTGGGATCAACTCGGAAACCACCCCATATGGGTATTCCGGAAAAAGAGATCTCAAGTTCCCTCGTGCCTTTGGGTACCCTGGTGTATCGCAAGATGCCTATAATCAGTGCAAGAGCTCAACCAAGGGCATAAATGTCCATGTCCAGCAAACAGCTGAAAACAGTGAGTATTTACAAGGGAACTTCATTTGTTATACCTCCAGTTTCTGACATTCTTCATAGGCTTCAAGATCATTGGTGTCTCTCCTGAGTGTATGAACCTGGCCACTTTCTTCACTTCGAACAAGGGCGCTCCCTATCCCTGTTCCAATAATTGCCTCCAGTACAACAACTTGACTGCTGCGGACACGAAGAAGCTCAAGGATACCGTCCAGAGCCTTCTCAAGTGATTGATTCAGGACTATTGAATATTAGAGCACTAGTCTTGCTGCTGCAGCTCACGAACTCCTAACCTTTTTATTCATTACAAATGTGACCAATTCAACACAGCATATTGGCCCTTTGCTAAGGGGTGGTTCGTTGTCAATCTGGTGTTCCTATAGATGTGTCTTCGTGCCTTAAGAGGTACTACATGTATGTACTGAGTTTAAATGAGAAATGTTGATTAGAGTATATCAAGTCCATGCTCTTAGCATTCTTCTGTGCGTAGTATGGTTACATGTGACTCCAAATCTTTTCGTCACAGCTGGTCTATTCAAGAAGGGAGTGAACCTTCTCCCATCAGGTCAAAAAAGAAACCTATTCGGACCACACTTTTAGTAAAAAGAAGTGTTGCACGGAACGTTCTTGGTTGGTAGTGAAGGAGTACAGCTGTAAGGGGCTGTTTTGGCCCCCATGCCCTCGCATGATCAGGAGCCGTAATAATGCCACTAAATGGATGGAATAATTACATCAAAAGTTGTACTGAAAAGGCTACTAAGAGAATAATTACTACAAAGGCCTGTGAATGTAATGTAAACAAGTCTTAGTTCCTATACTAAGGACTCTCTGGGTCTGTTTGTGCAGATCTATAAATTCAGGTTTGTGGAACCGGGGGCCGGAGAAGCCTCCTTTGCGGACCATGGTTCAATGTAAAGCAGCCCCCAAAGCAGCCCTCCACCCCAGTACTTGTTCTACTTTTAGAACATTCCCCCACCAGGTACGGCTATTGACGCGAATGGATAGCTCATGAAGTCGCCGCTCTAATACATGAGTCTCAATAAACAAGACTTTTCTTTGTTACAAGGAAGCTCGGACAACTAGAGAGCCCATAATGTCTCTCTATGAGCTGCTGATTCCGCCTACATTTTTTGTCTTGTCCACCTTCATCTTTCTCATGGCAATTCAGTTCCCCTCCCGAGCCCGAGTCCTGATATCTCCATTGCTATTCGGCACAGCGATCATCTCGCTTTACACCAGCTTTTACCTACCACCCCACGAGGGTACGAACGGTCTCTGGGCACTACTCAACTGCGTCTGGATTCTACATGCTTCACATACATTATTTTTCAATAAACTACGCATTCCCCGTGGTGCCCCACCATGGACCTCTGCATACAAGATCTGGGCCGATCCACAGGGCCGAATCAACTGGAAAGATGTCTCATCAAAAGTTTCATCCAAGGCCTCGGCGGGTAGAGCGGAAAACAGAGTATGGTTTGCCACCACGCGTTTTTTCAAAACTCTAGGCTGTTGGCTATTACAGCTATGCATCTTCGAGCCCTTTATGATTCTATCTATTTATCCCACGTCAGAGGACTTTGCGCCGTCTCGCCAGGTTCTGTTTCGACGTTTACTATGGCCGAGCGCTGGCCCAGAGTTTACTCAGCGCGAGATCCTGATCCGCTTGTTTACTTCTGTATCGTGGATCTGGCAGGGATTTTTGATGCTCCACACTTGTCACGTCCTCCTGTCAATTTTCTTCGTTACCATAATACGCATCGATGCACCCGAGGAATGGCCGCCATTGTTCGGCAGTCCGATGGAGGCATACAGTGTTCGACGATTCTGGAACAAGTTCTGGCATAGAATGACGGTCCCCGGCTCTACTTCGTCTGGTAAAATCATTACTCAACGGGTGGGAGGTGTTGTACTACGCCCACGACTTGCGAAGCTTTTTATCGCCTTTTGGACCTTTCTCTTGTCTGGGATGTACCATGCAATTGCAGACTGGCAAGCAGGAGAGCCCTGCGTTCCATCTGCTGATTTGCTTTTCTTCATCGCCAACTTTGGAGCTGCTGCAATCGAAACATTTGTGGTGCCGATGATCATTCCGGTTTTGAAACAGCACGGCAACAGTATATTGTGCAGAATTATTTTGTCATATAGGGGAAGGCAGTTGATCGGCTTTGCCTGGATCTTGGGTTTTTTCTTCTGGATTGTGCCGAAATGGCAGTATCCAAAAATGCACCTCACACAGCTTAAAGCAGAAGAAGCCTTGGATGCTTCAGACTGGTTTACTCCTCTGACTGCTCAAGCGCAGAATTGAACAGCACGAAAGTCACAGAATTAGCAATACGAGGAATTATCAGGGCTGTGAAGGCAGTCGCCAGTCATACAAATCAAAAGAGCATTGGAACAAACCGCTCCTAATACTATCAACGTTCAATAGTTGACAATACCTGCTATATGGAGTTATCTGTCTCCCAAATTCTAAAACCCGACAACGCTATATAAACCTTCACAGCAGCCGCCCGAGACTCAACTTGACTGTTTCCTACTGTTTCTTCGCGTACAAGGCTATAAGCCTGTGCTGTATTTGCGCTGTCCTCTTCCGTTGGCCCTGGCGCCCATCTCTGACAGTTGATTGTTGCGTCTGCAAGAGCTTGTCCGCCCAAGAGATGCGGCTTTGCCAGCGAAAGGAGAACAGTAGGATTGATCACAACGAAAGTAATACGTAGTTCCATGGTGGCATCTGGATACGAGGGATCATCGACGCTACACGCGAGGTTGCCTCATAACACCGTCGCTAGCTGAGCATAGTGCGCATTGAGAGTACCATTGTCGCCGACCGTGCGGTGGGATGGGGCAATATCGACCTGGTTGACTCTCACAAGCAGGCCCGTTCCGATCAAATAATTGCGGACACTAAAACTGGTGAACAGCCAAAGGCTGGCGTGTCGGCCACGTGCGACTCATGCATATATGGTCCTACAGTGGTTATCAACTCCCCGAGAGACCGTTGCCACGAATCTAGAGGAAAGGGACGAATGAGGCCAAGCCGACAAATATTGTGTTCCATTTTAATTTAATTTAATTTATTTATTTGAAGAAAGTATAAGGCTTAGACCGCAAATCAGTGGCCGGTCTGATGACGCCGGAGAGACTCCCTTACATTGAGTTTAGAACTGTGGGAGAAACAAGACACACTCCACATCGATCGTAACGAGTTGAAGTCGATCGATAATGTGGCCCAACCGCCCATAACTCTCCATCGCACCCTTAGCAAAATCCGAATATCATTCTTCCATCCCTTCTGGGCTGTACCATGAAATCACAGAGTTCAATCGCACCACATCAACCCCGCTTCTCTTCATCTAATAGCTGTCCTAGCCACCACCACTCAGGACACAGGCTATTAGAGGGGGACTCGGCATATAGAGATTCATTGACCTATAAATAGTTGATCAAAAACAGTCCCTGCGTTCTATAATATGGTGAGCTAGGTCAGAAAAGGGACGACACATACTCCACGAAATCAGTATATGCAGACTCAAACAGAGATTCGTCTGGGTCGTTGGGTCTGACGTAGAATGAGACCAGCTCTTTGAGATGATCATCGCCAAACTCGGATCGAAGGAAGAGTGGCTCATCCGAGCTTGCCATGGTATGACACTCCGCAACCCCGATGTTTTGCACGTCGGTCAGGATCATAGGTAGCTGGAGGGCTCGATTTTCCGAACTGGCGAAAGCTACCGATTGTTAGTATCAAAGATCTCTCCAAGTAGTTGGTATTTGATAATACCGTGAAGGATAGGAATTTATACTCACCCCTCGCTACCTAGCCAGTGGAATTTGAAGGACACGTTTTCGCTCCCAGACTGGGCACCCTGACATCAAGGAAGTTTGCAATTTCGATACACAGTCCAAATCGGTTAAGTATACTAGTGTGCTTTTCTTATCTATGGCCGAATGATTTGCAAAGACTGAGGGCCTCGTTCACTTTAAGTAGAATCCCAAATCGGCGCCTTCGGCCCTCTCCCACTCTAGCTCGCCATTACCAAGGAACAAAAAACGATCTGAAGTGTTGTACCGGATGTCAAAGTCCTCGCCGCGAATGCCCTCAATTGCCTCTGGAAGCACAGGTTAGTACCCCAACCGAATTGATATCTGTTATGCGAAGTCGGAATACTTGCCTTTAAAGTGCAGAACGCTTCCTGGATACATGGCCGTAACCCTAGTCCCATTGTTATACCAGGCATTGCAGCCCTTGCTCCAAACGGTGTTTTGAAGGTTTGCTTGGGCATAACGGTTATAGTGGCGAACGACAGAGTCAGTGACTGCAATAGATCTGCGCGGACATCAGCTATAGCCAGGTACTAGAAAGCCGAACAGGAACGCACTTGATATCCTCGCGGGCTATCTTCTTGACCCATTTTAGCATATAATCAGCACTCCAGCCAAGCATCTGAGGCACACTACCATGACCGATGGGACAATTTGGCCCAGCGAACATGAAGTAGTTTGGAGCTCCAGCGGCACATATTGAAAAGTATGCCTCGGGTGCTTTCTCCCATTCCTCATCTAGCCGCCTACCATCCCGACCTACAAATTCCCACCCCGGGACAAAGGTAGTGTCGAAGCCAGTAGCACACACAATCAGGTCAAAGTCGTGCTCCCCCTGGGTTGTACGGATTCCCGTCTTAGTGATTTCCTCAATGTTATCAAAGCACCACTCCGCATTGGGCTCCTGCATTGCCTCAAGATATCCATCGCCGGGGCTTAGTCGACGACATCCAATCTCAAATTTGGGAACAAGTTTCTCGATCAACTGGGAGTTCTTGCTTAGGCGCTGTCGCATGAGCCCCTCGGTTGCATCAGATATCATCCGGTTCCCGTCAGAGCCAGAAAGCATCAGTCTGTAAACAGAATTTACTCTGTGTTGCGTTAGCGTGTTAGGTGGAGAGGAAAAGATGACTAGATCGAACCTACGAGCACTCAATCCGTTTCCTGTACTCTAGGAAGGCGGCTGGGTCATGCCGGAACTTCGCCCTCTCTTCCTCGCTGTACTCAAAATCGGTGCCCATGCCGTCCTTGGTTATGTCCGGACACAAATTTACCGATACCCAAGTTGGATGCCGAACAAAGTTAACGATCTTTGCAGCCTTAGGCTGTAACGCCGGCACGATTTGAATGGCAGACGAGCCGTTACCAATGACCGCGACCTTCTTGCCAGTCCAGTCGTATGTCTTGTCCCAGACGGCTGTGTGAAGGAGCTTGCCAGAAAACTGATCCAGACCGTCAATATCAGGCATTTTCCAACGATTCAGAATACCCGAGGCATTGATGAGAACATCTGCTTCGTCATGGACGACAGTGCCGTCGTTCCCCTTGAGCTCAATCGCCCATTTGCCTCGTTCCTCGTTCCATATGGACTTGACGACTCGGGTGCTGAACACGATCTGGTCCTTCAGCCCGTACTTGTGTACCGTGTCGAGTATATACTTTTCAATCTCCGGTCCGCCGGCGTAGCATCTGGACCAGGACGGGTTTGGCTCGAAGGGAAAGACGTAGCTGTGCGCAGGAATATCGCATCCCACTCCAGGATAGATATTCTCAAACCAGGTTCCTCCAACCTCGGGGTTCTTCTCATAGATGGTGAAATCGACAAAATCGAGGGGCTGCTCGTGCTTAAGCTTATATGCCAGGATCAGCCCAGAGAAGCCCGCACCAATGCAGACCACCCGGAGCCTACGAGCCTGATAGGCATATCGACCGGGGTCTATAGTGACGGGCTCGCTGAAGACGAACTCGTTGGACGGCATGATCTGTTGTGGTCGGACACGGTTGAGGTTTCTTTTTCTATCGAGACATGGCAGATCGGTGTGCTCTGTGTCAGAATTCTGAACTTAGGGGGCATCCTGACTTCCTTAGCGTCTCGCTAAGTGCCGTTAGCGGCGTCACTACGTATTCGCGATTTTTGTGTCAATTGACCTTGTTGTGAAGTGGGGTCATATTAGTCGCATGGATCCGCCTCAAGCCACCGCTGCAGGGATACGAATCCTGGACCCCATTTCTCGGCCTTCTCCCCGGACCCTAGAGCGAAAAAAAGGAGAACTTCAATTTTATAGGGTTTTGGTTGGCCTGGATGAAAACGAACGAGACAGACTAAGAGAGTACTTTTAACTGTGTGGACTGGGTTTATAGCGAAAGCAGCAAGTCTGGGGACAACGGACGCCCCCAGGCGGGAACGACCCGCCTGGGCGTCCGCTAGCGTCACGAAACAAGTGGAGACTTGACAGCGGCAATTTTGCGTTTGAGGTTGTGCCTGAACCTTCTCTGTGGAGGTCAAAATATTTTGCAAAGTCCAAGGAGAAGTATTTTCATCCTCTCAACAACCGATCTGATATACATATCCGTCTGTCAGTATCGAGACATCCCTCGATGACTTAAAGCGATGTCACAGAGTCCTTTTGGCGATCCTCCTGCAAGAGTAGATCTCTCTGAGAGTCGCCTGGGGAGAAACAATGCCGCTGTCATTACGACCTATATCCTTGCAGCCCTTGCGGTTCTGTTTCGTTTCTATACCAGATTCAAAGTTCAGCAGGCAAAGATAGCCGCGGACGACTGGATGATTTTCGCTTCGCTTGTACGTTCTCCCACCGACATATACTTTCCTTGACAATTGTCACGTTGAGATGCTCACTGTGCATTGTAGCTTTCGGTCACTGGGAGTCTCATTTGCACCATCATTGGTAGGTTGGCACTGCGATTGTTTCTGAACATATCTGACTCCCCTCCCCGTAGGAGGAAATTATGGCCTCGGAAAACATGTTTGGGCTGTACCCATCCTTGACGTGGTGGAAGTGATCCAGATATTATTCATATATGTGATTCTCTACGTCGCCAACGTTCCACTAATCAAATTCTCGATCCTTCTGTTCTACCGGCGAATCTTTGGGATGACAAAGCCCATGTGGTTCTGTGTTTTTCTCACCGTCGGCTACTTTGTTTCCTGCATGATTGCCTTTCTGGTTTGCTGTCGGCCGGTCTCCTACTACTGGACACAGTATGTGGATCCTAGCGGAGGGAAGTGCGTCTTCAACCTCTTTCCCTTTTATATAGGCAATGCTGCGGCGAACGTCACCACGGATGTGATTATCTTGCTTGTTCCCATTCCTATAGTGTGGAAGCTACAGATGAGATCCACCCAGAAACTGTTGATCAGCGGAATTTTCATGCTAGGCGGATTGTACGTCTTCGGTCCAAAACATCCACAGAGACCTGACTAATTCTTTCTGTTTTTTAGTGTTTGCGTCGCAAGCCTCATCCGGATCTACTTTATGACCTTCCTCAAAACCTCGCTCGATGTCACCTGGATCATGGGAGACGTTTTTATCTGGTCCAGCGTCGAACCCTGCATTGGCATTGTGTGCGCTTGTCTCCCAACCTTGCAGCCACTCCTCCGATACACGATTGCCCTAGTATTCGGAACGAGCAGGGAACGATACATGGATAATTCGGAGCCGGTAGCGCCAGTAAAGAGAAAGAGTACACGGCGGAAGCCGCACATGCCCCTTGACTGGGATGAGGCCTTGCTGACGACCAATGCCGTGCAAGTCGAAATGGGTGATGTCAGGACAGAGGGGAGCGAGGATGGCAAAATTACAGTGAATACGGATTTTCGAATGGGGGAGGAGCAGCGGCAGAAAGATAGTGCAGAAAGATAGTGGAAAGATTCTATAGTGATGAGCGCGAACGCCTGATGGCGATCTCTCGCAAATTGCACATAGCCAACTTTGTTGTAATGCAGAAAAACGACTGCGCTGTGCGACCATATCATCAGGAGTATAGAAGGCTATATATACAGCATGAAGGCCAAGTCAGTTTCCAATCAATTTGGTTCTCCGTATAGAAAAGGCTAGAATTATTTCCGACAGTAGCGGCTTTGTTCCTGATCCGTACCAGCTTCATATTATATATCGGGCGGATTTTATTAAAGGAATTTGGTGAGAGAAGATAGGGAATTGGTGATCAGGATCTTGGGTAGCTGGCGGGCTCGATTTTCCGAACTGGCGAATGCTACCGATCGTTAATATCAGAGATCTCTCCACATGGCTGGTATTTGATAATATCGTGAAGGATAGGAATTTATACTCACCCCTCGCTACCTAGCTAGTGAAATTGAAGGAAACGTTTCTGCTCCTAGATTGGGTACCCTGACATCAAGGAAGTTTGCAATTTCGATGCACAGTCCAAATCGGTAAGAACACCCACCCCTTTGATTGGCCAGAGCCAGGCTGAATCTAACCTCCTAAACTAACTTCAACGTAATCCAATCCGGCCAACCGGAATGCAGCTTCGTTTTGAGTACCATTCAAACTGATTACGACTGGAGTAATCATGACAATCGGCGCCCCGTCGGTGTACGGCAACGACCTGGGGACTAACATATTGAACACGGGTGTAAGTAACCGAACGATCTTTGCCGCTTCTTTGCATAGAAAACCAAGCCCTCTTTTGACTCTGAACTCCCCTATGCGTGCTTATCTTAACGCTCCCTTCGTCCGTGTAGTCAGACCGTCAGACTCTAAAAAGCTCTGATCTGCTAGGAGAGCGAAATTTCCCTATCTTGTTAAACCCCTCACTAGACAATCGAGTCGAGACCCCTTAGACTAGGGCGCCAAGCCAGCATGTACGGATTTTTCGAGGTCAGACGGCAGGACGGCCCGCTCAGCCTAAACCCTCAATATACGAAAACACCGCCATCAAATTAGTATAGCACTGTAGCATGTTGACTGAGCGCTCGTAATCAATGCTGCTATGAGGTTTTTAGTACAAGTTTTTATGGTGGGTCGACCTGATTAGATCTCGACCTTCGAGGCATGAGTACTCCGTACCCTATACCTCAAGCAAAAATATTCTATAACATATTGAATAATAAGAGAATAAGGCAAATTATTATATAGTGTACTTATAAGATATACCATAAAGACTAAACTGGTTTTTTCTTTACTTGATAAGTAAGAATTCATTTACCTTGTGCTTCCGTATCCGTGCTTTGGGCAGATAATATACCACTTGCTCCTTCGTGGGTTCTCCCCTAGAACACAACCCACTTGAAACCTAACTGTCCCGGAGACCTCAGCCCGTACATGATGTGCTTTCAAAGGGTGTTATGCACTGTAGCCCTCCTACGTGGACTTTTTGATCTCAGCCAACCCATGCAATTCCTGTTCCTTTGCTTTTTCTTAGCTCTGTGAGAGAACCCCACGGGGCATTGTGACCAGGAATAAGGAGAACCAGGCCCAGTCAGCCACTCAACTAATCAATCATCCAATTATACACACCTAGCTGTACTGTGGGTAGAGGAATCGGCAAACAGCTCACGGCAGGCCGATCCGACAGGCTGACGCTACAGGGATCGTGGAGTGCCTAAATTCCGCTTTCGTGTGGGTGCCGAGATCGAGATTAGCCCAGTGCGATTCGCCATTTATGCCCCATCAATATTAAGCGGTGGCTGACTTTATCCAGAGTGGAAAAATGGGAATGTCTCCACGCTTGGCCCCGGTGCTCGCACCTTTTCGCCAAGTGAGCGCCACCTTGTACACAAATACCCTGACACAGGTATGGTGCCATGTGGTGCCACGTCGAAACGTAAAAACGCACCCCAGAAAATTGACAGCGGTCCGGTATCTCCGGGACAAGATCAGGGCGCCTTCTGCTGCGGACAGCGAGGCCCCCCATGCGTGGGCTGGCTGGTGTGATGAGAGGCTCTATAAATCACGCTCCAAGCCGCATCCTACTCTCATAGACAATCGGTCGTCTTCTCCTTTGCCAGTCTGGTTTGGTTTTCTCATCTTGCTTGGTCCCTATTCGTGTCAATGAACGCTTTTGGCTGTCCAAGCAATACTTGTTAATATAACCCTACGGAAGTTTTTTCGTGTTAAGAGCGATCGATAAATCCTTCCTTGCCGCCCTCTAATTTCTCTGCTTTCTTGGATACCCCCTATTTCATCGCCGATTCAATAGCAACACAACACTCCCTGACCATGGGTATCGCCGTCGGTGCCGTTGGTGCTTCCAACACAAAACGTGACCTGGCTGTCGCCCAGGCCGAGGCCCCTGATTTGGCCAAGGTGAAATGGTGGACAGACCCTGGAATGCGCGTGCTGTATTTCTATGCCGGCATTCTCTGCGTCTGTTCAGCTACCACTGGTTACGATGGGTAAGCCGACAATCGAATGGCGCTCGAAATGGGAAGAGGAAAAGAGGGATTGAAATCTGACTGAAAATTGTAGTTCCATGCTTAACTCCTCACAAGTCATGGAAGAATGGCAGAACTACTTTGGTCACCCCGAGGGCTCCAAGCTTGGTATCCTGAACTCCATCTACCAGATTGGCAGTATCGCCAGTTTTCCCTTCGCGTACGTTGCAAGTACAGTCTCTTTAAATCGAAAAAAAAGATGAATGTTTTGCTAACACTACTATTTTCACAGGCCCCTCATGGCGGATTACTTCGGCCGAAAGATCCCAATTGCCGCCGGTTGTCTTATCATGATTCTCGGTGCCTTCCTCAGTGCCTTCACCAATGGATTTGGCAGTACGTGACACACCACCCCTTTTCCAACAAGTGATCAGACTTAACGGCTGTCTCATCTTGCGACTACACTAGAGCATTGAATGAACTGATATTTGCGAACCTTTTCTTTTAGTGTACCTTGCTGGTCGTTTCATCGTCGGCTTCGGCAACTCCCTAGCTCAGCTGTCCTGCCCTGTCCTGCTGACTGAGATTTGCCATCCTCAGCACCGTGGCATCGTCACTGCCATCTACAACTGTCTCTGGAACCTAGGTGCCTGTAGTAAGTAATGCCTAATGGATGGCAGACTTCAATCCAAGAAAAATACAGAGAGAAGCTGACCTCAAGTCTCCAGTCGTCTCCTTCATTGCCCTAGGCACCATCAACATCAATAACAACTGGTCCTGGAGGTCCATCACCCTCATCCAGGGCGTCCCATCCTTCATCCAGATTGTCTTCATCTGGTGGATCCCTGAATCTCCCCGTTGGCTCATGGCTAAAGAACGACCCGAAAAGGCCCTCGACATCCTCGCCAAGTACCACGCTAACGGCGACCGCAACAACGCCACTGTCCAGTTCGAGTACAATGAGATCAAGGAGACCATTGCCATGGAGTACCACGCAAAGAAGAACGGCAGCTACCTTGACTTCTTTAGGACCCGTGGCAACCGTTACCGTCTAATGATCCTCATCTCGCTCGGCATCATCTCCCAGTACTCGGGTAATGCTTTGTTCAGCAACTACTCCAACATTATCTACGAGAATGCCGGTATTAAGGACCAGGCCCAGAAGACTGGCCTCAACGCCGGCGAGAACATGCTCAAGCTCTTTGTTGCCATTGGCTGCTCTTGCGGTATTGACCGATTCGGTCGTCGTCCTCTCTTCCTGAGTGCTACCACCGGTAGGTTGCCATATGGTCCCATTCTTGGCTTCCCAAGTCCTGGATCCACTAATCTTTTACAGGTATGGTGCTCATGTTCATTGCGTGGACCATCGTCTCTGCCCGTTTCGAGGCCACTGGTGAGACAGACATCAAGCATCTTGGCTACCCGCAAATCGTATTTATCTGGCTCTTTGACGTCTCCTACTCTATCGCCTGGTCCGGTCTGCTCGTTGCTTACGCTCTGGAGATTCTGCCATACCGACTCCGTGCTCGTGGTCTCATGATCATGAACTTCTTCGTTCAGGTTGCCCTTACCATTGGCAACCAGACCAACCCCATTGCTCTAAAGAACCTTCCCAATCAGTGGAACTTTGCCTGCTTCTACACAGTGAGTCTTTTTATCTTTACACCAAAGTCTTGCTATTCTAAGACTAATGCGTTTGGATCTACAGGCATGGATCACTGTCGAGCTCATCTTTGTCTACTTCTTCTATATTGAGACTAAGGGACCTACTCTAGAGGAGATTGCCCGGATTTTTGATGGAGATGATGCTATTGTTGCCCATGTTGGCTATGGCGGTGTAGAGAAGGAGGCCCAGATTGGAACTGATGCGCTCATGGAGCACCATGAACGCAGGGAGGAGTCGGCTTAACTCTGGACCTGTAATGAGTCTTAGACTACTACTAGCTTCAGGGAATCACGGACGGGCGTCGATGGACTTTCCCCTCCCCGGTTCTGAGCGTCGTCCGACGACAGAACGCCTAGTAGGATGTGAGTACGAAGTCTACTGGGGCGTGGGGTCGCCGCGCCCATGCTGGACGAAACCCTAATCTAACCCCCTCTTACTGGGGCGAGCCTCGTCCCACTTCCCGTGGGATAAAGATGACTAAGCTCGATTGACAGAGAGTCACGTGGCCATGACCTGTCAATGCTGTTGTATTGTAAAATGACTGGTGGAGAAAGGTGTCGATCATGTGATCTCACGTGAACCGTAAGAGCTCTGTAAGACGATTCCCGATTTCACATACTCCTCCAGCTGGCTCTTAAGAACCCTTATCAGCTTTGTGGTCCAGGATGTGAAGGAACATCTTGTTAGTCTCTGCGAGGATTCTGGCAAAAGGCGGACTAAGTGAAGTTGCATTTGCGCTATTTGTTGCACATCCGTTGGGCTCAACCCTACAATCCAAACTCAAAGCCATGACAGCTATATTAGTTATTCAGATTTCTTTCACATAAAGCGTCCCCCATTACACTCCAATACATGACCCGTCACATAACTGGAAAGGTCGCTTGCGAGGAATAACAGACACCCTGCCGCCTCATCTGCGGTTCCCGGACGTCCTAGGGCAATATCCGAAGTATCTCTGAACTTCGTTGCACTCTTTGCGACGCCGACACTGATCTCCTTGCCGTTCACTGCCATTTTCTGGCCTGGTTCAGGAGGCCGAGTCATGCGAGTGTCCATCCAACCGTAGGCAACAGCATTGCATCGGACATTGTACCTGTTTTATCTCAGCAATAATGCCTATTATAAAGATTTTGTCTCTCATACCGTCCCCATTCCCTAGCGATACCTTTAGTCATCCCAACAATACCCGCTTTAGCCGTGCAGTAATTGACCTATTGGTAAAGGTATATCAGAACCTGACAAACGGCTTTGATAGCAAGGTAAATAGTAAGGCAAGCAAGCATACCTGACCCAATTGACCATGTACTCCCGATGAAGACGATATGTTGAGGATTGTCTTGCGGTTGTTCATTGTCTCAGGACTCATGAAGTGACTCGACAAGGCTCGGATGAGTCGAAATGGAACCGAGTTGTGAATCTCAAGAATAGATTCCCATTGACTATCAGTCATCTTGTGGACGGCTCTGCGGTACCCCGGTTGTTAGAAGGGCAGATTTTATGATTTCTCTGCGCTCACCTGTCATTGAGAAACCCTGATGTCGAAATATTAGCTCTGTTCCGTACAGTCTAGAATATCTAGCCTACCCGCGTTGTTGATGAGGCAATTGATTCTTCCAAACCTCGCAAGAACATTCTTCACAAGAGTCTCGGGGTATGATGGGTTCATTAGATCCCCTGAAAAGGACTCTGCATGTGCACCTGTCTCTCGCAACTGTTTAACTAATTCCTGCGACTTGGCCTCATCCACATCACTAATAGCAATCAATGCACCATACTGTGCAAACAGAGTTGCTGCTGCCGCCCCCAATCCTGAACAAGTCATTATCAGCAAGTCATTATCACACCCATATATGAGAATTTCTCCCTGACCTTGGGCGCCACCAGTGATTAAGACGACCTGATCCTTCAACAAAGCAATTGGTGGACCATTTACTCTGCGTGGCGATAGTTGCTCGGCGAGCTGGTCCAGGCGCTGAGACATTTTATTCTGTTTGTTCGAAGCAAGTGTGGTAAAGGGGACGAGGGCTATGCCGATGAGAGAGGATAACTTAGGGTGAGTAGATATCCACAAACCTAGCGATAAGGCAATGCGGGACTATATAATATAAAATGTCTCTAGCATGGATAATATCCCAAGGCGTCGGAATATGACATCCATGGCGTCTGTTGGCCCTTTAAAATTTCCGGTACTTGATGTTCGGAAAATTGCGTTGCGTAGCCGAAATTTTTCCGACAAGAAAGTATATAGTCCCTACTCTTTACTTTCCCGTTTTAGTCAGGTTCGTTCTTCTTAATAGATAGATCCTGCAGTTAGAGTTACACCTAAAAGCACGATTTACTTTATCGTCGACGTCTGGCCTTCACTGTGCTAGATGCAAGATTAACCATGTCACGGCCAAATTTGGCCTAGCACCTAATGAGTTTCTTGGGTTCTACTGCGCTACACTCGGAAAAAGTCCTGATGCACATACACACCCAGAGCTGAGCTTATTGATAGCCATTATAGACCTCTTTAGAGCTAAAACTGCTTTTTGTCGGACTGACCGTACTGTGACGAATTGGGTACCTACATCGCGAGGGATCAAACTCGTCGAATGTGGCTGGTCGAATCCCCGAGAAAGTGAATTCTCACCTATGTACGGAGTACTGCGAAAGTCGTCATTTTATTAGCTGCTTCCGGCGTGCCTTGGAGATCGATCTCTATTGAGGCAAATTGGTGCCTGAGGTGTCAGCACCCACCATCGTACCTCCATTCCGCCATGTTTTCGTAAGAACGCAAAGAGTGTCATCTGAATCATGATGATATACATGTCTCTGTAACCGAACCCGACTGTCTATTGGCCGCGAGGCATTATGGAGATATTGGCAAGAATTCGAAATGGTCTTTATCTATTCTATGAACGTAGGACGCGTAGATAGAGTAGTTGGCCTATAAAAGGCACTTGGGAATGCCACCCCCCTTTATTAATCCAGAACGGGTAGTGGCGGTATCAAACTCAACCCTAAATACCTGAAAGAGCCGCTGGAGGGGCTCATCTGGTGAGGGTCCTTTCACTCCTACCAAGTATGATTCCTTCCGGGATGATGGTTATGTCAATGCAACCCATTTATTCATCACCACAGTGAAGTTCAATCGACTATTGAGAACAGCGATAATTCTTGTCCTCTTCCATGAATAGTATTTCCTTTCAACTCTTTCAGAAGACCTCTTCGTGATCTACCGACCCTCCAGTCCACCACATCTCATCTCATGCAAGATAAGGCATGGACCCTCTGCATTAACGAACCCCACGACAAAAGATACGCAAAGCAATCATCAATAGCAGCTACGAAAATAAGCGACCGCCCCTAACCGAGCAGCTCCCCACGGTTGCAAGGAATAAGCTGGTGCGACCAAATCCGGATCCGTCGTCATTGACCCCGGTTGGGCGCGGGTATCTTCGGCCGGGAGTATAAAACCAAAGACGGGAGGCAGCCACCAAGTCTCAAGACCCGAGCATCATTGATTGATTGAATCGACATACGACCGACTAACTAGTTACATGCTCGCACGATGATCGTCGAACCTGTACTGGAGTGTTTGTCGTTGACGCGGGTCGCGTGTGGATTGGGGGTTCTGCTGGTCGCGGCGGTATGATTTCTTTCCCTCAAAATGAGGATTACTTTACTGATTAGCGATAGACCCTGGCTTACGCCATCTACAACGCCTTCTTCCACCCCCTCCGCCGCATCCCGGGACCATTCCTCGCAGGCCTCACGCCCTGGGTACAGCTATACCACGGTCTGAAAGGCGACCGCCACCTGTGGCTGCACGGGTTACACGCTCAGTACGGGAGCCATGTGCGCGCGGCCCCCAATTTCATATCTGTCAACACCGACCGCGGCCTGCACGACATCTATGGGCACGGGAAGCGTCTCCAGAAGGCTGACTTCTACAATGCCTTCCCCGCCATCAAGGGCGTGTATAACACGCACAATGCGATCGATAAGACGATGCATGGCCGCAAGCGGAGAGTGCTGAGCCAGGCGTTTTCGGACCATGCGCTCAAGGGGATGGAGGATGTTATGCTCTTGCATGTACGGCAGCTTTGTGCTGTGCTGGCGGGACATGATGGGGGAGACTCCGATGGGGATGATTTTGACGAAGAGAGGAAGGGGGCCGTGGTGCGCAATATGGGCGACTGGTTTAGCTACCTGACCTACGATGTGATGGGCGAGTTGTGTTTCGGGAAGAGCTTTGACATGCTCGTCTCCCGGGGCAAGAGACACATGGTGAGGCTTGTTGATCGCGCCGCGAACAGACACTATGTGGTGAGTATATGCATCAGCAGACCCAACCCGACCACTAGCTAACCCACCCTCGCAGTGCGGGCTCTGGATGCCACTGGACAGCTGGCACCTGGACCAGATCTTCATCCGACAACTAACGCGCGACCGATGGAACTTCATCATGAACTCGCGTGTCGAAGCCAGCGCGCGGGCCAAAGAGCGTGCTCAGGCCGGCCGCGAAGCAAAAAAGGACTTCTTCTACTACCTGCTCAACGCGACGGACCCGGAAACGGGCAAGGGACTGAGCACGCCCGAGCTATGGGGCGAGGCGAACGTGCTGATGATCGCGGGCAGCGACACGACGTCAACCACGTTGGCCGCGGCGCTGTTCTACCTCGTGCGCCGGCCAGCGGCGCTGTCGAAACTGAGCGCTGAGGTGCGCGGGGCGTTCAACGAAGTCGAAGAGATTGTTAGCGGCGCGCGACTGAACGAGCTAGTCTACCTGAAAGCAGTCCTCGACGAAGCTCTGCGTCTCGCACCCGCCGTGCCCGGCGCGATTCCGCGCGAGGTGATGGCCGGCGGAGCAGTGGTGGACGGGGTGTTCCTGCCAGTCGGCACAAACTGTGGCACGCCGACGTACTCAATACACCGGCAAGAGGCATACTACCGGGCGGCGGGGACCTTCCTACCGGAACGGTGGATCGAGGGTGCAGAGTGCGAAGCAGCCAACGCAAAATGGACCACAACCAAGGAAGAGGTTGACACGGCGCGGCGGGCATTCTGTCCGTTTAGCATCGGGCCGCGCGGGTGCATTGGTAAGAGCATGGCGTTCATGGAGATGCGGGTGACATTGGCAAGACTGGTGTTTCTGTTTGAGATGGCCCTGGCTGACCGGGTAGGCGAGGATGATCAGGGCCATTTGGCGCTGGTGGATCACTTTACCAGTGCGAAAAACGGGCCGAATGTGGCGTTTCGCCGCAGGTAACTTTAGCTGAAGTAATTGTGATCAATAAGATCCTCCATCGTGGTATTCTCTCCGTAATCGGTGTCGTGGTAGGGGTCGTCGTAGTTCGTCCGTTAGTGCCAACACCGCCAGGACACGGTGTCTTGGCAATGATGGACCTTCACCACCACCACACTTAACGAACAACCGACTCAATGGCGCCGCGATGCCCTCCGCGCTAACCGTGACATTTGTCCAATCGACCATCCTCAATGCGGTCGCCAACATCTGCGCCCAACTAATCGACCAGCGCAACAGTCCTGTCCGATATCCCCCCATCCTCCCCCTGATATCAATCAAAGCAACCACTAACCGTTGTCCAACCCCAAAACAGAACCCTTTCACCCTCAACACCCTCGCCCTCCTACAATTCATGACCTATGGCATCCTAGTCGTCCCCATCAACTTCGTCTGGCAACGCGCCCTGGAGGCGCGATACCCAGGCTTCCCGTCGCGCGCTGAGCTGTCCCGCCTCTGGGACTGGTGTTGGTGCTGCTGCTGCTGCTGCGGGGGGAGTCGGGGTGGGCGCAAGCGCTCCAAATCCGTTTCTTCACTGCGCGACTATTTCTCCTCGAGTCTATCCTCCGCACCGTTTTCCCTCTCCACGCGCGATCGGCCGCGAGATTGGTACCGCGCCGGCTCGCGACTACCTAGCCATCATCGGAGGGAGAAATCCGCGCAATGGGCGCCTCGCTCGCAGAGTCCGTCGGGGTTGTATAGCTTTGCGATGAAGTTCATATTCGACCAGACGGTGGGGTCGGTGATGAATATTGTGCTTTTTATTGTCTTGATTAATCTCCTTAAGGGGACCGGGATCTGGAGGGCTTGGGAGCTTGTTATTGAGGTGAGATTCGTCATTCTTCCCGTCTTCTGTCTACTTCGGTGCTTTCTACTGTACTTCCGTACTGTGCTACGCCAGATGTCCAGACGGACGGACAGACAGGTACTATTATATATACAGGACCATTCACTAACAACATTCAAGGACTTTCCGCCTATAATGGTTGCCCGACTCAAGTACCGCCCCATTGTGTCCTCGCTCATGTACACCGTCATCCCCGTGGACCGGCGCGTGGTCTTTGGGAGTGCCTGCGGTGTGATCTGGGGCATTTATCTGAGTCTGTACGCGGTAGTCTAGATAGATCTCTTTTTTTGTCTTTTTGTATTATCTTATCATCCTAGAAAGAGAAAAGAAAAGAGCGAGACAGGACGGGATGGGTGGCCATGGAATAGAAATGCAAACGGATCCAAAACATCATCAACATTGCAACACAACACAACAAATATTATCACTAAGCGTATGTGGGCTGGACAGCACAGCCTCAAAGACAAAAGAATATGCATGAAGGAACGCTGCCCTCACAAGCCTGACTTAGACAGCAGCCACCTCAGGCTTCTTGCCCTTGACGGAGATCCACTCGATGAAGATCGGTCCGACAAGGGACAGAGCGCCCATGCTGACAGCAACGTAAAAGGTCTGGGTGATAGCATTATTATACGCGCTCAGAACTTGGTGCAGGAACGGGCCAGGCACGACAGAGCGGATCATAGTCGCCCCAACGGCGAGGAGACGACTAGCATCGACCTCAGGCGCATACTCGCGCAGGTTGTGTACGAGTTGATTCTGGAAGACATTCTGCGCAACTGAAACAAACACCGCGCCGCCGAGCGTCTGCGCAAACATGATAATCGCCGTGCCGCTAGGGATGTCCTCGCTTTTAAGTGCCGTCTGGGCGACCAGCATCGGCTGCTGCATGCCCAGACCGAGCCCGATGCCGAATAGCGCCTGGTATCCGATCCACTTGGAGTGGTTGGAGTCTGTTTCTAGGGTGGTGAGAAGGCCGGCACCGATGGTCATGATGATGGACGAGGCGATCATGAACGGCGTGTAGTAGCCGCATGCTGTCACCAGGCCACCGGCGAGAATGGAGACGACCACGACGGCGATGATCATTGGCAGGTTCATGATCCCGGATTTCATAGCCGTGGCGCCTTTGATGGCTTGGAACCAGATGGGGAGCTAAAAGATGGTCAGTTTCATCTGCAAGGTTCATCCGCAGGGTTGCCGGAAAACAAGGACATACATAGTAGGTGATAACAAAGAAGGCCGCACCAATGGCCAAGGCATACCATGCGGCGCCCCAGACGTTCCGGTTCTTGATCAGCCGCGGAGGCACAGTAGCCCGATCGCCACCCCAGTACTGGACGCCGATGAAGATGAGGATACCCACACCAAACACGCAGAACAGAGCGATGATACGTGGGTTGCTCCAGTCATACTTGGTGCCGCCCCACTGGAGGGCGAGCAGGAGGCTGATGATGGAGGGCAGGAAGAAGAAGGAGCCAAGCAGGTCGAACTGCGCCAGCTGCTGTTGCCAGGGGAGGTCGTTTTTCTTCTTGAGGGCACGAGGAGCCTTGAAGAAGACCAGCACGAAAAAGAAGGTGACTGCACCGATGGGTAGGTTGATGTAGAAACACCACCGCCAGGTCAGATGGTCGGTAAAGGCGCCACCCATCCTGAGAGATGGATATTAGCAACATCCTTTGACAATAGATGGAAGAACTTACAGTGGACCGGCAACACTGGCAATACCAAACATCGAACCCACGAGTCCCGTATACATAGGTCGCTTAGCGAGCGGCACACTCTGGCTAATGATGAGAATGGAGCCAGAGAACAAACCGGCTGCACCCAGACCAGCAATGGCCCGGCCGCAAATCAAGCCGACTGAGCTGGGGGTCACGCCGCAGACCAGCGAGCCGACCTCGAAGATGGACAGGGCCAACAAGTAGATCCACTTGGTCGAGTAGAAGGTGTAGAACTTGCCAAACATCAGGATCACAGAGCAGGTGGTTAGTAGGTAGGCGCTGCCGTACCAGCCTACATCGTTGAGGGAGTTGAACTGGTCGGTGATCTTCGGGATAGCGGTGGCGATGATGGTATTGTCCTGATGTTCATTAGCACATAGATGTTAAGAAAAGATATGCATACTTACCAGAGCCACGCAGAACACACACAGGCACAATGCAATGGTGATCAGGGTCAGTCTCCAGGACGAGGGATATTCCTGGTCATCTTGGGGAGATTGTGCATCTCCATTATCACTCTGATTGCTCGATGCGGACACATCATCGGTCGAAGCGCTCTTAGCCTCCTTATCCAAGTCCTGAACAGCTTCCTTGGAGGAATTCTCTTGTCTCTCATGATCACTCCCCTTCTCACTAGCCGCCTTGGAGGTTTTCTCTCCGCTCTTCTGCGAGAGGGCATCCGAGTCGGACGCCGACGTCGACGAAGGATGGTCCGAGCTGAAGCCCTTAGGCGACTCTGCCTTGAAGAAAGTGGACATTTTCGTGAGCTGCAGAGCCAGAAGGGAAAAAAAGGGAAAATGCAGCAGAAGCCAATTCAGAATCAGAAAGAAAGAGAATCAGGGGGGAGGGCGAGGGCTAGGTTAAAAGGCAAGCGCAGATTGACAATGCAACTGGACCTTTTGTCCTGCGGGCAGGGAAACCTTGCCGATCCAATGTCAACGTGGATAGGAGGGCATACCCCCAAGGGCACAGAGTGTAGTGTTAGCACAGTACATATTGCCATGTGGTGCGTGGAATGCTCCGTATCGAGTGTCAGTGGTTCATCAGACTACGATGATCGACGGGCGGGTCGATCTTGTTAGTGTGTGAATCCCGCTCAGCCGCACCGGCCCAGACTGAGTCGGCCAGGAGACCATGCAAGGATGGGCTGGGGCAGGGTGGAAGGGCTTCATCCCTTGCTCCGATCGGCCACTACCACTTGCCAGGATATTGGCATTATGTAGGAGGGAAAGGGCTATTCAAACGATCAGTGAAAGGGCCAGGGAATTAATTTGCCTAGTCTCCTAGAGGGATAATCGGGATAATACACCGTGTTCATTTCTGTCACCATTAGGGTACAGGGTCATGACCAGGTCTACCCTTGGGCCTCCCTCGCACAAAGACTGCTTGTCTGGCAGCAGTCTGCAGCCATTGCTGATGTACTCCCTCCTGTTGACTCACCTGCATCTTGACCGAAAGGTGATGTCAGGTGTTTCGCTTGAGAGCACTGCGTGCTTATGGCCACATCTCAGAAGACTAGTAGCGAGGGGTGATCTGGGAGGGAAAGAAATATATTGTCCACAGGTCGGCATCCTTTTTACCAACAGACACTAGAAACATAGAACAAGAATTATCAATGACAGTTTCTACTCTTTACCATCATTTTCGATCGAACAATTCATACCTTTAAGCCACATAGGTACAGTAGAATCGTGCCGAACAAATTCTGCTGACAGGCACTAACCAACCCGGGGTTAGTGGCGATCTTGCTGACCGGAGCGGAGATTGGAGACGGAATAACAGCTTAATCCGCTTCCTTGTATAGTACAGACCCTGCTTTCTAAATGATGAGAAATTGCTACGACCAAGTAATACAACTTCATTGTCGACCGTAATCTCCGAGCTCTGCTCGATCATTGACATCATCCCCCTCCACAAATGCCATGGTCCATTCCCGCACAAACCCTAAGTCCGGAGGGGATGACATTGGACGAAAAGTATAAAAGAGTCAAGTGCACTCACTCCAACCCTTACAATCTCCCACATTGAACCACCTTCTCTCGAAACCATCGCCATCACCATCACCATGGAAGAAATCTTCGCCCCTGCCCCGGAGCCAGCTACCCCGCTGGGCCGGTATCGTATCCTCTCTCCTAGCGCCGGCATCCGCGTGTCCCCTCTGCAGCTAGGCGCGATGTCCATCGGCGATGCTTGGAGCGGATTCATGGGCAGCATGAACAAGGAACAGTCCTTCAAACTACTGGACTCCTTCGTCGCCGCAGGCGGCAACTTCATCGATACATCGAACAACTACCAAAACGAGCAGAGTGAGACCTGGATAGGCGAGTGGATGGCCGCGCGCAAGAACCGCGACAACCTGGTCATCGCGACCAAATTCACCACCGACTACCGCTCCCACGCGCTGGGCAAGGGCAACGTCCCCAACTTCTGCGGCAACCACAAGCGCAGCTTGAAGGTCAGCGTGCGGGACTCGCTCCGCAAACTCCAGACCGACTTCATTGATGTCCTCTACCTGCACTGGTGGGACCACACGACATCCATCGAAGAAGTGATGGACTCGCTGCACATCCTCGTCGAGCAGGGTAAGGTGCTCTACCTAGGTATCTCGGATAGTCCAGCGTGGGTCGTGGCCGCGGCAAACACGTACGCGCGCGCGCACGGCAAAACCCCATTCAGCATCTACCAGGGACGATGGAACGTGATGCTCCGGGACTTCGAGCGGGACATCCTCCCTATGGCGCGGCATTTCGGAATGGCACTTGCACCGTGGGACGTGTTGGGGGGCGGGAAGTTCCAGACCGCGAAGGCGCTAGCGGCGCGCAAGAAGGAGGGCGAGGGATTGCGGAGCATGATGGGGAATGGCGAGCAGACGGAGCAGGAGCAGCGGATGTCGGAGGCGTTGGCGCGCGTTGCGGCGGAGCATGGTATTGAGTCCGTGACTGCCGTCGCGCTCGCTTATGTGCTGTGCAAGGCGCCCAATGTGTTTCCCATCGTTGGTGGGCGCAAGGTCGAGCATCTGCATGATAATATTCAGGCGCTGTCGATTCGTTTGACGGAGAAGCAGATTCAGGATCTGGAGTCGGTGGTTCCCCTCGATGTAGGGTTTCCGAATAACTTCATCGGGCCCGATCCCAAGGTAACGGGGGGTCCGCCCGGATTCCTGGTTGGCACGGCGGGACAACTTGATTTCGTGAGGTCGTCGCAGGCGATTGGGTATGAGCCGGGCAAATAGTTACACAATACAGTAGTCCTGAAATTTGAAATTGAACTTGAAATTGACACTTTTTTTCATTCAGCCAATTCGATGCAATCAATGTACCAAAAGATATGCGCCAAAGAAAAGAAACAAGATTCTGTGCAACTCCGTGGGTCGACCAACACCAAGTGTAATGATACATCGTTCTGCGTGCGGGGCAAGACGACGGACGAGTGACGAGAAGTCCATGCAATAGATCAGAAGCCATTTGCAATGGAACAGAGAGGAAATGGTGGGTGGTATATAGGTGGATTCCAAAACCAGGCCAGATGGCAATCCAGCCGGTGAATTCAAGATCGAGAGTCAATGCGAGAAGAGAGGGGAGGGGGAATAAAATCATTTCGCCGAGGCACTCTTTAGCGTCTCATCTTTGCTCGCCACCAAGGCGATCAGCGCAGCACCGACTCCGCTGCCATCCTTGGAGATACCAACGCGGACCTTCTTCTCGCCTGCCTCGCCGACCTTGGAGACAGTCCGCAGGGCCTCTCGCATATATCCCTCGAAGTTGGGGTAAAACTCCACCAGACTGCCGTCGACACCCACATCGATCATGCTTTCGGTTTGAAGCTTGCCGGAGTGGATGAGAATAGCAGCCAGCGGGACGGCGCTGAGTCGCGCGGCACGCTTGCCGATGGCATGCACCAGGGTCTTGACAACTTTGCACTCGACATCGCTCAGATTTTCGATCTTCAGGTGGTCGTACATGGCAGTCTTCATCTCTGCCATGTGGACACTGTTATCAGCCTCAACCAGACTCAGCAGGCTAGTATCCAGACCCCACTGCCGGTACAGGCCCGAGTTCTCGGGACAGATAGCTTTGGATGTTTTGCTGGGCTTGAACAGACCCAGCGCGGGGTCCTGGTGCATAGCGAGCAATGCGCGACGCAAGATCTCGCCGAGGAACATGCCTGAGACGCGCTTCTCGAACATCTGCACGCCCGGGTTATTGCTGTCTTCGTCAAGCTCACGGTCGAACACGGTGTTAGGCAGGACGCTGAGGTGGTTATCGAAGCTGCCCCATTCAGCATTGATGATCATCTCGCCCGTTGAGGTATCGTAGTGCGCGCCCTCCATGGTCTGGAGCTTGGTGATCTTGTCCAGTTTCTCGACGTACGCGCCGTTGGTGCCCGTCCCGAAAATGGCACCCAGGAAAGTCCCCGTCTCGCCGGGAGACGTGTACGAGCGCGCCATCAGCGTGCCAACCGTATCGTTCACCAGCGCCGCCACCCGCACCGGCAGTTGCAGATCATCAATCGCGGACTGCAGCAGTGCGCATACATCGTGTCCCACCGCGTCGGGGATATTAAAACCCTTGGTCCAGCGGATCAAAGTGCCGCTGTTAATACCCAGCTGGCGCACGGGGAAACTAAAAGTAAAACCGAGATCGAACATGTCCTCTCCGTCGTTGGCATCGCGGGGGCGGCGTAGGTGGGCCTCGAAGTGCTCGTTGTGGTGAATGCGCAAGAAGGCCTCGATCTGGCGGGCCAGGAAGAGGAAGAGGTCCTTGGAGGTGCCGGAGGCCATGAGTTCGCGCGGGATCATGATTTTGGACTGTGTCAGGTTAAAGGTGGTGTCGCCATGCAGTTGGACGGAGCAGACGCGGAAGTTGGTGCCACCGAGGTCGACGGCGAGATAGAGGCCCTACACACCGTGTTAGTTGGGTTAGACCAACACAAAGAAGCGAGGAGAGACGCACCTTTTCCGTGCCATTGGGAACGGCCGTCACGAAGGTCGGGATCTGCGACAGGGTGGTGTTCTCCTTAGCTAGGCCCTCGTTGCTTTGTTTGATGTACTCGTCGACGCCGCGCTGCACCTCGTCCGCGGGGTATTCGAATTCGCGCGCAATGCGCTCCGCCTCGTCTAGCAGTGCAGACATGGTTGGTGGCGGGAGGGAGAGAGAGGGGAGAAGGATATGAGTTAAATAGGAGCGACAAGAGGGAAGGGGAAGGCGAAGGAGGGATGGTTGAGAAAGGAAAGGGAGAAAGAGAAAAGGTCAAGTGGGATGGATGATGGAGGGGCTTCCATGAGGTCAGTCCAGTGGGTACTTGGCTGGTACTTGACCCGGTGCGTAGTGGGTGAGTACGCCACGAAGTACCGGGCGCGTACCCTCCAAGGCCGGGTTCACCGGAGAAGATGATTATTGACCTGACTGCTAATTATGGTGATCTATTATTGTCTGCGATCTGTGGATTAGTTACTGTTGGCCTCAAATATTCTGTCCGCATGCAGGTCCTCCCTACATTCCAGTCAATTTTTCCGTCGCGCGCACACAGCCGTTAATTTCATGACGCCATGGATGAAAACTGCAGATGTGGGGAGTCGGCACACTAAAAGGGTGTGCCTTTACGTACTGCGTTCCCCGACTTCACCGGTGAGCGACTGAGGCTTAGGCGGACGGAGCGCTGCGGGAGGCTGACCGGGGACGGAGTTACTACGAGCTGAGAGGGCCGTGTGTTTGGCCAGATAAGATGAAATGTGTACTACGTCAATGTATACTTCGGCCAGTCATCGGACCCGTCGGGCCAGTAGTGGGAGTGGCTGGCAAGTTGGATCCCGAGTGTGTGATTGTCGGCCCTGGTGGAGAAGGAGAATCTATGCGAGATGGTCTCACCACCACCTATTGGAAAAATATGTCAAGGTCCAATTTGGCTCTGCTAAGATCTCTGGTTTCTGATTTGTCAACCATCGACCGCCGGAAACGCCATATTCTGTCGCCCGATGCAAGTTTTCTTTGACCTACCGGCTGGAATGAAACGTGATGGACTGTCCGTAATCTGCGAGACACTAGTCATCTTCTGTTTACGGCTACCCACATCGAGGCCCTCGGTCGCAAAGCTATAGAACATTTGACCCGAGAGCCCCATCGCCCGTTCAATGCAATTAGACCTGCTAGAGGACAATGATGTCCTTCTAAATACGTCTAGGAACCTTCAAAGCTTTATTAAACTGGTTACTGGTTTAGGGGCAACAAATTCAGAAATTCCAATTTGCATTGCATCCGCTTTGATCATAGATATATATCCACACGGGATACCCCTTCTAAAACAGGCAGTTGATAGAGCTTTTATGTTTCGAGGCGAGGAGCCAGTACTGCAGGATTCAATTCTATGAAACATGCCATATTCAAGATCTCAATCCCCGCGGTATCTTGATTGATGGCCCACGCTGGACGATTTGGCTCTCTGACAATGAGGAAGATTTAACTATCTGAACCTCACAAGATCATAAGTCATTGAAACCCCATAGATAGGCCTTATATTCCGCATGAAAGTGACGATAGGTCGCCTTTGGACATGTATTCTGCCGATTACGCGAAACATTACTGACTCTGTTGTTGGTTTGGTAAGGGACTTCGAAGAGCTGTGCGAGGCCCTATCTGTCTCTGTATCGTCCGGCTCCAGCGGCGGACACCGAACCGTCGGGGGTTTCGAAGAGTGTTGCCAGGCCATATCAATCTCCGTATCTTCTGGAACTGGCGGCGGACATCAAACCGGATAGTACACGGCGTGACGAGGATGTTCAAAAGATGTGGAAAGAGGGCATCGATGTCTCTGGCGGGAGAACCCAGCGATCCTGGGATGGTTCCTCCTGCCCCTGTTCCAAAGATCCGTACGATGGCTGCAGTCCCAAATCTGCCAGGATAGCTGTGACGGTCCAGTTTTCTTCAATGCGGCAATTGAGAAGCCCGTTTGAACTTACCGGATAACATCTAGTTTCTAACTTCCCGCAGCGCCACCCGAAATAGTACCTTCTGAAAGTGCCTGGAGACCTTTCAGATCTGGTTGGTAGGAGTAGCACATGACATTAATCCTTCTAAGTCCAAGAGGACAAGAGCATGTATCCATATCAAACGGATAATTCTTTCTTTGGAACTTTTGCTCTCCTGTGGCGCTTCATCGGTTCTTAAGACAACATTGATGATTCGGCGTTGAAATCAGTTCGCGGTGATCTTTTCTTTGCTTGTCGCCATGCTCCGTTGAGGGATTTCTTTCGGCAAATCTGAAGTGCACGCACAGTTACTGCATGAACTAGACACTCTAAATTTTGGTTCGACAAGACGGTATGGGGCGGAGCGTATGGCGAAAACAAATCGCTCATCTCGAGTCCTAAGCCCTATCCAGCTAATGACCCTCCAGTACTGGCCGGGCATCCTTGTGCGCCATATTGGACGTCCCAGAAGGATTCTTCGGTGATGACACATTATAGTCCGGGGTCTTTATGTTCCCCACCGTCGGATCCCTAATCAATGCTTTTCGATTCTTGCGGGATTTTTCTGTCCTATCCCGACTCGCTCAAATAGCAGAAGACGTTCATTCATGAACAAATGTCGCATCCTCGACACATTTCATTCTGTCAATTTTATCTAAAAGGCCGTAAAGGAGAGGGGGAAATGGAGCGCGTGGGTCGGGCGTTGTTCCGTGCTACGGGACATAGACGCAGGTCTATAAGCCGGGTCGCTGCACGATTGTTTCGGTGTTAAATATCTTGGGCTTCGACCCTGTATTCTGAATATCATTCCTGTTACCGGCTTTTCTTTTGTCTTCAAAAACAAACATTCCATTCCTTTGGATTCTCATTTGGGCTGCCTCTTCTATACTTCTCTCGAGGTATGCATGAAGACAAGTCAAGCGCTCAGCTTGACGACGATTCCAAAAAGAATGCAAAGAGCCCGCCTCAATTCGAGCAGTATGGCGTCAGCATGCACCAGCGGACTATCTTTTTCGGGCCCGATGAGCAGCGTGGAAGAAGAGGGTCCAAGCATCGGCGGTCCATCTCACGCTCGCGTTCTCGCAGCCGCGCTCAATCCGCTTCCACCATTCCAATCGAGTTCCGCCGGATGAGTTTCCAAATCGCTGAGTCCGATACACGCGAGAAATCTCAAGTGGACCTAAAAAGTAACAAAAACAAAAAGGAGGAGCCGCCCACTGACTCGAATTATTTCGAGAGTCTCCATTTTCATCGCCAGTCCGTTGACACTATCTATCAACATTTCGACAGCACCATTGATGGACTCTCTCCAGCGGAAGCCGCGGCTCGTCTGGCTCGCAATGGCAAAAATGAACTGCCACACATTTCACCGAACTACATTAAGAAAGTCCTCAAGTATGTCTTTGGTGGATTCTGTTCAGTTCTCTGGATTGGTGTGATCATCTTCTTTATCTGCTGGCGGCCTCTCGGTGACCCGAATCCAGCACCGTACAACTTGGGCCTTGCCATCCTGGTCCTGATTGTAATCTTCCTGCAAGCCTCATTCTCGGCCTTTCAAGATTGGTCCACCGCTCGTACTATGAAAGGCATTTTGGACTTGGTCCCGACCGAAGCATTGGTGGTCCGATCTGGCGAGACAACAAGAATCTCCGCCACGGACGTGGTCGTCGGAGACATTATCAAAATTAGCGTGGGAAACAAGGTCCCAGCGGATCTTCGCCTTATTACCACATCTGGAGACATCCGCTTTGACCGCTCGATGCTGACTGGAGAATCTGAAGACGTGGATGGTGCCATTGAGATGACGGACAGCAATTTCTTAGAAACCGGCAATGTTGCGCTGATGGGAACAATGGTTACCAATGGAAGCGCCACAGGAATGGTGGTTTTGACAGGAAAGGACACCGTGATGGGGCACATCACAGTGTCCTCTACCTCGGTCAAGGAGCAGCCTACCCTCATTCAGCGTGAGATCACCCGGTTTGTCAGAATCATTGTCATGTTGACAGTGTTTCTTGCTGCCCTTATACTCTTCACTTGGGTTGGCTGGCTCCGGGTGAAGCACTTCTCGTATATGAATGTGATCGACATGCTTGACGATGTGATGGGTTGTGTCGTTGCATTTATCCCCGAGGGCATGCCTGTGGGAGTTGCCTTGACACTTCTACTCGTGGCGACACGCATGAAGAACCATAATATTCTCCCGAAAGGCCTTTCCACTGTTGAAACCCTCGGATGCGTCAATGTCATTTGCTCCGACAAAACAGGTACCCTTACCGAAAACCGGATGAGCGTTATCACAACCGCATTTGTGGACAATATTATGTCGGCTGAAGCGGCTATTTCTAATATTGAGGAAGGAGTCTTGAAACCTTTTGCGGATCTCCATAAGGCTGCTGCTCTATGTAATGATGCTCTTTTTGATGCCACGACCACCAGCTATCCCATTATGGAAAGAAAGGTCCTCGGCAACCCCACTGATGGCGCTGTGCTCAAATTTGTTGAACAAGCCCAAGAAGGCGCCGTTCAGGATTTGAATGAGAGATACCACAGGGTTTTCAGCATTCCGTTCAATTCCAAGAACAAATGGATGCTCACACTACATGAGATTGAGACAGCCGAGCTAGGAAACCCCAGTTATCTCCTCCTGGTGAAGGGCGCAGCAGACATCTTGCTGCCACACTGCACTTCCTATTGGTCCTGCGCAAGCAATAGTGTCCAGACGCTCGATAATGCGGCAAAACAGCAACTTGCAGCAGCTCAGGAACACATGTCGCGCGAAGCTCAGCGGGTCATTCTCCTTTGTCAACGGTCCTATACTCCCACGCAGCCTTTTGGAACAAATGCTTTCAGAGATGAGATTCAGAGTTGTGGAATAGCTGCTCTCACTCTAATTGGCCTGTTTGGTATCATTGATCCCCCTCGCGCGGAGGCCGCAGCAACTGTGGCATCTTGCCGACGCGCCGGAGCTCGTTTCTTCATGGTTACTGGTGATACTGGCCTTACTGGGGCGGCTATTGCTCGTGAAATTGGTATTTTCAGTGGTACAGCCGAGCCTGATACCTTTGAAACCATTGTGCAGAGACGGAGCTTTGATGATATTTCTACCTCCCAGTCGTCGAAAGAGTCTGATTCTAGATGGTCGCAGAAAAGCCTGCTTCTTGAAGGCCCCGCCATCTCGCAACTGACCGACACCGATTGGGATTTGGTTTGTCAATATGAAGAAATTGTGTTTGGCCGCACCATGCCAGACCAGAAGCTCCGCATCGTGAGTGAGTTCCGAGCACGCGATAATGTCGTTGCGGTTACCGGAGACGGTGTGAATGATGCGCCCGCAATGCGCGCTGCTGATGTTGGCGTGGCCGTGATCACTGGCAGTGACGTGGCTCTTGAAGCCGCAGACCTGATTTTGATGGACAAGTTCGACTCCATTATTGAAGCAATCCGCCTTGGGCGTTTAGTCTTTCAGAACCTTCAGAAGGTCATCAGCTATCTTCTTCCGGCGGGTTCGTGGTCTGAGATCTGGCCAGTACTTCTGAATGTTTTCTTCGGCGTTCCTCTCCCTCTGTCATCATTCCTGATGATCATCATCTGTGTTTTCACCGATTTGCTCTGCTGCCTGTCCCTGATTATGGAACAGCAGGAGTTTGACTTGCTTGATCTACCGCCCCGCAATCACAAAAAGGACCATTTGATCAATTTGAAGGTTTATATTCAAAGCTATTTCTTCATTGGCGTTCTGGAAACAGTTTGCGCGCATTCAATGTACTTCCTCTATTATTGGAAGTACGCCGGTATTCCTGCGAGCGCACTTTTTTTCGCGTTTGAAAAGTATGCAGATGGGTTCTACGGCTACAAAGAGGCCGAGCTGATGCATTTCAATGTCACCGGCCAGAGTGTTTACTTTATTTCCCTTCTCATCATGCAATGGGGAAACATCCTCAGTGTGCGCAACAAGCGCCTCTCCATCCTGCAGGCAGATCCCATTTGCAAGCAACGTCGCAACCCCTGGCTTTTGGCAAGCCTGGTGGTCAGTCTATCTATTGCAATATTTGTCACGGAGGTGCCGGGTATTCAGCGAATATTTGGCACTGGCTCCGCCCCTCTAGAGTTCTGGTTCTTGCCTATCCCCCTTGCATTGGGCATCTTGTTCATGGATGAGACTCGCAAGCTGTCGGTGCGGATTTGGCCAAGGGGATTTACTGCACGAATTGCGTGGTAACCATGCTGTCAGAAGGTAATTCGCCAAAATTTCCAACCACCGACTCCCTTCTTTATCCTGGTGCAGAGTTTTCTCGCTTCTCTGCTATAAGTTTAGACATACTAAATAGAACGGAATACCATCGATTCTATTGTCTCAATTGTGTGAGCCCCCCGGTAAATAAGTAGTGTGTTAAACCTCTTCTAGAACTTTGAAACATACCACGCCAAACGTTGCCCTAAAGGCTCTTTTTTACAGTCATAGAATGTGCTAGCTATTGCCTAGCATACGCTCCTTTTCGCTTTTTGGGTGGGGGAAGGAAATATCTGGCCTTGGCCGTCTCCGTAGTACATTTTAATTAGTACCTCTATCTTCAAATGACTAGTAGTTAAAGCGAACGCTGCTAAGTTATCTCGTAGCCTCTACTCATCAAGAAGCCTTTCAACTCATTTTAGATGCCAACCTAGGGGGTTACTGTGAAATACTGCTGACACTACGAATCCAGAGATGTATTTGTCATCGTTCTGCGTTATTTGAATGAGTTGAAGCATCACCGAGGTGGCATAGATTTTCGTCCATGCTGGCGAGAGGTGCTATTAATTGTTTTGTTCCCGTAACCCCCACATCCCCCACCCGGGACCCTTTCCGGGAGTTAGTTTTCTATGCGTTTGCACCCGTGGGTAATGATCGTGGCCATTTTTCTTTAATGAAATGGGTATTAGACGATAGGGCACATCGTAACTTAAAATTTGAACAATTTCTCAGAGCTGTAGAGCCCCTGGGTGTCGAGATATTTCAAGAATACGTTTTGCCAAGAAAGACTTGCCTTCGTGTTGGTTCATTTAATGCAAGGTGCTGATTCCCTTGAACCTAATAAAGATAGCGCGCGGAAAAAAATGTCTCGGTATACCTGGGACCCTCGCTGGACGGAAACAATTGACCGACATGCTGAAGGTACATACCGCTCATCGAGTCTGAATGAGGACCCTGAATTCGTTCCGCAAACAAAATGGCGGCTAATAAAGAGAATTATGATAAAAGTCTGAATATGCCAGTCGTAGCATACACAGCATGTATCGCCACATCTGGTAACACCTGACCGACAGACACACTTGTGACAACTGGCAGAGTTATTAACCGTCGGAGCTATATTACCCGACACTCCATTTAACACCGTTACCCTCGGAGCTTACACAGCCTTATAGTAATGGAGAGATTCATGATTGCAATCGGCTAATTTTTTGGTGGGGCTTGGACGTGGGCGTGGGGTATAATCCTGGTTCGCCGTCAATATTTGGGAACCCCCCCCCCCGGCTTTAATGCAGCAAAGAAAGCTAACGTCCGGCCACTAAGGAACTTTCACATCCACCTTTCCCTGACCTAGCATGCCATCCCCGCAGTCTCAACAATGCCGGTCTTTCCGGTCATCTCTATTTACCGGGATATGTATATAAGATGAGCTGGTACAGTCTTGTTTATAGTGATTTATAGTGGCCCTGCAGATTCCGGCAGCCAAATCAATATTCTGACTGCCATTTCTTAATACCGACTGCTGTTCTCTATTCTGGAAGTCGTTTCTCTTCTGTACTATGTTCCTTCGCCCATTAGTGGCCGCTGCCGCCCTGGTTGCTCTCGGTGCAGTCGGTGCATCGGGGTTATCCGACCATGAGCAATCTCTCGCGCCCTCCCTCAACCGCTGGCCTCGTGGGACTCATTTGGGTGTTGACTACTACCCGTCGCAATGGCCGGAACAAATGTGGGAGTCCGACATGGCTGAAATGCGAGATGCCAACCTATCGTATGTGCGAATAAACGAGTTCGACTGGGCCATCTTAGAACCGTCCGAGGGGCAATACAATTTCACACTTTTGGACAGGACGCTGGAGCTACTCGCCCGGTATAACCTTAAAGCGATCATTGGCACACCCACGGCAGGTCCGCCTAATTGGCTCACCCAAAAATACGACGTCAGCTTCGTGGACCACACCAATACCACATTGCTTTTCGGATCTCGCCGTGGCTATAGCACATCCTCGACCGATTACCGTCTACTGAGCCAGAAAATCACGCGAAAATTGGCAGAGCGGTACGGCAACCACCCCACCGTAGCCGGCTGGCAACTGGACAATGAGTTCGGATGTCATGGTACCGTGCAGAGCTACGATCATAATGCCATCAGGAGGTTCCGGGCATGGCTGCAGGCTAAGTATGATACCATCGAGAATTTCAACGCTGTCCAGGGCCGTGTGTTTTGGTCAGACCAATATACCAGCTTTGAAGCAGTTCAGCCACCGTTTCTAGAAGTCTACACGCCACCGCCTGACCATTTTCTCGATTGGTACCTATTCAGCTCAGACATGACAATCGAATTTGCGCGGGAGCAGTCGGAAATCCTGAGGCAATATGCGCCGACAAAATTCATTACACACAATTTTATGATGGGCTTCACGGACTTCGACCATTTCAAGTTCTCGCGTGAAGTGGGAATTGACCTCGCGATGTTTGACGAGTATCCCCTTTCTGGTCCGAGTTCGTTCTCGTGGCTCTCTCTGAAAGAACAAGCAAATTATCTGCGCACCGGTCTACCGGATTGGCAAGCGCTGAACCACGCTCTCTATCGCGGTGTTGCGGGTGCAGCATACAACAAAACAGCCGGGCCGTTCGGCGTTATGGAGATGCAACCCGGCGTTCTAAACTGGAGTCCTTACCGGGTGTCTCCCTTAAGAGGCATGGTGCGACTCTGGACACACGAGACGTTCGCAGATCTGGGCGATATAGTGTCATATTTCCGCTGGCGTCAGGTCCCGTACGGGGCAGAGCAAACGCTGTCCGGCCTGTTTACCTCGGACGATACCCAAGACGAAGGCTTTGTCGAGCTGCAGACCGTGGTAAACGAAGATCTACCGGTGTTAAGGAATGCAATCAATATGGATCAAGAACAGGAGCCCCAAGCAGATGTGGCTCTTATATTCGACTACGTCTCTTCCGCGGTTTGGGCTATCGATCCGTACAGCGGGGATTGGAGCCCCAGTGACTCCAGCTATACGAACCCGACCGTCAGCTATATGGACATCGTCTATAACTTTTATTCTGCTCTCCGCCGCCTCGGTCTTTCTGTTGATATTATTAGCCCCGACCAACCGATTCACGGCTATAAACTCGTGGTCGTGCCAAGTTTACCCATCATCCCCAAAGCATTCAACGAAGCACTAGCTGAGTACAGTGGCCCAGTCGTTTTTGGGCCTCACACTGGCTCTAAAACAGCCACGTTCAGGTATACTCCTGGTCTTAGCCCCTCGAAAGGTCCGCTCCGTGACCGCCTGCCGATGAGAGTCACTCGCGTAGAGACACCGCCGACTTACGCGGATAGTGGTGTCAACTATGCGGGAAAGACGTTCAATATTTCAGGCTGGGAGGAGTGGGTTTTCTGCAAGCGGGAGAATCGTACGAGCGTCGTGACAATGACATCTACCTCGTCACATCGTCTCGGTCAGCCAGCCGCTTGCTCAATGGATGGGCTGCACTATCTTGGCTTTAATCCGTCCGTCGAGCTGCTCGTGTCATACCTGGGTGACATCGCTAAGGACGGAACGATTACTGATTTTGCGGGACGGCAGGCTAATAGCAGCAATGATCTTGGGCCAACGCTGCGGTTTGCGAAAAGAGGCACCTTGCTCTGGGGGTTTAACTATGGTTTAACACCTGCGAGTTTTCCTGCCATCGAAGGTGCTGAGCCTCTGATTGGTGGGGATGCTTCTGAGATTGCGTCCGCTGATATAGCTGTTTGGAGGCTGAAGAGTGCGCAGCTGTGAGGCAGCTGGTAAGCTTTAGGAATTAAACATGCATCGCAGCTATAGATCACAGTATACGTAACGGTACCACTGCTCTCACATCATCTAGTACATTTCGGTCACAAAACATGCGGCCAAAAAGAGGTGCTGAGATCGGCGCGCCGGGAGGGCACGTAGAAAGCAAAACGAGTCGTCGGAAGACGTGCGATTCATACAGAGTCAAGCTCTAAGCGATGGATCAGAGTGTTAGGTTGTGAGGGTCAGTTTCGATGTCTCTAGCTGCCTGTATCAGCTCATCTTGATAGCTTTAGCAAATTGTGTTCTATAGCGCAATTCGCGAAGGAAATCTCCATGTGAGTGCAAGGTGTGGTCATGAGAATGTGGAGACTGTGGTGGGCCAACGGGTAGTCGCGGGAGACAATCAAGAGGACACCATCTTTTTTAAGGCATCATAAACTGAAATCGACCTAGATGAATAGGCCAATTCAGGTTCGCAATTCTTACAGATCAAATTTGTGTCGCTTTCCTGCATGGTGGCTCTGTGATGGCTCTGTTTATCCTTTGCCGTGCCTCTTTCTTCTAGATGGGCGTGCTTATGTAATGAATGATATCATGAATAGTATGGCGAAGACAAATTTCGTCAGTGCACTACGAAACGACGATTTATTAAAACTAACAATCTAATCGAATCACTGCTTTTCTTAAATTCGACGGCTCACACCAAGCCCAAAATCCGCCTGGAAGACTGCGCTGTTTCAGCGCTAAGGTTGAAGAGTGAGATTGATAGTCTCAAGTTCTCGAGGAGACACAATGCAGACAGTCGGCGTACTATTTACTGTCGCAAGGGTTTTGCAGTGGATGAGTGCGGTAATTGTCATGGGCATTTCGTCCTACTTCATTGCACATGGACCTCGCGAACAGCATGCGCTGTACTGGGAAATACTTGTGAGTTCAACGTCGAAATGCTTAGAGTGAAACTGATGATTTGAAGTCGGTCATATCCGTGGTTCTGTTCTCTCTCGCTAGTGTGTTATGCTTCTTCTTTTTTCGAAATATGAGAAAGTATACGTGGGCATACTACGCAATTTTCACTATCGACTTCGCCTTTTCTTACTTGTATGTCATTCCTACTATGCATGGGTTCATACCGCCCTCATACTAACTAGCTTAAAAGGTGGTTGACCAGCTTTATATTTGGGGCTCAGGACTACAATTTAAATAACTGCAGGCTCAGTGCACCGATAGGAGTGTCATGCGGTTTAAAAAGAACGACTGAGGCATTTATGTTTATAACATTGTAAGTGCTTCCTCATTAACTAGAAACTGGGATTATCTTACTAATTGATGGTTTATTAGTATTTCTACTATCTTTCTCGTTCTTCTCGAAGGAACTCCCATTTCTCCACTTTCTACGTTATCCTTTGACGACCCAACAGAACCAGAACAGTACGATGATGTGCCTTCTACCGCGGAGCATAGCGCCTTGTAAATAACTCTAGAATTTGGATATCTATAGGTTCAAAGATGCCATTGAGTTATTGTTATCTAATATTAATAGTTTTGTCATACGTCCCGAGTTGATCAGTTGGATAAACCCTTGAGGTATCTTACTATCGACTTGCTAGACAGTGTCAAGAAGGCATGTGTTGTGAAGCAAACTAAGGCGAAACTATTCCCGTAGGAACATCTTGAATGTGGATCACTTTTATTGGGATATGTTTTTACGAGTCAGCTTGCCGAGTTCTTGTGGATTTCCTGAAGAATGCATGTCAGGCAGCGTTTATGGCCAGTTTTCAAACTCCAGCAAAGAGGAATCGTGGGTCAAATGACTCCAGCCAAATGAGTGAATGCAGCGGTCATCAATCGGGTGCCCATGTGTGGTCTATGTTAGTCTAGTCGGGACACTCTGGACTACTAGGATAATGAGGGGTTCACTACTATCCAACGCGTTTAAACATTTGAAGATTTGCCGAAGTAGAGTCAGAAAAGTGAGAGGAAAGGCGGTGCAAATCTCACGCATGACCACTTCGACAGAGGATGTCAAGGTTTAAATCCATGTAATAAACTGCTAACACGAGCTTTCAAGGATTATAAATCGCCTGCGCTACTCTAATCCTCTATCATGATTACCTGTCATCTGACGCCGTGCGCGGCCCTGCCTTGTGCAATAAGATCCAGGCACTTGGCCACCTTCTCTCTCCCTTTCAATGATTTGAGCCAAGCTGTATATCTGGGATACATTTCTTCCAATCCATCTGCTCGGTTCAATTGATGGAGCAGACCTTCACCGATGGTGGCCCATGTGACGAAAGACAGATCAGCGTATGTGCACTTGTCGCCGACGAGCCAGCCCGTGCCATTTCGTGCCAATCCTTCTTCCAGGACCCCTAATACTCGTAGTATCTCATCGACATACCGCTCCGTGGCAGAGGGGAGCTTCTCAGGATGGAATCGAGCAAACCATGTTGCCTGGCCAAAGTAGGGGCCTTGGCCTATTGATAATTTAAGCCTCGGTTGCATATTCCTCAAGATAGACCGCTACTTACCGGAGACTTGGAAGGCTAACCACTGCTGGCACAAATATTTTTCAGGACTTCGTATGTACGAAAGGATCCCCTTTTTATCGTACTGCTCAACCAGATAGGCAATGATCGCGGCACTCTATAAAGGAACCCTTGTTAATCCATAGACCTGAGTGAAACAACCATGACGATAGTTTGCTTACCTCCCAGAGGGTAATGCCAGTGTTTGGATCCTCGATAGTAGGCAAGCGTCCGTTGGGGTTAAGCTCTAGGTAATGGGGTTGCTTAACTTCGGAGAACTCGACCAAATGGAGATCATAAGGAAGCTGAAGTTCTTCGAGCAACATGGAGACTTTCCTTTAAAGGGTGTTAATGTTATTTCTTTCAAAGAGAGCCGTTGGGAGCACTTACCATGGGTTAGGGCCTCCCCAGTGACCCCAGAGTTTGATCGGTTGCGGAGGCATTCTGGGCTGAGCAGGAGGATGAGGATAGGTGATAGTGCACGGGAACTATGTTATGCCCGAAAGTCTTTTGTGAAATGATCGAGAAATTGGAATGAGTGGCCAACGGTAGGCTGGTTGGCTCCTTTTATGGGCTTGGGAATCTGGTCGCATCTTCGTCCAGCCAGATACCTGTTTACAATATATTTCCTGGAGCTTCATTGGTCACACTGACTGGCTCTAAGGAATCCTGCATCCATCTGCTTTTTCTTGCCCAAATAAGTTCGTTTTGCGAAAAATTTAGCGCGAAATAGAAAGTCGCATGTTCCAGCCTTCCGCTCGGATCAAGGATAGCCCCGCCAATCAATCAATCAATTAATCAATCAAAACTCTATCAGCCCAATGCAGCCTAACTAGATAGCCCCGCCCTTGCGAGATTTTTAGCGCAACGGACGACCGAACACGGGGCCCTCCGGCAACGGCATCAGGACCATCATTCCCCGATAGCGAGATATACAAGAATTCCTTAAAATCGATTCCTAAAAATGGTTAATCCTGGCCATGCAAGCAAATGCTGCACGACCTGCAAGCTAAGAAAGATTCACTGTGACCTCACACATCCCTTCTGCCGACGTTGCACGAAATCAGGAAGAGTCTGCTTGGGATATGGAGAAAGACAGACAAAAGGGCGAATACTATTACACGGCTCTACGACGACCTCAGCAAACCGACAAACATCACTCTCCAACTGTTTATCAACCTCTGAAGATCATGACGGATCACGACAGAATAAGACGTCGATAATTGCCGCTTCGTTTCTCGAAATGTTCCTTCTGAGCACCAACGAGGGCAATCCAGAAAATTCAGAATCGCGACACTCACTCTATACCACGGCGGCTGTGCAGGGTTCAGATAAGGTAGCTATATCTGTTATGGATATAATAAAGAAGTGTCTTCACTCACTACGCCAACCCCTACAATATCTGGAGAAACGAAGAGATTTGCTTGCTGAGTATAGCGCTGCAACTAGTGAGCTCAGGGCGACACTGATAGACTCATCACATTCGGCAGCCATGGGTGGTGCAGTATTTCTCTTCTCAATGTATGAGGTATGTTCCACCTGTGCCCTGCCATAATCAATATTCATCACATAGTTAGATGATCGTCAACATCGACCTAGAGGACCGGACATGGCAGATCCATCTTGAAGGTCTCCTAAATATTCTATCACAGCAGTCGCTCCACCACCGAGCTTCGTCTATGGACCGCTTTGGCACTTTATATCTTGCAATCCAAATTTGCAAACCTGAAGGCGACGTATTCCGAACACTTGCGACATGTGAGATGAATAGTGTTGGGAAATCCTTCTTGATATTAGACGTCGCAATGCTTTGTCTGCAACCTCTAACGGCAGAAGTTAAGAATCTGCTTAAAGGGGCAGCCCCTCGGAAAATCGATGTGCAAAGATTTCGATCCTCGGTCAGAAAAATCCAAAAGAACCTCAAATTGTTTCCGAAACTATGTCCAATTGCGGAGGTCGATATTGCCAAAGTTTCTTCCAGGGATAGACTGATGAATGTAAGTCGATTTCCAAGGTGAAATCTAAAGCGTACTGACGCCACCACAACAGGCGCTTCTTTTGGTTAGATGGAACGACTACCACTGCCTACAGCTCATCACAACCGACTTGCTTCTAACGACAGGTAGTTTCCTCTACTCGCGCCAGGGATACGAAGTTATGAGAGAATATTCTATACTTGCTGGAATTATGTATGAGGCGGCGGGAAGCATATGTTCTGCAGTCCCTGCGATCCTCGAGACAAGACCCATCCAGGTGACAGGTCAGCCCAGAGAGTCCATGGAAAAGCCAATCAGGGGCTTATTGGTACTTTGGCAATTATGCTGCACTTTAAAGGCACCGAAGGTGTCACAATTCCAGCAAGATTGGATTCAAGATACTCTGTGGTCAATCGGAAGCCAAGCATCTATCCCTCAAGCTTCAGCATTGGTACGCACGCGTTTTAAAGCTATATACTGGATCAGTCTAATCATTATAGGCAATTTCGAAAGGACAAAATGCAGAGTGGACAGACGTGTTGGCAGGATTACTCCTAGTCCGCGTGGCCCTTTCCAAGGAGCTGCTGGGCCTTTACAGTCAGTGTGTAATAGCTTAACAAGAGCATTTATCTTGAAAATTTTTGAAGAAGAAAATAGCCATAAATTCGACACCATTTTCTAGTCCATTTCAAGTTGAACGCCGAATCTACTTGGCGGAGTTACGTAACAAAGCAGGATAGTCACATGACTGTATCACGTGAGCACCCGAATCAATCACCGCTGCCGGCGAAGCGGATCCCGACTGGCCCTGGATTGATTGATTGCCCTGAACTTCTCACCCCCTTGGCCCTACAGACACAATGGGTGCCGGCAGCTCTAAGCCCGAGGCTGCGGCCGACTCTAAACATATCTTCTCCAGGTGCGTTGCCGATGAGGAGAGTGGTGTTGATGGTGCTCATAAACATGAGCGCCGGGAATACAAACCTGCTTTGATCAATTGAAACATGATCAATTGCCTCAACCCTACACTACACTACGACACGACACTTCAAACACCCTACACAATAAAGCTATACCAAGAAAAAGAAAGACTAACATCCAAACCCAACAGCAACTCCCCCGTCCAATTCTCCTCCAACCTAGTCGAAGCCCTCCAATCCAGCTCCGAGGTACGTTTTTGCGTCTTAACTACAATATCCCCCTCTCAGAAGAAAGGAGCAACTAACGAAAAGGCAAAAGACCGACTCCTCACGTGCCAAAAGCCTCGAACTCGAAATCCAATCCCGCGTTGCCTCAGAACTGGCCCGGCTCCGCGAACGCGAGCAGCAGACTCTCGCGGAGATTGAAAAGCGGCTCGCGGAAGTGAGAGACTCAGGAGAGTCGGCGGCCACTCCTTCGACGAGGAAGGCCCTCGCCCCCGCTGCCGGATACGTCTCCTCGGCAGGATCGCTAGACCTCGACGCACCGCGAATCCCCTTCGCAGGACGGGAACATGATCCCCTTCCCGCTTACGAGCCTGTCGGTGAATCTCCTAGCGGTGGCGCTGCGAACCGACAGCTCTCCTCGACCAGCGTTATGAGCGAGATCGAGCAGCTACGAAGCAAGCTGGACGGACGCCGGAAACTGGCGGAGCTGGATGAGGGCGTTGCGCGGGCCCAGGCGGAGGTTGTCGCGTGTTTGCGGCTGAATGATCGGAGGCCGTTGGATTGTTGGAAGGAGGTTGGGGCGTTTAAGAGGGAGGTTGCGCGCATGGAGGAGGCGTTTGTGGATCGGATTGTTGGGTAGATCTATTGGATCTACTCTTCTAAACAAATTGTTGGTTGGGCAATGAGTGTAGTGTATGGCTGTAGTGTATGTATAGAATTTTGATTACTTTTTCTTTTGTGTGGTGTTGATTTGTTCTCTGTATGTATCGAGAGAGCAGTCTCTTGGCTACTGCATAACTCATTGGAAAGTCTATCGTTTGGGTATCTATCAGACATGCCAACATCAAAATCAAACAACCTCCCAAATCCCCAACCTACCCACTTTCTCCCCGGCAGCACGAACAATGCACATCTTCTTCTCAGACATCTTAGCATTAGTCCCAACAACCCTCTCCAACAAAATACACCCAACACCCGTCCCTTTCCCTTCGGACAGGTTATAATTCCCCGTCGTGACAAACCCGATGAGATCCGCTTCAGGCGGAACATCTAGATGCTCTGCGTCGGACTCAGCGGAAGGGTAAATAAGGGACTCGATGAGTTGGCGGCGTGTTTCTTCCGGAGAGGTATTCTTATTTGTAGGCTTCTGGTGACGAGGACGAGGACGAGCAGACCCCCGAGCAGAGGGAGAGGCAAGGTCGAGCCATTTCTGTCGAAGAACTGGATCGCTGGGAAGCCGGTAGATGCGCGCGCGAGGCGTGGGCGTGCCACGCGTGGAGAGAGTAATGTGGACGGTCACCAGGGCGGAGGGGTCGGACTTTTTGGTTATGAACTGGTTGATTTCGGATGGAAAGCAGCGGAGATTGTGCATGTCGAGAGGCGGGATCACAGTATTGGCACCATTGCTGTCTTTATCCTTGTCCATGTCTTTGTCTGCTGAACCATCACCAACCTGTGGTGGCCCTCCACGAAGCAGTCTCTCCCAATCACACGCCCAACCACGCCCAATCTCGCCCTTCGGGTGTCCAGCCCCCAAAACCAGCGAGTCAAACTCATGTCGACGACCTTTAGGTCTGCGTTCCCACTCCACGCGCGTCCTTTCCGTCTCACGCAGGCCCCATTCCCAGCCAGCCCGCGTGCCAGGAAAATCACCAGGAAACCAAGGCTCGCCCGCCTCAAAGGCAAGCTGTTGTTGTTCCTTCAACCCGCCAAAGCGCGGGTTTCCGCCGCTGGAGAGCGGGTAGTACATGAGTGAGTACCAGACGGGGGTCACACATTTCCAAGGGAGAAGAATAGTCCACGAGCCGGGGGCATTGCTGCGTTGATTGTTGCGGGACTGTGGGCGTGTGGCAATGGCCATAATTGGAATTTGGGGGTCGGATGGTTGGGGAGGTGGGTAATTGCCCGGACCGGCGAGGGCGCGGCGGCGATTGATAGCCTTCTGGCTTGGGAGCTGGCGCGCAGCGGTTAGTCGAGTGGAGCGATCGAAGATCGGAGACGGGCCTTGTGTTTGGTCCGGTGGCCATGAGGCTAGTAACGTGGCAAGGTCATTCATGTGCGACTCATCATTCTCCCGGGGTCGAAGGGTGCGGGGAGGGAAATGAAGCCGAGGATCAGAGACCATAAAGGACAGAAGAGCATTCTGCGGGAGGGACGATGGATTGGACACGCCCAGTAATGCTGGCCAGGTATCTTCCGGGCTTTGCAAGGTTGCAGCGTTTCCATCCGACCCGCGAATTGGCTGCAACGCGGCCAGCAGGGCCTCTGTTGAACCCGGGCCAGTGATTTCAATGCTGCCGATTTCAAAACGCAGATCCTCCACCATGACCACAGGATTCTGTCGTTTCGATACCTCGAGAAGTTCGTTCCACAGCTGCAGAAATGCCGAGGGATGAACGCGGATCCAAAGCTTCGACCGATCTTTCTTGGGTTTGCCCACATCGCCCATTTCGACATCCTCGGAACGTGGCCGGGCACACCAGATCAAAGCCACCGGCGCAATCGGTCTGACACGGCACTCCTTCTCAAACATCCATGCCTGCAATGCCCTCGTTCCAGCACGCCATTTCCTTCCCTTCACCCCCAACGCCTCGTCCCCATCAATACCCATAACTCTCAAAACAGCCTCGATCGCATCCCCCGTCCCCTCCAACTGGATAGTAGACATATAACTCATATCCCAAGCAACAGCACCCCTTGCCCCTCTCGCGCGATGAGTAGGACGATAACTCTTCTCAGTAGGCGAGAGCGGCAACGCAAAGCGCCAGACAGGATCCTTGGAGGTGGCCATATGCGCACGCTTCGCATGGAACATGTGCGTCGGCAACCAAGTCTTGCACCGCTGGCGCTTGCGGTACTTCGCCTCTGCCGGCGGCGGGCGGGAAAGCTTATTCTTTTTGATCTTGGGCACGCGCGGTGCGATCTCGAAGGGATGGCTCCCTGCTTCCTTGAGGGCCGTTTGTTCGCTTTGTGTCCGTTTGGCTTTCGCAGCGGCGCGCCGGGCCTTGGTGCGCGCGTTGAGGTTCTGTAGCCGGCGGGCAGATTCGAGGCGGAGGCGCATGAGTTGGGTTGGTTTGCGGCGTCGCGCTGTGACGGTGGGGGTATTATCCTCGATCATCTAGTTATATTTTAGTGATTATTCGCGAGCACTCCCACAAGATCAAGACCCCAGGAAAGAGAAAAATACACACCTCTCTCTTCGCCCGCGCCCTCAATCTCCGCGGCACGCGCTTAACATTATGGCTCGCCGTCCTGCGGCGCAAGGCCCGAGGCACCTTCTGAAACGCACGAGTAGTCAACACACTTCTCGACCGCTGCATGCCCTCCTCCAGGGCATTGATCTCAAATGCGCGCGCGGCGGCATAGGCGGCGACGTCGAGCTCGCCTGTTGCGGAGAGGGCGGCGTCGGCGGATTGGACGGCCAGGGTGCGCGCGTCGAAGGTTTTGGCGCGCTTTCGGGATGCATTGGAGGCATTTGGGGGGGGTGGGTTTGCGTTTTGGGGGTTGCGGTCTGGCCATTGTGGCCGAGAGAGTTGAGTGACAATGGTCAAGAGAGAGAGAGTGGTGGGAAGAAATTGGACTTGGCGCGTCATGATCCGCGCCCCACTCAACAACTATACCGAGAGACGTGGAATTCTATAAATGTGCCCGTTATTATCTCTGCAAATATTCAATACCAAGGGTGACTATACAATATAAAAAACATATCATTAAACATATCTACCAAAGGTAGCTAAGATAGACCTCCTGTGTACAACCAAGAATCCATCTACATGACCACCGCCACATGATCGGTCATATACTTCTCAATGCTGCCCAGGAAACACGCCGCAAAGATCGAAATCGCCCCAAAAGCAATACTGACGTAGTAGACATATTTATACGACTGCGCATAGGCCATCTGGCCGGCCGTGACGACCATATTATACGCCGTCTCATTGGTGCCAATGCCGGGGATCGTTTTCAACTCCGTCAGCAGCGATGCGCCCGTGAGTTCAATTGCGTCGCCGATGAGCTTGGGGTCTGTGATGCCAAGGTCCATCTCCATCACACCGCCGATGTATTCTGTTGCGAGCGGGACGAATTTGGAGATGAAGACGTTGTAGTAGATCGCGTATCCGACGCCGCCGCCGACGACGCGGATAGACAGGGTTAGGGCGGAGATGGTGGCGATGAGGTCCTATCAATTAGAGTTAGTGGCTGTTAGAATGGAAGAAAGAGACCAAAAGCTTACGTCGGGGCAGATGATGGTCGTGATGATGGAAGCTGGCACCACAATGCCGCCGATTCCAAGACCGGCGAGCACGAGGATTCCCCACAGCTGGTAGAGATTATCGAGACGTCCAATGGCCAAGGCACCGCAGCCTATTTCGACGGTTAGCAATTGTTCAAATCCTAACAAACAACAAACCCACCGGCAGTCATGCAAACACTACTAATAATCAGCAACTCCTTATTATGACCCCGGAAGACGCTCAGCAGGGTCAAAACAATGCAAGCTCCGCCCAAGATGCTGAACCCAATGGGAATACTGCGAATGCCGACAGCAACGGGGTCATGACCGTAGACGTTGAACGACTCCGTCGGCCAGAACATCAGTACGGAGAAGAAGTTTGCGCCTGAGATAAAAGTGATCACGAGCGTTAGGCCCAGCGTGCGAGGCTCTTGCTTCAGCTTGGACGGGAAGATTGGGTACTTGGCGCCATAGACCTCCCAGAAGCCGAAGGCGACTAGCAACGCAAAGCCGATGATCAGAGGGGCTAGGACGTGGGCGGAGGACCAGGGATACTAGAAGAAGAACAAGGAAAAGCAATTAGTTACCAGATTCACAAGGGAACTACCCAGCTGAGAACGCGAGACACATACCATGTACCCGCCCCACTGCAAACCAGCGAGGAAAACAATCAGCCCCGTAATACTCAAGAACCCACCCACATAATCCACACGACTGAGGATCTCGCGTCGGCTCAGACCCATCGAATTGACCCGCGGCGGCGGGAAGTAGAAGAAGACCGTGATCAACAGACCGAAAGCGGCCCAGGCACCACAAAACGCACCGACATAGCGCCAGTTGCTATAGTACGCGATGAGCTGGGCCCACAGCACAGACGGGCAGAAAGGGACGATGGTGAAGATCAGCACGGCGACATAGACGCCACGCTTGCGGGTCGGTGCCATTTCCGACGTTGCGGCCAGCGCCGTTAGTTCGTTGACGCCGGCGCCAGCGCCTGCGATGGCCATGCCGGCTATTTATACCGGTCAGACAATTGTATAGCTGGATATTTGGGAGGTAGACTCACCGATAAAGATGTTCATTGTGTTCGCGGTGCTGCAGACGATCATTCCCAGGACGATGAGCGAGGCGCCGATGATAGCGACGTAGCGACGGCCGATCAGGTCAGAAAGCGATCCAACAAAGGGACAGACGCCGGCCAGACTGAGCAGGTTTGCGAGGACCTATGTTTCGAACAGTTAGCTCCCGTCCGCCACACGAATTGGCGTGTACGTACAAACCAGATCCAACGATCCGCGCCTCCGATGTCGCCATAGATATAGGGCGGAATACCACCTGCGCCCGCTGTTAGACTGCCATTCATCCAGACCAGAAAGGGGTTCGTGGTGAGCATACCAAAGAGATACACGGGGATCTGACTACCCGTCCAGAGGAAGGCCATGGCCGTGAAGCCCATGAAGCGCCGGAAGGTCATCTGTTATCTGCTGTTAGACACATTGCAACTCTGCGCGGGTAGTCGGTGTAGCGTACTGGAATATCCCGTTCAGACTCGTGCAGCTGTAGCTCCTCCGCAGCCTCCTGGTGACTATGTCGCGGCTCCAGGTCGCTGCTTCCCTCATGGGGCTGCACGGTCGCCTTCTCGTCGACCTGCGATCGGTCGTAATCATCGATAGAGCCCGCCATGGTAGGTGGTGATTGGCGACGCAGCGCCGGAGGGGGGGAGTTCGGCACCGAAAGATTATTTAAAATAGCAAAGGATGTCTGAAAGCCAGAGACCACCAGCATGAAAGAGATGGGGCAGCAGCTGAAGAAATATATATCTTTCTTGACCGGGGAAGAAACAATAGGCGAGCCGAGCAGTGATCATCAGTGGACCCTGTCAAATCAGATGGGCCCATCTGCACCGATAAGGGGTTGGTTGGAGGGGCGAATAACAAGATGAGACACGGCTAGACTCCTGAGCTTAGCCGGGCGGACGAGATCAAAACCTCGAAAATACCGAGGCTGAAGGTCCAAACAGGCAAGGATCCGACAATCCGGGGGGAAAGTCTGGGGGGGCCAGAATGCGGGGAAAGAAAGAGCCACGGGAATGGAACCCGGAAGAGGAAGGGGCCGAAACTATAGCTCAAGTCATCGCGTCAACGTCGGGTATTATGATACAAATTGGTGAAACGAGCTTTAGACTTCTGTCATTTCCGAGGTAGCGACCCTACGCAGCGACCTAGGCATATCCCAAATCAATACTCCTCGCCAATCCGCTCCAACTGTAACCTCTTGGGCACCACAAAGATCCCGCTCGCCTCAACACACACCCTCCCGCCCAGATCTCTCACCTCACAGGTGGCAAACGCCTTGCGGTCCGTGCTTCGGGACTGGTCCACTGTGCTATGCAAGGTATAGAAATTCCCCGAGAAGACAGGTGCCCGATAGTGGATGTCTAGATTGGCTGTCACGCCCGTCCGCGCCGGGAAATGGCGGATGGCCGCACGCCCTAGACTCTCATCGATTACGGTGCCCAGCGCGCCACCATGGACGACTCGTGGCCAGCCTTCTATCCCACAACCTAGGTAGACCACGCAGATGAGGTTTTTGGTCTTATCGTTCCAGAAGATTTTCTGTTATTGTAAAAACATTGTAAGTAAGTATGGATTCAATGCGGGCATTGGTGGAGGGGCTCGGCAGTGGATCGCACGCGCATTGCATTGGCGAAGTAGCCAATCATCATAGCTGGTCGCCAAAGACAATACCCAATAATGTCACAGATCCGCACCACCACAGGATGTCTTCAAGAAGATGCTCACCTGCAACCCCAGCCCCCGACTCCCGGCCATCGGACCTGACGTCAACCGATGTGGCCGAGTCTCATCATCATAGTTCATGTAGGCCTGCGTCTCAACATAATCCGGGTCCCTTCGCAGTTCCTGAACAATGGGAATGCCGACGTCGAACATCTGCTCCAGGCGCTGCAGCTCCTGCCGGTCGGCGGCGGACCCCGGCGTCAGAGGCAGCCACCCCTCGCCCGTCAACCGCGTCCCGGCGTACACGCCTAAACTTCCAAATATCCCCGCATAGAGCAAGCGGCGGGTCCACCGGGATGCGGTGGAGGGTCGGGAGTGGGATTGAGCGGTGGTGGTGCTGGTGTGGCGAAGGAGGGATTGTCGGTGGACGGTTGGGAGGATGGCGGAGGTACGTAGGGAGGAGTGGAAGAGTGGGCGAGGTTGGAGCATTGTGATCACCTTGCCAGAGGGATATATACGGTCTGAGAGAGCCGGAGCTTGAAGCTGGGGCCGAGGATGGGATCACGTGGTCTTAGTCATCGTATACTATGTTGATGGGAAGAGAAGAGCTCTCGAAAGAGAACTACTGTAGAAGGAAGTTTGAATTGCGGAAGTTGTTCGTGAATTCATGGATGATAACGTCCAATCACCTACGTTCCATGGTACATCGCAGCAACATCGCCATCTCGTGCACATCGTGTATATCGTCTATATCTCTGCGACCAAGTCTAGTCCACCGTGGGCAGCTCAATGGCGCGATACAGCAAGATTAGCGCGGAGTGGGACTCGCCTGGAAAACAATCTTGTCAGCAAAATGTTCAGCAAAGGGGCGAAAAGAATACTTACCGCCACCGGCCAAAGTCTCGATCTTTTCAGACTCAACCTCCGTCACCTTGTCATCGTTGAACCACCACCACTTGTCCTCGCCTTCCTCGCGGCGTTTGCTGCCCGTCTGCGCATCGGCCGACGGCCGGCCCTGCTTCTTCACGTATGCCGTGTAGTGGCCACTGTCGGCACTGGCACCCTGGTGGGTGATCACGCCGCGGAGCTCGTACAGACCAGACTGGTTGGTGCCATCCGCGCTACCCTGCTGGTTGAGGAGATCGTACAGTTCCTTCTTAGCCGTACGGATCGCCTCGATCTTCTCGGTCTCATATTCTGCGTCGGTTTTGTAGCTCTCGGCCATGGCGGTGTCGCCATCCTTGTCGCCGGCCTTGGCTTTGCTTTCTTCGGCGGCTTTCTTCTTCTGCATTGGCTCCTGCTCCTGCTCCTTGCTGCCCCCGGACTCCGCCTCGTTCTTTTTCTGAGCTTCTTCCTGCTGCTGCGCCAACTTTTGCCGCTTGCGAGAACGCTCCACGTCCAGCTCGTCCTTGCGGATCTCGCGGACCTTGTCGCGGATGGGAACGAGCTGCTTCCGGAGCTCCTCGGTGCAGAACTCAACGATATCCAACTCGTGTGGGAAGGTCACTTTGCGCATGATTTTGGCTTTCTTTTGGGTCTCGCGCTTCCAGAAGAAACGGACAAAGTGCACGGTCAGGTACTTGGGCAGCCGGGAGATGCGAGAGCGCTTCGTGTAAACCGCATTGCGCCCCAGGGAAGGCGACTGTTTCTCAATCTGTTCTTCCAGGCCGGCCATAATGCCGTCCTGGAGATGGTTGGTCTCTTTGCCAATGTGGCAATCAAGCTTGTAGAAGACATCCGAGCTCTTGTTCGGTTCCTCGCCGGTCGCCTCGTCACACTCAGTTATCGAGTCAAACTTGCCTGCGAGGTATTTGTCGATAAACGAAGTCCTCTGTGCGGACTCTCCCTCGCCCTCGCTGATGGTCAACTTGGTGCGCAGCTGATTAACGATCTGCGACCACGCCTCTTCGGCGTCCTGCTGAGCATATCCATGACCATTGCGATCCCGCTGGGCAAACTGCGGGAAAACCGTGCGTAGCGCGTTGAGGAACATCAGTGGCGGAATGCCCTCCTGCGTTTCCGACATCTGCTTGAACAGGTCTCGCAGGGAGGCTGCCAGGTCATTCGAGCTGCCCAGGCCACTCAACCCAAAACTGCTGAGGTCGGAGAGCCCTGCCTGGCCAGGCCGGGAGCTTGACTGGTATTTGAGAAGCTCCTGCTGGAGTTCGGGGACACTGCGTAGGGTCTGCAGGGTGGAGTTCAGGTAGCAGGTATTTCCCAGGTTCTGCAAACCGGCCGGTGTGGCGCCTTCTTGCTTGGCCATCTCTGCCTCCGTCATATCTTCCAAGAACCGGACGGCCTCCCTTGGTTTCCCCAGTTCCGCGGACCCGGCGCCACCGGAGGGCGTGCCCATCATCATGAAGGTCTGGCCGGGCTTCGCATTGAGGGAGGACAGAAGGGTATCATCCTTGAGCTGGCCGCCTTTGACCAGCACTTTCTGGCGGTCGGGCTCCACGCCGGTCAGGGAGAACAGCTGGTATTTCAAGGTTTCGCCGTTGGAGGTGGGATCGAGCTCGACCTCGTGGCGCTTGCCCGCGTGCTTGACGATGACTGGGAGGGTGTCAATTAGAGAATCAGTAGAGACAGATCGAGGACATACTTGGTATCGCAGCCATGATTGGGATAGGAATAAGAATGGTGATGGAAAGAGAAGAGTAAACAGGCGCTGGTGGATGTTACGTGGGGCAGTGCAAACACGCCAAACGTCGTCACCGCCCCGCGGAACATCACCTCCTCCCTCTCGACACCACCACGCCTGCCTGGTTGATCGCTGTGTCTGCACAATGGTAGGTCTGGCCGCATGTCTGCGCTGTGAATCTTGCTGATACCCTCCAGTCTCAATCACTTCGCCCCTATCTTCAATGCGTCCGCTCGTCCCTTACCGCCGCCCTTGCCATCTCCAACTTCGCGTCTCAGACATCTGAACGACGTGAGTTTGTGGACACAGTATCTCACGGACAAGACTGGCTGACCAGATGATAGACAATGTGCCAGAAGTGGAAGCCGCAAGCTCTCCAGAGCTCATTCTCAACCCGTTACACATATCCAGGAACGAAAATGAGAAAGTGTATGACCAAACCATCTCGTGATGGCCCACGAAGACACGCTGACAGGCGACATCTTTTAGTTTAATTGAACCGTCGGTCAATAGTGTACGAATCAGCATCAGCATCAAGCAGGGTATGTGTCGTCCCGCAATGATGTTAGGCTTCCAGACTAACCCTGATTCCACAGCGGATGAGATCGAGCAGATCCTGGTACACAAATTCGACCGTTTCCTCACCCAACGCGCCGAGTCGTTCTTTATTCTGCGACGGAAGCCAGTCAAGGTATGTCGTTTGGTTGCTTCAGATGACACCACCCCATTGACTCGAGACAGGGCTATGATATCTCCTTTTTGATCACCAATACCCACACAGAGATGCTGCTCAAGCACAAGTTGGTGGACTTTGTTATCCAGGTAGGCATGCTTTCACCTGCTGGATAGATGTGGATGCTAACCACCAATTCTAGTTCATGGAGGATGTGGACAAGGAGGTATCGGAACTGAAGCTGTTTGTTCGTAATCCCCGTGGACCGGTATCCCGTTCGTCGGACTAACCATCTGTTGCAGTTGAATGCTCGTGCTCGCTTTGTTGCTGAATCCTTCCTGACTCCGGTGAGTGCGTGTGTAATATGGTCCTAGTCTCTCACTAACACCCTGGCAGTTTGATTAATTGTGTACTCGTTGCTGGTCTTCGAACGAATGCATTCTCTCTTGTATAGGCGCCTTTGCAATGAATCAGAGAACTGTGAACTCTTTCCTTTCGTATTGATAGCAATCTACTGACTGGGGGTGATCTGCCCGTTGTCTGCACTCCCTGTGCCTGTCATTCACTTCCAATGCTCTATTGTCAGCTTCCCTTCCCTCTCCCACTTCCTTTTCTTCTCTCCCTCTCTCTCTCTCCCTGCCTGCCTTCTTTCCTTCCTTCCTTCATCCTGCCCCTACCGCCTCCCCCACCGCCACATCTGCCCCCTTCCTAAATTGGTTATCAACCTTGACCAGCCAAGATGGAAGACGCTCACCTCCGTTCTTTCTCTTACCCTCTCCCAACCTACCAACCTGCCTTGGCAAGCTACCCTCCCATCTTCTTCGACGACGAGGACCAGCCTGTCACAGCAGTCCATTCTCCTGTTCCTCGTACTCCTACCTTCTACTCCTCATCCTCATCTACTGAAGGCACGGCTGCTTTTGCGGCGGCTGCTGCTGCAAGTGAGGCTGCCAGAGTTACTGAAGAAGAAGACTTTCGCTTGACCGAGAAAACTCTAGAGAAACTACAACTTTCCAGTCTCTCGGACATCCGACTTTCAGACAAGAATCTGGCCATGGCCTGTTTTGCTGACCTGTCTCTCGACGAGGTCATCCATGCTGAAAACATGCCTATTGGAAGCAACGCTCACCTCTTTGGCCCCAATCCCTGGGGAGTCATCATCATCACCAACGTGAACTCTCCGAGGTCCTTACATCTCTGATAAGTATGCTGACCAGCTCTACAGATTCCCTACACCGTCACCCGCCAGGAGGTCCTGCAGTTTGTCGGCCGCTCGGCTCGAGTCATCAGCGCCCAGAAGGGTTGCCCGGTGCACATCATCATGGAGCGCTCCACTGGTAAGACCATGGACTGCTTCGTCGAGTTTGACACTGTTGCTGCTGCCAGTGAGACTGTGACTCGTATCAACCGCGTCCATGAGATGGGCCGTTCTCCTCGCATGGGCAATCGCCACGTCGAGGTTGCCATGAGCAGCCAGGATGAGCTCCTCAAGGCTCTGTTCCCCCGGGCCAAGTGCATGAAGTGGGTTGACGGACAGCCGGTCCTGCAGGAGAACAAGGACTGGTGGTCGAATGGGTTCCAGGGCTTTTTCACCGACGAGGAGATGTTCTGTGTGCTTCGCCACGCCGAGGTACCTCAACGTGTACGTCATTTCTTCTTGGTGTCTGCCCGCTCTAATCGTTGTACCTAGAGCTCGTTTGCCTGCAAGGTGCCCCAGCGCACTTACGAGTCTATCATCAGCACCCTGTGGAAGGTATGCATGGTTTCTCTTGTTGGGCTTGCTTCCCGCTAACTTTGTAGTTCCCGTGGCATGCGGCCAACCTGTACACCGTCCACGCCCGCCAGAAGCTGTACGATACCCTGCGGTCGATGATTCTTGCTTTGGTTCAGCGCATGGAGAAGGAGAAAACGGTCGGACTTGATGGCCGCCTGGTCCGTGAGCTTGTCCTGGCAGGCCTCAACTGTCCCGTCTTCAATCCTCGCATGAAGTACAGTCTTGGTATCTTCGGCAAGTGCCGCGACATTGTGGCCAACATGAACTGGGAGTACTCGGTTTATTTCCCGTTTGACTCGCTGATTCTGTTGCCGAATGGTAACATGCCTACGCTCATGGTATGCTTTCTCTTCTTTCTTTCCGCAGATCAATCTGAGTCTTTCCACTAGTACTACGCCAACCTGATGGCCAACGGCCGTGTCCCGGACACCAGCACCCATGGCCTCGAGCAGCGCCACCACCACCCGCAGCTCATGAAGATCTACGGGAAGGTCTGGTTCCAGTGGAATGAAGTCGTTGCGAGAAAGAAAAGGTTCATCGACGCCATTGCCTACGAGCGGCGTGTCATGCGCGAGATGGTTGTCACTGGCTATCTCTACGTGAGCGGTAATCTGACCACCGTCTCTTCGATTGGCACCGCTCCCAAGTCGACAACCTCCCCGGCCAAGTCGGTTGACAGCCAAAAGACTGTCTGCGGTAGTGGCGGTGTCTCTCTCCCGCTCGCCCAGCGTACCAGCACGCGCACTTCTTCCAGCTCGACCTCGGCCTCTGCTACCTTGTACAGCTCCTCTCAGGATTCGGTTGGCCGCAGCTCGTCTGGCCTCAGCAACAGTTGCCAGCGTAACAACAAATCGCAGGATGGAATTGGCCATGTGTGGATGTTCCCCCCGGCTCCCACTTCCACTGTGAGCAGTTCTACTGACAATCTTTACGTGCCTACCATGCCTGGCCCTCAGACCAGCCAGGTGTCACCGTACGTTGGTCCACTCGTGAATCACCCTACAGCCCCATTTGCCATGCACCGCTCGCGCGGTTCCATTTCGTCTCCTACTTACCCGCACCAGTCAAGCGGCCAGGTCGGCCAGAGCATGCACCACCGCTACCCGTCTTCGGGAAGCTCCTCCGGGAAGTGGTAATGGCTGACAGTACTGTTTTACCGAAGCACTATGACTCGATGAATGATGAACGATGAGCGATAAACGAATGACGAGCAACGAAGGAACGATGAGCTACAAAATTTCGAGCATGGATTGCACATTTTCGAACTTTCGTATTACACAAATTTCCCCCTAATTCCCTTCTTGTTTTATCATCTTGAGATACTTGTGGCCCCTGTCAGTTCCCTGGCTTGGCTGAAGGGAGCACTTTGCTGACCTGTACTGTGAATCACCGACTTTGATGCCGACACCACCATTGGGACGGCGTCGAGGATAGACTGGATGAACGTGGAACTAACTTGCATGGAGCACTCAAGCGGCTGCTGGGGATAACAGAGGATGAAGTAGATCAATGGACTTATTGTTTTGCTGCACGTACAGCTTCGTAGATATCTAGATCAGGGAAATTCCAGCTTCTACACGGATAGACATTAAGTATGATTATATTCACCTTCCAAACCAGCTACATCGTCGAAAGACTCCTCCCTGGTCTGCATCCCAGCAGCCTTGTGCTTCTGCTCCTCCAGAAATTTCTTCCTCGCCAACCCCTCCGCCCTCTTCCTTTCCTTCCTCACATCAGGATCCTCCCACTGTGCCGCCTTCTTCCCTTTATTCGCATCTTCCCCAGAAAACGCGGATATTAAAGCACCCCGAAACCTCTCCCTCCGCTCAGAATTGACCCCAAACCGCTCATTAGACATGGCAACCAGCATGGCGAGATACTCCTCCGAGACGAGGCTGCGCACTATGGGCTCGTGATCATCCTCATCGCTGTCGTTGTCGTTGTTGTTGTCGTTATCATTATCACAATACCCAATCACAGACTCCAACGACATACCAGCCGACCGCACAGCGACGACGGGACTAGGTCCATCGTCGCCTTCGAGACAGCGCAGGCTCTGCAGGCCGCTTTCGCGAAAGCCGGAGCTTGTCGCTGCGGACAGAACGGGTTGTGCGTGGGAGAGCGTTGCTGTCATGACGTGGAGGATCTGGATCAAAGGTGAGTTTTCTATACATCTTTTGAATAACAATAAAGGGAATCCAATTCTTGTTATTAAACCAAGGCGCACGACAAGACATACCAATGGCTCAAAAGAAAACCGCACCAAGCGCAGCGCCTGATCCGATTTCTTCAACGGCGGCTTTCCATTCCCCGGCCGCATCCCGAACAGCGCATGCAATGGCATTGATTGATCTTGACCTTGACCATCGGGTTGCACTAGCGCGTCATGCGAAACATACAGCCATCGCCCAGCGCCTTTACCGCCGGAGGGTGCGAACTGTCTCTGGCTTTGGCTTTGACTCTGGCTTTCGTCCTCCTGCGACTGCAGCGTTTGAGGCTGAGGCTGCTGCTGCTTTTTGCGCCCTTCCAGAAACACGCTGATGCGCCCGGCACAACTGCTGGTCGTCACCAGACCTGGAAGTACATTGATATCGCGGATCAAATCCCTGATGCCCTCGTCCACAGAGCCCTTGGGCGAGAGATCCGTGTACTCCGCATCTGGGAGGGAGAGCTCGGATAGGATTTTGGTCTTGCGGGCCTTGAAGGCGGGTGGGATGTTTGAATTTTCTCTTTCCATTCTGTCTTCCAAGCAATGACTTGTGAGTAATTTGAGTGATTCGAGTGGTTTTTAGAGATGACCAGAAACAAAATCACATCGCATACATGTATTCGGCTTGACGTTAGCGTTCATGTCGGAAAAAGAAGTTCGGTGCGGGCCGCACTACTGATTACATACGAAGAATCCGGTTTAAAAGGCATGCTGGCTGGCCCCTTCGTGTCGGAGCTTATCTCTTTTTGATTTATTTTCTGATCGCGTCGGACTCTAGAGAGACCGAGGTCATTTCTACAGCTGTGCGACTACTAGGCGAATAATTAGGAGACTATTGCGGTGAACAACAACACATTTCGAATTTTCTTTTTCTATTGGCCAATACATAAACAAGGCGGCCAGACAAAATACTGCCCGATATAAAACACAACCCCAGCGACAATGCCTCGTCGATCATCTCCGCCCGTGCAGTCGCCGCCAGCAGCGCCTGCGGCGTCTAAACGGCGCGCCTCTGCCAGGCTGTCCGCGTCGCACACAGTCAAGCGGGCCAAGTCCGACGCCGACCTGGCAGGCAGCACGCCGGTCAAAACCACGGCCCGGAAGAGCAAGTACTTCGAGGGGGGCAGTTCTGACGAGTCCGAAGGCGAAGAAGAGTCGGAAGGGTCGGTGTATGAAGGAGAGCCTCTAGACGACCAGGAGGAATCCGATTCTGAACCGGAGCCGGAGCCGGATGTTAGTGACAGCGAGAAGGAGAATGAGTCCAAAAAGACGCCTCGCTCGAAGAAAAAGAGGGATGATCACGACCCCGACCACGACCGGGACGCCTTAAGGGGCAAAGAGCTGTGGCGCGAAGGCGTCACCACGGGCCTGGGCCCGGGCAAGGAGGTCTTCATCGCGAAACCCAAGGCGCGAGACGCCGGCGACGTGCCATATCGCGACGAGACCCTGCATCCCAACACGCGGCTGTTCCTGCTCGATCTGGCGGTGAACAATGAGCGGCCATGGCTCAAGGGTTAGTGACAGACGTTCATTCATCTGTAGTCAACAACACAGCTGACGATCGATCTGGTAGCGCACGACGCGGATTTCCGCGCAGCAAAGAAGGATTGGGAGACGTTCGTCGAGTCCCTGACCCCAAAGATCTGCGAGCGGGATGGCACTATCCCCGAACTGCCCGTCAAGGACTTGGTATGTTGTGCTTATCATCGGGCCCAACATGACACAACATTAATTTGGCTTGCATTCAGGTCTTCCGCATATATAGAGATATCCGATTTAGCAAGAACCCACTTCCGTACAAGGTATGTGCAGTGCTGTATCCCAATCAACCAAACCCTGTCCTGCCTGTGATCACCACCCCAGATGCATGCTTGTGTTACTGTGATGAGCCGTTAGTGTCGCATATGCCGGGGCTGACCAGCGAATAGATTCATTTTTCCGCTGCCTGGTGAGTATTTCTTTAAATCGACACAACAGCAGCCCCTTATATATAGAGCAGGTCTCGGACGGGCAAGAAGGGTCCTTACGCTGCGTACTATGTCCATTTCCAGCCCGGATCATGCTTTGTCGGTGGGTCATCCCTAACCCTACCTAGCCCCTGATGCCGCAAGGGCTAGACAAGATCCCCCCAAAGGTCTTTGGCTTCTCCGTCTGCGTGCCCATTGCACCCTTTCTGTCTGGTATGTCTGCATTGCATCGCAGCTGACTTTCGTCTGAACAGGCGGCGGCCTCTGGCACCCGGAGGCAGACTCGCTGGCAGCGCTGCGCGAGGATATCGACGAGAACGCGGATCGTTGGAAAGAATTGCTCCGGGCGCCGGGGATGCGCCGCGAGTTTCTCAACGGGGTCGCGGATGATGACGATGCGGTCGTGAAGGCCTTCGCGGATCATAACAGGGAGTCTGCGCTCAAAACCAAGCCAAAGGTATGGAATTGCATTATCTGTCTGTTTCTTTCTGTTATTTTTGCCCCTTCTCTTCTTGCACTCCCTGCGTTTTTCTCGATGGAATCGGCGCCGTCTGGTGCTGGTACCGCCGACCATACCCTCAGGGACTCTCGTGGACCGGACAGGCGCGCATGTCGGCAGTCATGACCATCATCCGACCGGAGATAGAGTTCTGGGCTGTCTCTTCACATGAGAACCCTGGAAATACATACTCCTCCGATGGAGCTCGTGGTCGACCCAAAACAGAACCCCGAGTGGCAAAAGCGACACGACGCGAGGCACGGGTGCGGCAGACCCCGTGTTCGGGGTCTAAGGGAGGACCCGTGTTCCCTGGCGCTGGGTCAGGCTGGCGTGTCTTGGGCACCGACAATATTAATTTTTGCTCTATTGCTGACGCCGGCTATTTTGGTTCCATGGTTCAATCCGGGGCCAAAGATCTTCCTTCAGCTGATTTTCTGATTATTATTATTATTATTATTGGCTAATCTTTTTGTGTCTGTCATTTAAGGGTTACGAGGCCGACAACAGGAACATCCAATTACTCCGACTACGCAGCTTCACGCTCGGCCGGCCCGTCGCAGACGCAGTACTGACGAATGCGGATGATGCGCAGGAGCGCATCGCGGATCTAGTTGGCATCCTGGAGCCCTGGGTACGTACTGTACTAGGACTGTCTAAGGCAAAGGCTGCTACCAGTCTGCCGCCGATTTTTGCCCCCTCTCGCCCTAGCCCGTTTCCCTTCTGAGCTAGCCACCGCGTCCCTGTGATTCCCGCCGCCGAATCAGCGTGGCCGACTGCCTACACAGCCGTCACATTTTTTTTTGTCACGCTGACCGCTTGTCGACAGGTGACCTATCTCAACGGCGTGGTCCGGCCGGACCATTGATGAATGAAACGAAAATTGGGGGATTTACTGGACTGTTTGATATTGATTGATTGTACGGAGTACACACACAGCAACCGAATGGAATCCACACCTTGGTACTTACTATGTACCGCTGTCTACAGTAGTAACAATGTACTTTGCGAGTAGTGTGTCGCTGTCTGCACATTTCATTCCCGCTAGCAGCAAGAGTCTGCCTGGGTCTCATGCTGCACCGTGGAACACGCCAATCACACGGCGAAAAGCCCCAAGAAATTGCCCGGTCTAACGTTTTAGCTTTTGTCGACACTCGCATCATTTTCTCTTTCGCTTTCCCACATGCATCTGCAATACACTTACACACCCACACACACCCCGAAGTAAATCCTAATAACCCAATCCACGGAGACCGGGTACCCATCTACCCACATTCGCCACATGGGACATTGGGCACAGCGCGCGCCGTTCTCGGCCCGTGGTCGGGCAAGCCCGCCCCAGCGCAACCAAACTTTTGGCAGCGACAATATCTGGTTCATCCCCACTTTGTGTTTAAATAGTCCGGCCGGATGAAAGGATTTGAGGACCTTCCTCGTCGGGCATTAGTGGCCCGATCCGCTCGTGCATTGGTGTGGCGCTCCGGCCCGTTGTTTGCGTGGTTTATTGTGGGTTCATTAGTTACATGGGTTAGCAGGGCTGATGGTTGGGGGAGCGAGAGTCTATGACTCGGTCTCTTTTTTTTTTTTTTTTTGGTGCTTTTGGGTTGGGTTGAGTACAAAGGGTGAGTGGACTTCGGTAGTATGTACATTGTACATTCCAGCTCGTATAGTGGACTGCCGGAATTAGATTGTCGCATAGTATCTGGGGTGGATGAACGAACTAGTGAGTGCTAGAGCGGAAAATTGGGTTAGTGTTAGTTGCGTCGGGATTTACATTTCTGACAGCATTCGAGTTTGTTTCTCGGATTAGGCTGCCGGAGGTTAAAGAGTGTGTGCATGTCATCTACGACGCAATCAAACGCCGCGTACTGTGCGAAATGCATATGGATTTCAGTCTATTGGATTTATTGCCTGTAACTACCCAAGGACATGATCTCATCGCCCAGCCCTAGACCAGTTTCCGACCCTGCTTATACGTATACCAGCGATCCTATGGGCTGGGATTGCCATGCAGCCGTTGAAGGATTAGCGATGTCATTATTATTATAGTTAAGCCACCGCCCACACCTGATGCATCATCCCACGCCTTCTGCTGACTGGAAGGCTGTGTCACTGGGACACTTCCACGGTCGAGTCCGCCAATCCCCGTGCAACTTCTCTCTGTGAGCAGCACATCACACGAGCAAGCACACCGACACTCCGTGTTCCCGTGACCAACATCGCATGCGGGCTGCGCCTATTAGTGCAGTCATTGGGCTCCAACCCGGTGGTGATAGACGCGCTTCCCGTGTGGGTAGGAGGGGCAATACGAACCAATCAGATCGGTCGATCGATCGGGCTGCTGCGTTGGGCCGAGCTGGGCTGGAGGAGCGGGGGCCAAGACGCTCAGTCCTTCGGATCGAGTGGCTAACAGCGCTGGGTCGGGTGGAGTCCGGCGTGGAATGTTGCTTGGGACTGAAAGACGTGGTGCGGGCGGAAGGACGCGGACGGACGGCGGCGGGCCCGACCGGGAACGTGGCAGGTCTTGTCGTGTAGGAGGACATGGTGAAGTAAAGGAGGATAGTTACAGAGGAATGACTGGCTATTCTAAGAACAGTAATACCCCAATCACCAAAAGTGTACATGCAGGAGATCGGCGGGAAGCCCGGAGCGGCCCGTGGCACGTACGCCGTATACTGGACTGTATGTCGAGGATGAATGGTGTTCCCCCCCCTGTCAGCGGCACTAATGCAGGTTACCTTGGGGCGTCCCACTCCCGGGGCTGTAGCACTGGGAACTTAGAGGCCTCCACACAGCTGAACCGGGCTCCACTCGTCAGCTGAAGTCTGATCGCCACTCACCGCTACACAGTCCTACCCAGTGTCCTCCAGGCCAGGACGAAGTCCAGGACGGGACTGGAGGGAGGATACAGTCGGCCGGTCGTAGCATGCCCGAAAGCCTAGGAGGGTAGGAGAGATACTAGGACAAAGAGGACCCGGAGAATACCGAGGATGCGAGCTGTATACCTACTCTCGGTTCAGCTGACGCCTCCTTCCTCCCCCCCCCTCCCAATCAGAAAATTCCATCCATCCTCTTTTTCCTTCCATCTTATCGATACCGTCCTTCCTCGCCTAATGCGGCCTGCTGCGCTCACGTCATAATCGCCGAGGCTCTTTTTTTCTTTTTCCTTTTTCTTCTCTTGTCGATTGGCCATTCCTCTCATTGTTCCGACTCCCCTGCCGTGACCCGACAACTAAACTAACTATCGATCTGATTTTCTTCCCCTTTCATCTCACGTCACATATCCCTGCTTAACAACAACATCCTTGACACATTCCTTCTTTCTTCTTCTCTCCCCTTCCTCCTCCTCTCCCTCCCTCCTCTTCTCTCTCTCTCTTGTGACTCGACACCTACAAATGTCCAGTCATCCCCCCGACTACGACCCTAATCGACAGGGACCGTACCCACCCCAGCAGTGGCAGCACGGCCAGCCGGACGACCACCCTCCGCAGTATCCGGTGCGTCTTTTACTCTCTCGCTGCGATCTGACTGACTGACGTGCCTCCTCTCCAGTATCCTCCGTCTTCATATCCTCCTCCGCCAGACGATCGCGCTTACGCTTATCCGCCGCCGTCGCAATATCCACCGCCACCCGCCAACATGGCTGCCATCCACCCACACCAAGGCCAGGATCCCTACCGTCTGCCTCCGCCGCCAGGTGCCTACCGTCCCGAGGTCTATGGCCAACCTCCTCCCCAGGTTGTCTACCAAGCTGCTGCGCCACGGCAGCGCACGGCTATTGCGTGTCGATATTGTCGCAGGCGGAAGGTATGTGATTTGATGCGCCTTTGCGCGCGCGCGCGCGCACATACACGCTAAGACGTATTCTAGATCCGTTGCTCCGGATTCGAAACCTCGCAGGATGGACGCTGCAGCAACTGCATTCGCTTTAACCAGGAGTGCATGTTCACCCCCGTCTCCTCACAGGCGCAAGCCTTCGTCCCAGCTCACGCGGCCTACCCCCATCTGCGCAATCAGGGCGCCCCCCGCCCCGGGCCCGGTGTGACCCTCTACGGTGCCCACGGCCAGCCACTGCCGCCCCAGCAGCAGCCCCAAGGAAGCCCCGAGACGACCCTTCCGCCGCCTCAAGGGATGTACCAACCCCCGTACGGACGACCGTCCATGGACGGTGGTGCCCCTCCGCCCCTTGCGTCGTCCATGCCACCGGATCCGGTAAGGCAACAATTCTCTCCCCCGCGCTCAGGTCTTTTCCATCGCCCCCTTTACTGATTCTTCGTGCAGAGACACCCTGGAGCCCGCCGAGGCTCGGGCTCAGGCTACGAATACCCGGACCCGACCAATCTCGCTCCCGTCACGCCCGCCGGCTCCACCCCAGGATATCAGACGCACACCGCCCCATCTCCCTACTACCCCCCACCGCATGATCGACGCACCTCGCCGCAATCCGCCTACTACGACGGTCGTCATTCTGCATCCCCCAACTCCCCGTATCCGCCAATGCAGCCTCCCCAGGGAGGAGTCACCCCTCCCCCGAGCTCAACACCCAGCGGCCCAGCGCGCGGCGGGCTGAATGTGCGCGACATGCTCAATCCGGGCGATTCGCACGGCCGCTCCAGCACAGATAGCGACATGCTGAATGCTTTGAATCGCCGCGGGCTGAATCAGTAGTGGTTTCCCTGAAGCGGGGGAGGGATTCTCTTCGAGAAACCGGACTGTGTGCGGGTCACACGGTTGGATGGAAGGTGGAAAGCATGCGACGAACACACGAGAAGTCAGCCCGCAGGTGGACGAGACGATATGAAAGACGAGTTGAACGGGACGGCACATGACAACATTTGCGGTCGGTTCGTTCTGAATACGAGGCTACGAAACGCGGATCCATGAGCATTACGAGCCGAACGACCTTGAATCCGACATGGCCAGAGCTGGCTTCCAGAGCCTGGTTTTCGGCATACGATTTTCTTTTCTCCGAGTAATCACTCAAGTGTGTGTCTTTGGGGATGTGCTTGCATTCATGGAGCATTCCCCATTGACCGAAACTCCAGCGGGTGGTGGCACCAGCTAACCCTAACCCACGTTTCCTTTTATTTATTATTTATCTTTTTCTTCTCTCTTTCCCTCTCTCTCTCTCTCAAGGCCCCTTTACCTCATACACTTCCATCCCTGGCGGCACTATATCATGACCACGACATCGTCAGCACTATTTCCATATTTCGGGCGGCCATCTGTTTTGTCTCGGTTTCATTTCTGCGCTGCGTTCCGGTTCCGGTTTCTCCTCTTCTGATGTTTGTCAGTCCGTTTCGGCTATCTCTCTTGTCTCTATAACTCTCTTTGGTCTGGATAGGTTTTTTGTTTGTTTTTTTCTGCCGCTATGTTGTAGCCTCGCGCCAAAAGACCGGGTCGGCTGTGTGCTTTTTTATTTTTTTTTATCGTTGTTTCTTTTTCTATTTGTCTGCTTATATCCGGGAGGCTGTCTGATCACTTTTTTGGTCTGTTTATCTTTCGACTTCGTTTTTTATAATGTTTGTAACTTCCTTTTCACTTCTTTTGATTGATGAGCGTGCCTCATTCTGAACACAACACTACTACTACAACTACAATACACAACTCAGGGCTACCTGCTTTACTCATTACCTTGACCATTACTCTTACCCTTACTCTTACTCACGACCCATTATTCTTCTACTCGTTCATTACTCTTCTGATCGTGCTGAAGAGTCGAATAGTCGAATCGAGAGGTTCATCCAAGTATCATGCTATGCTATGCTAGTCTTATTCTGTGTTTAGTACCAACTGTAAGTATAAGATTCACCTGTCTATTGGGTAGAAAAGTGGAACAGAGCCTTATGCCTTGCATTAAACAGTGGGTCATCGATCTAGCGGTAGTTGATCTCATCTTATCTCTTGATTGGTAGTCTCTATCTACATTCAATGGGTCTGTTATGAGTTCCTAAGCTCTGTGGGGGATTGTTCGTATCAGATTTTTCGTATTCTCCATGCCGATACCCTCTGGATCAGGTGTCTCTACACTAGTTCTTACAGAGTAGAGTATATCTCATTGATAGATAGAATGATGAAGTGAACATACTACCACGTGACAAGCCCTAACTAATCCCTTTCCTTACTACGAGAAAACTAGGGCACAAGTCCACGTCCAAGTCCAAGCTACTCACGAGTATTCTATCGACGATACTTACTACACACTTAAACTACAGCGGAAAAACAAAGGACAGAACTACTAAATTGCAACTGGATTTCCATCTCCACCTCCATCTCAAGACCAATCTAACGTACATGACATGCGAGTCTAGCTAACCATGTTGGCGTACAGGAGATTAAGCACTATGCCTGTCTGGACTCGATCTGATCTCCTGCAATCCGACACGATGTGGGATGGTGAGAAAAGTGAGTGTAGAAAAAAAGGAAAGGAAAGGGGAAGGAAAACATAGGAGAGACGAAATGAAATGAAATGGTGTTATTGGAATGGGAACGGAAACGGGATCGATGGTGAAGAATGAAAAGGGAAATGGGACAGACAAGAAAGAGGTAAATGGAGACTGTTGGGATTGCTCAAATGCAAACCCCAATACAGAAGACATCAGCAGCATCCCAAACACCAACATCACACGACAACAATTAGCCAGACATGTTCTCAAGAAGCTTGCTCCGAGGTGGTCCAACGCCGGTGAGATAATCAGATCAAATACCGGGGGCAAGACAAAGGAAATATCAACATAGATGTTTAGTAGCTTTGGAGACTGGATGCGAGATAAACGAGTGTGGGGACGTGGATGGGGACGCAGAGGGAATGCAATGGCAGAGATAAAGGCAATTTTTTGCTGATTCAGAAAAAGCAGGGCAGGGCTGGAACGCAGCAATGCTAGTTTAGTTTGGTGAGCGTAAGGGGATAAGCGAGAGACGGAAGTTGGTTCATGCGATGCGAGTGGTGAATATTGAATGTTGCGCGGAATGAAATGCGAAGGGAAGTGGGTGAAGGAATAACGATCAAGAAGGGTTGGGCACCGTATCAAGTACACGCGACATCTTTCTCGCGCGCACTGGATCCTCAACAATCATACCGCGGTGCCGAAGCATCATGTGCACTGTATCTACAACCTTATTGAAGGACGAGGCTGCTCCGCGCTCCTGCTTGAAGCGCACGAGGCTCAGATTCGCCTGGCGGCCGTGCTCAAGGACGGTGTAGAACTCCGCGATGAACTCGACTTCGCGAAGACGGAGGACTATCCACATGTTAGCTTGAAACAAAATATTGGTTGGGAGGGTGTACTCACAGTTAACCTCTCCGACTCGACCATGGACAACGCTGTTGCTCTTATCCATCCACACATCTTCCATACCATATTCAACCCAACCGCGGAGGAGCCTGTACAGTTCCTTGCGGCCTTTGATCTTGGAGGTGTTCAGGGCAATGACCCGGGTAGCGGGCTTGATCTGAAACACGCGGGCGAACCAGTTCTGGCTTGCGACGGAGCGGCGTTTGGTGTACTGGGGTGGTGGGCTTTGGGGATCGTGGCCTTCAAATGAACTGTCCGGGTCGGCGATGCCTTTGCACAGCATGGTTGAGTTGCGGCTGTCCTTGTGGTAGTATTTCTCTTTCTCTTTTTCTATGAAGATTGGTCAGATATGGTTGGTCAAGGACCAGTCTGGGATTTGACTTACCAAGAGCAGGTGGTTGAGTATTCTTACTCGACTTCTTCCCCATGAATGTTTTCCGTAGAACGCCTCCGAATCGCTCCATGGATGATTTGCGAGTTCCCGCTTTTTCTCTTCCACCCTCTGGCTCATCACGAGTAGGAGGGGTAAGATCTTGCGGTGGATGAATCACAACGGTGCCGTTGCTGGGGATGATGGGCTGGTTGTCCTTAGGCGGCGGTACAGGTGCCATGTCAGAGGTATGTGAGCGGTGCTTGAACCACGACCACTTCTTGCCCTCTGAACGGCTGTCTGTGCGCCTGGGGGAGATGGGGGTCTCTTCAATTGGATCCAGGCCGCAAGGGTGGCGGGTCTGTCGAGACCCAGTTGAGAGTAGACGGGTGGGTTCCGAGGAATTGTTGTTGAGAGTCTGTCGGACATCCGGAGGTAGGTGATTGGTGGAGTGCTTCTTGCGGATCTTCAATGGCTTGACTTCGTCGAATGACTTCAGGGAGCTGTGAGGAACCATTCGAATGGTTGCTTTGGGATCGTTGGGCCGAGGGCGCGGCGCAGATGTCCGCGACTTCTGTTGAGGCTTCGGGCTGTAGTCATTGCCTCCACGAACAGGGCTGGCAAACTCCTCGTTGATAACCGGAAGAGTCTCCTGTGAGGCTCCATCAAATGTCTCAGGGAGGGCAGTGACCTCGATTTCTGCGGATTTTTCCGGTTGCTCTCCCTCTTCACCTGTTTCAATCAATCGATCAAGGTGACCGATCACGCCTGACAGATATTGGGGGATATTATCCTTCCGGCCCTTGCTGTGTTCAACCAACTTGCGACGAGTCTCGACCAGCTCCTTGATGCTGTAAGATCGTGGAGTGTCTTTGAGTGTGGACGTCAGCTTGTCAGAGGATACCTTCTCAGAGGTTGCCTTGACAGTGGAGGAGGTCCGTTCCTCTAGACCAGCAGTCGATACGGGTGTTGCTGGCGTCTCGTAGCCCGTACCTGTACTAGCAGTGCGCATGGTCGTAACAGAACTGCCGTTGAATGCCTCTTCGCAGATCTGGCTCAGTTCATGCGAAACCTTGCGGGCCTCTTCTTTCCAGGTAATGTCTGAATCCCGAACCTTTCCAACTCGGCACATACTCCGGACCCGGACATCTGCACCTCGGACCACCGTGGGCTGAGCAGGGAGCGGTGGGCTGCTGGGCATCTCAGGAACGTCAAAGCCATCAGCCATCATCTGGAGGCTACTCGTGCTCAGCGAACGCTTCAGCTCAGTCTGGCTTCTGTTTGGAGTGGTCTTTTGTCTCTTTGGCTTGGTCGAGCCTTGAGATTTGTTGCGAGCATGGCGGAAGGAAACATTGCGCCGGTAGCTGGTGGAACGAGGAGCCATGACTGGAGCCCGAGAGCTGGAGTGCGGGACCTTGGAAGAATGGAACGACTTCATGGAGCTTGGCTTGTGCTTCCGTTTCTGAAGTACTGTGAATGGTGAACCCGTTGGGTCGTCGGCTTCTTCTTCCTTCTCAACTTCTTCCGTGATAACGGGCGGTGGCTTGACGGCTGGCGATCCCTCGCCCTTGTCGTGATTAGGAACATCAGGACCCCGGTAGATAGTAATCTCTGCGTACTGCGCTTCATCAGACATCCGATTCTTGGGAGATCGGTAGGGGTCGTAGCTCTCGACAGTTCCCGAGGACATGGGATCCTGGGTAGAGCTAAGACGACGTGGGAGATCCTTGATGGCCGTAAATTGGTAACGCCGCTTGGTCTGACTCCGGCCCCTTCGCACTCGACCGCCAGGGCGAGAAATGTGGTGGTAGTCACTGGCGGAGTACTCGAGGGGCTGGCCCTGATAATTCTCAAGCTGCTCATCCCGGAACTTGACCAGGGCATTGTAGAACAATCTCTCGTGGGTTGGTCTGGAAACAAGATTAGCGTCGCTCTTAGTCTTTGGTTCGTATAAACTCACTCAATGCACATCAGCCTGTCCATCAATGTTTCCGCCTTGACGTCGTGCCACAAGGTCTGGAGATTTCGCAGAATGTCAACGTCAATATCTAGTCGACTAGTCACTGGCGCTCCACAATCCTTAATGGACAAAGGAGGTGGAGGACCAATGAAGTGATTGGACATGGCATTGTGCAACTTTTCGTACTTGGTCAGTAACGGGTGCATCCAGATGTTCTGCATGCTGATACGGTCCTCGGGTCTCTTCTGCAAGATGCGCTGAATGAGATCAGCCGCCTCATCACTCAACTCTGGTGGAATGATGTAATCTCCCTTCTTAACCAGGCGCAGGGTGTTGGCAAGGTCACCGCCATCGAAGGGCAGGTATCCAGTCAACAGAGCATAAAGAATGATTCCGCAGCTCCACATGTCTGCCCTGTCTCCCCGGTACTTTCGGCCGTAGATAATCTCCGGGGCGGCGTAGTGCGGGCTTCCACAAGAGGTATTCAGCCAGTGGCCGGCAGGTTGCAGGGCAGCCATGCCAAAATCAGCGAGCTTGACATTGTGATGTGCGTCCAGAAGAATGTTCTCCGGCTTGAGATCCCGATGGCAGATGTTGAATCGATGACAATACCCTAGTCCCGCAATGATCTGGCGAAACAGACGCACTGCTTCTTCCTCTGGTAGCGGTCCATTGTTAGAGACATAATCAAAAAGCTCCCCTCCTTCGACGTATTCCAGAACAAGATACCTGTCACAAATTAGTTCATACTAGCTGAGTATCAGGTCTGGCCACCTACAGTTCACCACGGTTCTCCCACACATCATAAAGACTGATGACATTGGGATGCTCAATCAACTTCATAATCACCACCTCACGCTCGATGCCACAAGGCATCTGGCGAGCATTCCCCGAACTTGGATAGTGGCCGACGTTGCGATCCATGGCGGCAATACTTTCGCTCTGCACCATAGCAGCCGACTTCTTGGACACGATCTTTATAGCAGCTGTGTTGCCAGTAACAGCATGTTTAGCGAGTCTCACGCGGCCGGTAGCCCCCTTGCCCAGTGTTCGTCCCAGCTGCCATGGTCCGACATGGGTCTTCCTCTTGCCCTTGTTGGAAAGGATAGACGCAGCCGACATGACCGAGTTTCGAGCAGAATCAGGGTGAAAGTCCGTAGCCACGGACAGACGCTGATTTTCCTTGTTTTCCTTGGGAGTGGGACTCATGACCGCCGACATTCTATCTGGACTCTTCATTTCGGTATCTTCCAATCGCAAACCCGGGGTATCAGGGCCCTTGGGAGATTTGGGGTGGTTGATTCGCCTTGAAGCATCTGTTAGGGGTTGGCGCCTCCGATGAAGATCATTCACGTCCAGCATTATCTGGTCCATTCCCAGGTAAACGTCACGAAATGAACGAAGAGCGTGTGTTCACGAGGGCATTAGGGTTGTTGTTTTTCGGCGAAAAGCTAGTCCATCAGCTTTGATATTTTTTTTTTCCAAAGGTATGGGACCATACTCACTGGAACTTAAGAGAGAGGGAAGGGAAGAAATGGACACCCGCTGGGAGTGTCGGTTAAACGAAAGGATAGTAAGGATCGACTCGAGCAGACTTCGGGATGGTAATGAGGGACACAAGACTGGTCAACTTAACATCTTTGGGCAGAAAGGAAAGGCAAGAAAAGAAAGAGAAAGGGCAACGAGAAGGTCCGTCGACGGCGTTGTTGTCGGGTTCAGTCGAGCAGGTGGGATGAGAGGGTCGAGATGGAGCAAGTTGGGATGGGTGAGAGAGTGTGAGTGTGGTGTGGCAGGTATGCTGCAGCACAACAGCGCCAGGAATGATGGGATTCCTGGTCTGCCCGGAAACCCATGGCATGCACCACACGATGTCAACACTCAAATCACATTTGCATTTCTTTCTTAGATTTGTGTGTTTTGATTTACTAAGTGATTACTCACTCCCAATTTGTGAAGCTATTCGAGCCGACCAGTATAGACCCGTTTCATAGTTCTATACTTCGGAACTCCAGCACCAATTCCTACACCTGATTTAATTGTCCGGCAATAATTTTTCGGACTCCTCCAGAAGAAAAAAACAAAAGTCACAATAAACTTAATAATAGTCGAGGCAGGCAATTGGTCTTGTGTGGACATTCCACGAGCGCAGGGGGAGGGAGGTGGTGCTTATCGACAAAACAAGCATGCCTCTCCGACAGGGGCTCATAGTTCAAAACATTCCACACCCTGAAGTCCGCATCAAATCGAAATGGAAAGATAGTGACGTGCAGGGCACAGCCTTGAGAGCATCACCAATGCTCCTCGCCAATCGGGACCATGTTCACATCGACGCCCTCCACAAACCAGCGGCCCTCGCCATTGCCCTCCGGCCCAATCACCAGGTCATTGCCACTCATCATGCGCTTGCGCATCTTGCCCGTGTCATGATCAAAGGTCCAGTCCTCCAGTCCGTAGCACCGCTTCCACTTCATCCCATCCTCAGCATCCTGGTACTCGTACCAGAATTGCACGGCGATGCGATCGTCGCGGAAGGCAAAGAGCTCCTTGCGCAGACGGTAGTTACGCTCGCGCTTCCATTTGGCTGTGAGGAAAGCAATGATCGCCTCGGTGCCGGAGAAGAACGAGGTGCGATTACGCCAGATGCATGTCGGAGTATAGCCCTGAGCGACTCGTGGCGGGTCTCTTTGAATTACATACGTCAGATCGGCGATGACAAATAAGAGAAGCAAACTCGAGGAATGCAAGGGATGGAGCACAGGAGACCGGTCTTTTTTCCTCAACCACATGGCTATCAACTTACTGCGTGTTCCACAGGTCCTGGGCCATCTTCACTTTCTTCTTTGCGGTTTCCGCGGTGAAGGGGGGTTTCAGGTCGGCCATTGTCGATGGTTGAAAGTGTTGAGTTCGGATCAGCGCGGCAGATCGACAGTTAAAACGGATGTGGCGTAAAACGAACAGCACCGGGTTCCACAGTAGAAGACGGAAGCTACATAAGGAAATATTATAGGGCAGGTTTAATATTTGTAGTTGGGAGTGCGTCACAGGAAATATTCGTACGTTAATGAACTAATCCAGGAGAGCATCTTAGGACCAGTCATTCTATACAATTCTTGTTTTTCCTAGTTAGGGTCTAGCTCAAGATAGGGCTCTAGGTAGACACTTGTACGGGGAAGTAGCCAGCAGCTCAGCAAATTTCCTTGGGTTTGAGAACCAGCGTGCTGGTTAGGCCGCCTTGATAGGCAGTGAATTACTACTGTATCTTGGTATCCACGAGAATGCAGTTGTGAAGGATATATTTCCACTGCTTTTCCTCTGCCTAGGTATACAGATGTCTGTGCGTCGACTGCTACACACCAGCTATATACATTTGCATTCCATCTGTATCCGAACATATTGACAATCGACCTAGGCATTTGAAAGCAAAAAAGCGTATCATACACTCAGCACCAAGCTCAACGCAGTGGTCTAAAGCAGACCATTCGTAGCGCCCTCACCGCTCTCGCGGTTAAGATCAGTCGGGGAGATCTCTTCTGACTCGACTATTCTCATGGATGATTATGATGATTACGATCTCCCCAGTTCAGGGACTGGAGCCGGTCAGGAACCTGGCCTTGGCTCCCATCCCAGGCGCAGCATGTTGATCCTGCTTATTCCGGGTCTGGCCGTGCAGGCCCCTGGCCGAGAGAAACTCGACTGTTTTGACGAGGTGGCAGTTTGACGACGTCAATCGCTCCTCATGGAATATTATCTGGACGTATATCTCCACCATTCTAGCATGTACTTGGACTGGGTTGCATCTCCAGCCCACCAGAAGCGACAAATCCCATATTCGGATGGATCTTGGAGCGAACAGTCCCCCGTATATATATTATAATCTACCTAATGTCTGGTATCATTGACATGCTCCGTCGTCTCCATCAGGCGGGCCAGCGTGACTGCTTCTCGAAGCGCGCGTCCAACATGTCCGCGCACGCCCGCCTCTTCCATAACCATCAGACCACCGATCGTGCATCCCTCCGGAGATGTGCCTTGGTCTCTGAGCACGCCGGGGTGCATCCCGTCCTGGAGCATGGTCGCCGTGCCGAGCATCGCCTGTGCAATCGTCGTGTGCGCCATATCTCGAGGCAGACCCACCGCTACCGCGGCGTCGATCATGGCATCGCAGATGACAGCAAAGAAAGCAGGCGTTGACCCGCCCACTGCAGTGATCGCATTTATTAAGCGCGGAGGCACATGGATTGGTTTGCCCACACACTCGAAGATCGCCGTCGTAGCCTGTATGTAGGCCTCTGGGACAGCTGGTTCAGATATCTCAATTGCCGTGAGCGATTGTGAGACTTGTGCAGCGATGTTAGGCAATGTGCGCACGACCCAGGCGCGGCTGTGGCTATTCTCCAGTGTAGTGGCGCTTCCATACAACTTCTCCTCTATCTGCTGGCGTGTCCAACCTGCTGCGATACTGATAAGGAGCTTGTCAGACAGAGCCTCACGAAATCCAGGCTGTGTCAGCACTGTTTCGATATCGGCGGGGTCGACACCAAGGATGATTGCGTTGGAAGCTTGCACAGCTTCGAGGGTCCCCCCACGGGATATGGATAGGGTGGGTAGATCGGGGAAACTCGTTCGCAGTCTTATCTCTGATGGCTCACTGCGGACGCAGGCAATAAAATGGTTGAAGGGGATCTCATTCGTTCGGTTGGGCGGGGGTACGAGCAGACTTTTGAGGATGGCAGTGCCCAGGTTCCCTGAAGTTAATCAGAATGAGGGAAACACGCAGAGAGAGTAGAGCCGTACCGCAACCTAGTATACAGAGAGTTGTTTTCTTCAGTTCAGTCATTTTAGGTGATGTGCAGTCATCGAGGGGATTCAAGAGAAGAAGTAGTTCAAGGGCTGTAGCGTAGTGTCTCCAACCGTGGCTCGGGATGAGGGGGGTGAGGGGTGTTAGTCGGTTGCCCGCATCATTATTTTCTACGAAGGAAAAATTCGAAATAGACATTAAAAATTACTTTCTACATTATACATATCTATATAGAGACAACCTGTCTCATGCTACGTAACAGCATCATGCTCAGCGCGCAATGCATCCCCATCATTCATCTCAAACCCAAAATTCCACAGTTTCTCCACCTCTGACATCTCAGCTTTGCTCTTATGCCTCAGCGGAACATCCGAGTCCGTGCTGGCCGACTTTGAACTTCTTCGCCCAGCATGCTGCATAATAGTCGGAGTAACCGCCCACCGAATCTCCCCGTTGGCGTTGGCAAACTCTTCCGTGATGACATCCACGTATCCAATGTGTTTTGTTCGGTATAAATCCACCAATTCAGGGATGCGCGATCGCGGAAAGACGAATGCTTGCGAACAGCAGCCGAACCGCGGCATTTGGTGTACGCCTTCTGGGATGGGGAATGTTGACACGCGACCGGCGGCGAAGAAGAGGCCGATTAGGAGGGGTGTGCAGATGCTGCAGATGAGGAGGATGGCGAAATTCGGGAGGTGAGGTCGGAGACGGGGGAGATACTGTCGTGCACTGAGACAAGTACAGGCGGCCAGGGCAACGGTGATGGCGGAGTATATGAGGTATACGGGCCACTCTTCGGCATTCCAGCCGAGGAACTCTTCAGTATAGAAGAGGCGGAGGTACAGCCCTAGCGAAGAGAAATATGGTCAGCTCACACGATCAAGACATTACAGGGTCAGACTCACATTTAGGGGCCCCGATAGCGTCGGCCTGCTGTTCCGCCGAGTCCAGCGCAGCACGGGTGCGGTGATACCATCCATCTAGGGCAACCACATCGTCCTCCAGCATGATGACATACGGGCTACCAACTGCCTCGCACGCCTGCAATAGATATGTATAGTCGAACAGAGCCTTTTCACGCCCGGAGACCTTAGCCGCCTCTGTCTCCAGGGAATGGATGTAATCGATATCGACGGTGGCAGGGTCATACAGCAGGAGCTGGTCCGGAACGTTATGAAGCCATGGCTCGGCATATGCAGGGTGCTCCGTAGGATCGGTATGTGCGATGAAAAGAATCAAGTGTATATCGGCGCGTTCTGCTTCGCTCAGCCCTTCCAACACTGTGCCGACGGAACTCTTGAAATAGCGGACTCCATGGCGGGCAATGGATGCAATTCCGACGCAAAGACCGGGCTTTTCCCCTGCTTTTGGGACTGTAGTCTCCGTGACATTATTATTCACAGACTCGATATATGCATCTGCTTCCTTGAGTCTGATGTTTGTATATTCGGGGTCGTATGCGGTCCACGGGTTAAAGAATACGGAGGTCGGGTCGCGATAGGATTGTGAGCGCACGTAAAAGGTGAGAAGGGCGTAGAATGCAAAGAAGAATAGAAGGAGTCGAAGCGCGTGAGATCCAGCCTCAGTTGCTGTCAATGCTCTCCCTGGTATAAGCATAGGGGGCTAGAAATGAGGGTGCGGACATGTCCGCAAGGCCGCCAAGGTCGTACGAATTATTCTGGTCATGGAATATCGGAGGGAATTCGGGGGGCTTGCTCTCCTATGAAAATAGCGACCGCCCTTGCCCGGACCCACAGGAGTTCTCACCCCTTGGCCGATGATATCGTTCACTCGGGGTTCGAGCGGAGCAGCTCCTTACATTCTACTAGAAGAATTTCACGACAAAAATTATAGTGGATAGCAGCTAAAGATAAGAAATCATAGTTATTAGAAAAGATAGTCCTGAATGTGGTACAGTAGGCGGTGTGATTTTAGGACGACCCCCTCCCTGTATGTACCTGATTTGAAGGCTGCGAGCATCGCAAACAATATGACCTCTGCAATAGACAGTAATTGACTACATCGTTATTATGGTGCCAATAAAACAGACACCCTTTATGGCTAGACCATCGGATTCAAGTTTGTGATTTCGATCTTGGGTGGTGGTCCTTGGGGGTAAACAGTGATCATTGCTGTTCCCCGCCCATAATCCTTTAGGACCAACTAAAAGCTATATAGTCATAATTAATGGGGATACCAATCACATGGGCTTCACATTGTATGGATTGTTGGGCGGATTTAGGGCGCAGAAAGGATTCTGAGGCCAGATCAAACAGATATATATGTGAAGCCACTTCCGTCCCGACAAGGATCCCCGATCAATCTAGTCTCTACCATACCTCCTTTCTCTTATACTGTTACACCATACATCCAACATGAAGTTTTTCAGTGTTTTCTTGCTCGGTGCCATGGCTACCCTGACCTACGTAGGAGACATTAATCACCTCCATGCCCGCTGCATTGCTAGTATGTGTACACGCTTGCTGAGATTGGATCCTGGGATGTCTAACGCAAAATTTCTCTATCCATAGGTGGCCAATCATGTGAAGAAGACACCAGTTTTTGCTGCTCAGTTTTGACATGCGAGCAGGCACAGAATCCTTCGACAGGTACTGTTGAAAATCTTTGCGTGAATGAATTCCAGAGAGGAGAATTGATTAAGATTAAGGCTAGACTGAATACAACTGAGCTCATCTTAGCTTCACCCGAAGGCTACTAATCACCGGCCCTGCGTAGAAGGGTGAGCTCGTCGCCGGTGTCCCCCGTCGGCCCCTCCTCCTCCACCGCCGCCAGCCCTAACCAAATCATAAAGCATAGATCATATGCTCTTAGGAAGTACTTTCACTAGAAAACCGGACGACTTGAATATCTCTAGTAATGAAGCGACTGCCTTACGCGGTCCCTCTTATATGAGCGGCGTATCTTGAAAGTAAGTAACAAATGATGCAATCGGATCATGTGGGGAGGAAGAGCAATGCGTAGAGCGATAGATTATAGCGACACATGAGGTGCAAATAGAAGCCTAAAAGGAAGGCTCGATTTTCGGGATTTGTCCGAACCAAAGACAGTTTTTATTGAATCATAGGTGAGAGATATACCCACTTAAAGGATTCACTCGAAATCGCAATAAATATTTCGATATTATTTCTTTTTCTACCAAAACAGTATCGAAGGTTGGATTCTAGAGCAGTCATTCGTTGAAAATCCTAAGATCGAAGAAGCAAAACCAATCATCCAGCAAAAGAATTACGAGTCGTTTCAATATGAAAGTAGCCATAGAAAGAAAGGTCTAGCCCAAACACGCAACCTTAGAAATGAATGTTAGCATTCCACTGTTTGTTAGGCCATTTACCATCTCCTAGGTTCCGTGTGACAACTATTTCCGGAGAAACTGGCTCATCGTGATCTTTGGCCATTTCAGGATGGACTGCAGATATCAGAAAGTGACTAGTTTTGTGCCAACCGGCAAAAGCTGAGCCAGCCTCATCAAATAGCTTCCTAAGCCAGTTCCCGATGTCCTTGTGTGCAAGAGTCTTCAAATTATCAAGAATTTGCGACGAAGTACCTTTTGATGCAAGTATTACATAAGAGGTCATCACACGTAGCGACTGGGTAGGCTCATAGATATAAAGTGTCGTCGTGATTTGAAATTTGGCGAGAGGATGCTGAGTGAAGGCACAATTATGCCCGATGCCCTTATGGATGTCGCTAAATCTCACAATGTGGAACATATCATGGTCATGAAATTCTCGACATTTCGGTAGCCAGTCTTTCTCTGATTTTACCATGTCAATCAAGTGATGTAAATCATGAAATCCAATGCTGAAGCAAGGGCAAATATAGACCTCGCCAGCATAAGGCATACAACAATGTCGCGTATGGGGTTCACGCTGGGATAAATATAGACTTCGAGAAACCGGCCATATATAGCGTGAAACATGCCATTTTGAGTATGGGTGTAGCTTCTGGCAGCAATGGCAATATTTCCAGCGGCCATTCTCAAGTCGGTGAAGTATTTCTGTTCTTAATTGTCGATTGAAAATGACCTCGGGACAGCGTGCTAGAGGTGTTTCACGTGGCACAAGATGAGAAAGCTGTATCCCACGGGCCTCCATATAATCATTGAAGCAAGAGTAGATATGTTTGCAGCTCAGTGAGAAGGAAACCTGATCTGAAATTGAGAGACTTAAGAAAATTAATCTCATTAGATCTAGAGGCATATTCTGCGAGACGTGAGGCTTTGGCTGGGGTCCACAAAGGATGGAAGCAAGTCTGGTGAATCGCCTTCTCGCATGTTGGATCTTCATTTTGTATGATCGTCTGTCTGCGTGTGTGTCCAGAACTTGGTTAAATGACTGATGGCTAAGGAGCTCTTAGCTAGCGAGGACTTTTGCTGTTTCCCGAGCTCAAATTTGGAGGTTAGAGTTGTATCATGCGCGAGGGTGTAATATGATGGGACTACCTTAGTAGTGGCTAGAAGGACCGCCTATATAAGCGACTGGCCTACCCTAAAACGCCATAGTAAATGCATCATTCTTACAACTCGTTATTTCCACAATAGGGTTAGTTAAGTAACTAGGGCCGGTACTTGGTCATCATTTACCTATTTTTCTACTAGGCAAAATCAATTAATTCCCCCTAGACACTATTCCATTCTAGGTCGACTAGTGGCACCCAATAGTAATACTAGAGCGTATTTGTACATCGATATTGCTTATGTCCGAGACTTAGAGTGTGGTGCCCTAGTAGGTAATAATATTGGAACGAATCGGCCTAGAGCCCTAAGCACCTTCCTCCGCAACGTTGTTTCCCGAACACCTACGTTTAGCCCATCGACACGGTCCCGCTCTTCATACCTCAAACTCCCTTGCTCTGATTGTCGCCTTCTCCCTTCATCTCTCACCTAGCTATAGCTCCGAGATGGGTGAAGTTGAAATACTATCGCTGACGGCGATCTTCCTGGGCATCGCCGTTCTATTCCTACAATTCGAGGTATGTCCTCAACACCGTTATTCTGGAATCGAGGCTGATGACCCCAAAGTCCTAGAGACTAGCGAAACGGATTGATAAGTTGGAAAGCAACAACCAACCTCGATGGCCATCGGCTCGACCATAACTTCTCAACTTCGGTCTCAGTCGCATCCCCCGTGGTCCGGTTTTTTTCGCTCAAGATTTTCGTCTCTGCCTTGATCCTGGTTCTGCGTCTTCGCCACCCCGGTCACTTTTACTAAAATGATTTTCATATGGAGCTGGAGTCGAAGATGATGAGACTGAAACGCCGGGCAGCAACCTCCTTTACGAATTGAATAGTCCGTTAAGGATAAATGGCAGTTAGAGACAAAGCAAACAAGGTGTGAATACATTGCTCTTCAGGATATTTCTGACTGTCAAGGAGAGAGGAAAGGTGTGCATTGAGTGATATCACCTAAAGTGCCAAATATACCACCAGTTGTATGACTTAGCCGAGCTCGCTGTACAGGTAGTCGCCCTGACTGAAAGAATCCGCACCCAAAGCCGACCATGCCAGGCTCATTCGTCTGGTGCAGTTGGTCTCTAGGTAGAGGCGGCTGTTGCAAGTAAAGAATTCTCCTTTGGACTGCGTTACCCAGTTCGGGGGCGTGGTAACGAACGGAGGATGGAGCTCGAGGTTCCTCCCCCGCCACCCAAAAACTCTCCAGACTTCTCACCCACACCCAAAGAAAACTTGCGTCGCCATTTTAAAGTAGCAAGGGTGCTAAGAGCGCATTGAGAGACGGCTGACAAAGTACGTGGCTCAAGCATAAAAAAAACATACATGCAACAGCCAGGATTCGCTGGTGGTCACCCACCCAAAACTGGCCGGCGTGTGGCTTGTCTGCGGCCAGTAGTCGGGTGGGTGTCGCCCGGGTGAGTTTAGGGTGAGAAGTGGGTGAGCGTCGCGCGACCGGGGGTGAGAAGGGTGAGTGTGCAATAGACAGGGTGAGATTGGGGTGAGAAATCACCCCTTGGTCGCGCGACTGCTGCACTGACCCTCCTAGCTGAGCTTGAGTATAAGTTCTTTAGTCTACCTGTCTCTTCCTGAAACACTCGCTCTCTTAGCATCTGCACACACTCGATGGATTAGGCTTCGGGCCAAATATCTTGAGTTCCCTCATTCTCGTTTGTTTAGCTAAGTCGCCGAATATTTATAGTTCCGATGCTAAGATCCTATTGGGATGCCTATTGCTAGGCATCCTATGATCTCTTTCTCCATCATCCGACTTAACTGGACTAACATATTTCTAGACCCTAACTATCCCTCTAACAAAGACCACGATTTGAATGAGTGACATAGGAATGAGCGTGATATAAGGGTTGTGTTATGGGACCTTCGTACGAAGTCCTGCTATTGTTCTTCTATGCATAAAACCATCCATGCATAGTATACTCCCAGTGCAGCGACTAACTATACCCACATCCGACAAGTTATGATCGAATTCGAGAAATGCCCATCACCAACCAATCAAGTATTAATAATAAATCCCTGAAAAATTGTCAAACTTGGTTCGAGAACTGGGAGTGAGTCAGCCCGTGTTTAGTTAAGCAACGGGAGTCTCGGGCGGTCTTCTTGCTAATCGGCTTATCGGCTTCGGTTTCTCTGGGCTTCGGATCAGTTCATGTGCCGTCATCGGCCCTATAATAGACGCCACTCTTATCTTTTTCTTCAACACCTGCACACAACTTCCCACTTCACACACCCTTCCAATACTCAAATCGACAACCCGAAAACTCAATAACCATGTCTAAGGGTCCCCAAGTCGGCGACAGCTTCCCCGAGGGCGTTGTCTTCTCGTATGATTTATTTACTCTCATTCCCTCTTGCCCCTCTCTGACTAACAGCCTTCTTCAGGTACATCCCCTGGTCTGAGGAGTCCGGCGAGATCACCTCCTGCGGCATCCCGATTAACTACAACGCCTCCAAGGAATGGGCTGACAAGAAGGTCGTCGTCTTCGCCCTGCCTGGTAAGTTTTTTGTTACTTGTATTGTTGCCGCCACCACTTAGACTAATATTCTGTATCTAGGTGCCTTCACCCCCGTCTGCTCCGCCAACCATGTCCCCGAGTACATCGCGAAACTGCCCGAGCTGCGCGCCAAGGGCGTCGACGTGGTTGCCGTGCTGGCCTACAATGATGCCTACGTGATGAGCGCCTGGGGCAAGGCGAACAAGGTTACCGGCGACGACATCGTACGTCCCTCCCCCTTCTTTCAACTAGTGTCTGATACTAACAGTCCTTTAGTTGTTCCTCTCCGATCCGAACGCCAAGTTCTCCAAGAGCATTGGCTGGGCCGACGAGGAGGGCCGTACCTACCGCTACGCCATCGTCCTCGACCACGGCAAGGTCACCTACGCCGCCAAGGAGAAGTCGAAGAATGTCCTCGAGGTCTCGAGCGCGGATGCTGTCTACAAGCACCTGTAGGACAATTGCGACGATTGGTTGATTGGTTGATGGACGTGCATCTATCTGCCTGGCGCTTTTGTTTTACTCTCCTCTCTCTCTCTGGGCTGTGCTGTGATAGATATTAGACCCGCCCGGATTGATTGCTTGCTTATGCTTATGATGGTGTGGCCTCGATAGAAATAGATTAATGATACGATGGTGAACACTTTTACTATCTTATTGCGTTGTTTGGTTGTATACTTGTGAGCAATGGTTCTGATTGGTTGCACGCAGCCGTGTTGCTGTCAGTGCGCAACAATAAGCATCACCAGGATCGGCGCGAACAACCCCCTAGGCATAGCGGGTGCTTGACACGATGATTTATATTTCATTAGTCGTCTGTTGACAGGTCCGGTACTCCATAATGGGATGCATTGTTATACAGTAACGAAGAAAGTGGTATCTCGCAGAAAATGAAAAAAAGAACATCGCCAAGCACGCACGAACCCCCCAGCGATAAAATCCCAAGTACAACCACCCAACTCCTTAGATAATCAGGATGTATACACATTATGTACGCCTCGCAGCCACAACAGGAGATCTAGACTTCGACTTTCGTCGTTCATCAGTTGTGCGCAATCCGCGACTCAGACCACCGCCCAGTCCCCGAGCCAGCGATGCAAACGGGGACGTCTCCTGCCACAGATCGAGGTCATCTTCCAATTGTCCGGCCGCGAGTTTAGATGGTTGCGCCAGACCTCCATCGGCGGGTGCGGGCTCAGATCTGCGGCGGCTCTGGCGTTTATCGGGTTGTTGGCTGCGACGGGTAGTAGATGAGGAGGGAGGTTCCGGCTTGGGACTCGCGGGTGCGACAACATCAGGCTCTCTCCATGTTGGCATGGGAACGTCGGCGGTTACGTGCTCGGAGCAGATACAGCCGCATCCTGTAGGACAGCTGGGTAGGGTCTTGGTGGGATCGGATTGCTCGAGGGGACTGTTGAATCGATCGCCCGGTGCGAGGAACCATTGTCGATGACAGTCGAAACAGCTTACATGGCCGCAGTTGAGACAGGGGACCAGCATGCCGTCTACGACTTCGGCGCAGATAACGCAGGGCAGTCTAGTTGGAAGTGGTTGTGGCGGCTTGCAATTCCGACATATCGTCGACGATGGTGAAGTGGCGGATTGACGACTTGACCGGGTTGAGTCGGTCTTCTGGCTTGGCGGGGTGAAGATGGATAGCTGTAGAGCATGGCCGCAGCCCATGCAGTGGCGCTGGAAGTCCAGACCCTGCAGGTCCGAGGTGTCGTTCCATATCGCAGTAACGGCCGAGCCGTGACGGGTCCAGTACGAGCTCGCGTGCAAGTCATCCTCGCGTTCACCAACCGTACCGATCTTGAGGACCTCACTTTCCTGGACGGGCAGGTCCCAAATTGACAGCAGGTCCGCATACGCGGCCCGGTACGATCGGTACAGCCACTCCTTGTTACGGTCGAGAAGGGCGTCCGATGCGGCTGCGCCGTCCCCATTGAACGCGTTTTGGTTTTTGAACGTGACTTTGAACCTCCCAGATAGTTTGGCCGGTTGAGACGGTCTGTCGCTTTCGGTATCGGAGTAGGTCTGTGAGGTGATAGTAGTGGAAGAGGTTAGATAGCTGGGAATCGCTGGTTTATTGGTGGTGGACCCTACCCCTTGACCCGCGGCGGCGCCCGGGCTCTCTCCCGGACTGGGTTTCTTCTTGTTGGCTACCGGCGGCGACGCTGACGACGGTCCGAAGGTGAATGACCGGGAAAGTGATGATGCCAACGCAGATCCAAATCCCCCGCGCGACTGGAATTGCTGGTCCGGCGATGCAGCAATGGAAACGTTGTGGCTCTGAGATTTGCGGTCAATAATGCCTCGTGGGCGAGAACCGTATGGAGGTGTAGTGCCAGTCGAATGTGATGGAGGTGTCCCGTCAATCCGCCAAGTCTCGCTTGACGATCGCGCCGGGGTGTAGGTATCTCTGGGTACCGATGACGCGGGTGTAGGGGCCAGTGACTTGTTTTGCGCAGTAGAGCCACTAGACGAAAACTGCAGGGAGAAAGTAGAATGTTGTCTCGAGCCCCTCAAAGGGGATTTATGCGGTTCGTCTATAGCTCTGCTCTCTGGGTTGGCCTCGAGAAGCACACACGAGAGCATAGCTAACATTTGGACATCACCGATGCGCTCAAAATGATCGAACAGAGCGGGTACTAGCCAATGGCTACCGAGTGGATGATCCCCCCATCGGATCACGCTATTGGCGACGCCTTTGTAAAGACCGGAAGCAAGCTCGTCTTTCCTCTGCTGCAGCATACGCCGCACTCCCAGCCCCGATTCCAAAGGTGTGCCAGGGTTTCTTCGCACATGCAATATGAGCTTGATAAGCCCCCAGATTTGGGCCAACTCGTAGGAGCCAGCATCCAGAGCGACGGCGGCGTTGTGGGCACAGACATCTGTTCCTTTACCGGTGATGCGGTACTTGCTCGCCAGCTCCCGCTTCACAGGTAACATATCGCTCAAGTCATGAATGGAGACGACGTTCTTGGGTGCTTCGGCCGACTTAACGGTCCCAGTTCCTCCTGTCGATCGTTGAGAATTATCTGTAGACCGCGGGCGATGTATACCCAAACTACCAGCGCTTCGCCAGGTTTGCGGTGCGGGAAAGCGGGTCTGCAGCCCAGCAATAATGTCATCAGATGATCCCGAAGAGCTGGAGCTCTCTGACTCTGACTCGTCGGAATAATCAGAGGTGCCATCATCGTCCGTGCTGGTCATGGTAATGGATCCGCGTGGACCAGGGGAGGCTGTTTGGAGGCGACCAAAGCCTTCAAAAACCTTGCCTGATCGTGACAGACGGGTCATTTCTTTGAATCCCAGGTTTTCAAACATGTCCATTGATTTGTCTTTCTTGGGTGGGAAAAAGCAGACGAGGCGACCGTCGTTGGCCCACAGCGCACCGCACGCCTTGGCTACCGGTACCATGACGTTCGCATTGACTGGCCGCAGCAGTTCAGTACTCATCCCCAGCTCCTGGCTCTGTGTCATGCCCACTTCGTCCTCGTCGCTGGAGTCGCCTTCCAGTTCGCCGTTCATCAGAGACTTGATATTCTCACCAGTCTCGCCGAGAATCCACGCGATACTTTCCTCCAGGCTGCTTTCACCCAAAAGGTAGCGAACAGCACCTTCGAGGCATCCTCGCATACGAGACATGTAGGTCTCCGCAATGGTTCGCAACTCTGCAGAAAGTTTTCCGGCTAGTTCATCGGTCACCGCTGCGGTTTTCTGGATGTTGAATGTCGGCGTGGCGCTCTTGGGGTAGCTGACTGGGAATTTGATGTCCACTTTGAGGAAGAGGGAAGCGCCCTCGGCACCCCAGGGTCCGTTCAGGGATATAGTGATCTTCCGTTGGCGTACATCGACCGAGTCGAAAACCACCTTGGTGAACTTTTCGCCGACATGGCTGATTTCGTCGCCCAGAGTCTCGATATCCCAACCCGATATCTTCACACCTCGCATCCAGGTAATCGGGTTGGTGTCGGCCCTCAAGTTCGAGCGTGGCTGCATGCCGACCCGGGTGTCGGCGTGACCTCCACGTGCCCAACCGCGCGAGTAGGGGACGGATATCGCATTCATCCCGGTTCCAGCACCTCCATAGTGCGAATTTGAGGCGTTCGGAGCGATGGATGAGGCCGATTCGAGGTCTTCAATGTCCAGGTCTGAGTTCACATCACGGAAACTTTTGTATACCGCGCCTAAGCGGGTCACGTTCCGTGTAGATATAAAGGATTTACCCTTCTCGTAGCCGACGCGTTGCAGTATATCTGGGTCCACGTGGTGCAGACGAAGCTCTCGGTCCGCTCCCCAGGTCACGAGCTGAAATTCTCGATGGTCAATTCCGTCCGCCACGCCTCCGCGGGGCCTCCACAGAAATTCCTTCACTTGGCCTTTGTGTCCGGGAAAGCTATGCACCAGAGGTAGGTCCTCGTCTGGGTTGCTGCCCTCGCCAGCTCGCCGGCTGTACAGGTGAAGGTCATTGTTACCCCGTTGCGGCATCGCCAGCACACCCCAGCCAAAGGGAGTGTTTCTCGCTCGCCAGACTGGAAAGGGGGTTCGAATGAGCTTTTCGGGTGTTTCTCGTTCCGAGGTATAGTCCCAGAACTTGACGGTTTTGTCCAGAGAGCAGGTCACTATAGCGCCCCGTCGGACACGATTCCAATCCACGCCATAGATCTTGGTGTTGTGAGCTTCGATGGACCGTATCGGATATGCGCCCATGCGATCATCCCAAATGCGAAGAAACCGGTCGTGGGAGCTGGCAATGACATGAGGGTCTTGTCGGTTCCATTTGACCTGCGTGGCGCCGGTAAACCAATCCGAAAATGAAATCGCCGGTCGCGACGGAGTGCGCAGGTCCCAGCAGTGAATGAAGCTGTCGACCGCACACGTCGCGAGGATATCCGGGTGGAACGCGGAGAAGTTGATGTCGGTGATGGCTCGGGAGTGTGCATGGAGCACATGCTCGATTGAGTTCTGCCAGGTCTTCATAGCCAAGTTCCAGACTAAAGCCTTCTGGTTGGATGTGCTGACCACCCAGTAGTCGCGCGAGGCGAATGGTGACCACTGGACATCGGCCACCTCCCACGGGGTATGGTGAGGCAGATAGCGCGGCGGCGAGTATGGCGAGTCCAGATCGATGACATGGAGGCCCTCCTTGGAAGCCAGCACCACATCTCGACCGCATGGCGAGATAGACATGGACCCAACGGGCTGCTCCACATGAAAGGAGCTGTCCTCGTCGAAGGTCGGGCTCTCAAAGGCCGACGCCAGAGGACGTGGCTCCATGGAGCTCGACATGCTGGCGTCTTCTTTCTGCTGTAGCGGATTATACCGACCCTGGTGGATCCATGTTTGCTGGATGTCAATCCCAAACTGACCACGCGAGAGAGCTGCGATAACGAACGCGGAGGCCTCACTGTGGCTGATGATCCGCAGGGTGGCTGGTGCACGTGTGGCTCGAGTTTACTACGGGACCCGACAGAGACACACTCCGCAACGCCCCTCGGCCGTGACTGACGTTCGTATCGTGCTTCTGGATTGTTGATCGTGTCGCGTCCTTCGTTCGTTTCCCTCTTCCCGTTCGGTCTTTTGACAAGATTGCCTGCAGGCGTCTTGTCTTGTCGTATCCACGGGCGAGCAGACAATACTACCCGTCGATCTACCCCAGTGGTGATACGATTCGACATGGCCTTGCCCAAGCGGATTATCAAGGAGACAGAGCGCCTGATGGCGGAGCCGTGAGTGTCCGTCTACTGTCTGACGATCACCGCTTGCTGACTGACTGGGATAGTGTCCCCGGTATCAACGCAGTGCCTCATGAAGATAACCTGCGATACTTTGACGTCTCGATCCATGGCCCCGCCCAATCTCCCTACGAGGGTATGTAGACTCAACTTGGCATCGGTTTTGGCAATCGCTAACTAACTCTCACCAGGTGGCATTTTCCGGCTCGAACTCTTCCTGCCCGATGACTATCCGATGACTCCCCCCAAGATCCGCTTCCTGACCAAGATCTACCACCCGAACATCGACCGTCTGGGACGGATCTGTCTGGATGTGTTGAAGAGTGAGAACTTCCTTTTCCCCTCTCAAAGCACCATTTCTAATCACAACTCGGCGTTAGACAACTGGTCCCCCGCTCTCCAGATCCGGACGATTCTGCTGTCCATCCAGGCACTGCTCGGAGCCCCCAACCCGGACGACCCCCTCGCCAACGATGTCGCGCAGCGGTGGAAGGATGATGAGCCGGCGGCGATCCAGACGGCCAAGGAGTGGACCCGGACGCATGCCATGACCTGAAGCGAAAATGTGATGTGACCATGAAGCTTGTTTGCTGGCATCCCGAGTGTCTTTGATAGGATGGAGGGAGGGCGTTGTCGGTCTCTCTCGTTTTATCCGTTATGAATTACACGTGCATAGAACAATGTTGTTGTTTCCAAGGCTCCTAAAGTGGTAGAGACGTAGTAGCTGCAATGGCTGTCGTCACGATTGAACCAGTCAAGTGACTCGATGAGAAAGACCAGAATGATACCCGGTCCTCAATGCGTTTGCCATTAAACGTAAGAAGTAACGACGACTAGATAAATCAGTAATTTACGGTCACTAATAAAATAACTAATCTTGGTTGTAGATGTCGAGTCTAGTATACAACCGAAAACGGCAAGGGCAATCCACATCACGTGCCCCGCTTAGCGAGCGTCCACAATCAGTCAGCAGCGAGTCACACCCGCAATCCCGCGCATTTCGATCTCCCAACAACACTTGAACCGCCAACCCACCGTCTTGCGCATCAACGCCCACCCGTCAAGATGCGTACCTACGACGACTCCTTCAGCGGCCAGAAGATCTACCCCGGCAAGGTGCGTTTTTTTCCTCACTGAGAGAGACTGTGCCACCAATCCAATCCCCGAATTCGCCATCCACCGTCCACCCAGCCCGGTCGGCAGGATGAATGAATGAATTATGCGACAATCACACACACACAAACCGGAAGCCAAATCTTGATGCTAATATGACTTTTTTTTTGCCTACAGGGTAAGCTGTTCATCCGCGGTGACAGCAAGATCTTCCGCTTCCAGAATGGAAAGTCCGAGTCGCTCTTCCTCCAGCGCAAGAACCCTCGCCGGATAGCTTGGACTGTTCTGTTCCGTCGCCAGCACCGCAAGGGTATCTCTGAGGTCAGCCATCCCCTCTCTCCCCTGATTCGGTCAATTTCAATTTTTTGGGATGTGTGGTGGGACAATATGACGACTTGCGGATGAAGTCATGAACGAGGAAGATCAAAAAAGACGCACACCACAGGCTCATGCAACCCCCAAAAACACAAACGCTGACCGGGAATTTGTGCCATACAGGAAGTTGCCAAGAAGCGCACCCGCCGTGTTGTGAAGCACCAGCGCGCCGTCGTTGGCGCCTCCCTGGACGTGATCAAGGAGCGCCGCAACCAGCGCCCCGAGGCCCGCGAGGCCGCCCGCAAGCAGGCCATCAAGGACGCCAAGGAGAAGAAGGCTGCCTCCGAGAGCCGCAAGAAGGCCGAGAAGGCCAAGAACGCTACTAAGGGCGGTGCTCAGCGCATCCAGAGCAAGCAGGGTGCCAAGGGCTCTGCTCCCAAGGTTGCCGCCAAGAGCCGCTAAGCTGAGGTTTCTGATGGTGGATTGTTTGGGATGGGATGCGTTCTATGATGGAAAGGAAGCTTGTGGCCTGGCGGGACGGTGCTGTCTTTCGCCAGTGCTGGTCTCGACTTGACTCGACACTCTTACTACCTTGTTTCTGAATTATCTTTGTGCATGCAGCAAAATGGGAACAATGGATTATCAAAATGATTTCAACTCCTATCTTCCAGTGGATTGACATGGTCACCTCGACATGTAGGCTGATTGCACTGTTTGTCTACCATACCATTCATCATTCAAGGTAGATAACTCTACTGTAATCCTGCGACATGTATGCTCGTAGCAACTACTATCCCAGCCCATCGAATGTTACAGAGCAACGGAACAATGATCGGAGAAGATGATCATAGTTACAGGATAAATGCCCAACACACAATTTCAATTCCTGCCTGGCTACATTATTGCGTACCCCTCCTCTATAGAAACAACACGGCCAAGGATTTTCTCCAGTCTCGCAAGGTATACCACCGCGGATGCCGTCCCCACTACAATCCCAGCTATATGACGGACCACGATGGGAACGAAATTAGCACACTCTATCCATTATGTGCGGCAGATCATCCGATACGATACGATCCCCTAAAACGCCATGCACCAAACAAGAAAAAGAGAAAGACTCAGTAGTAATGAGCCATTTCCAGGCCGGCGCGCTTGAAGCCGCACTTGACGTAGAAGCCCTCGTTGACCTCGGAGCAGTCGAGGATACTCTGCAAGAACCAGTCAGTCACCCATCACCCACAGAGGAAAGAAACGAAACGAAAACGAAAGAAAAAGGACGAACGCACCTTATAACACCCAACCTTGGCAGCAACATAATCCAACGCCTGAATAATCCTCAATCCCAACTTCTTCCCCTGCTGTCCCTTCTCAACAGCAATATCCTCAATATGGCCCACAAGACCGAGCTCATGGATAAACTTGCGCTCGACAATCAAGCTCCCCGTACCAACGACCCGATCATCGCCATCACACACAACAAGCAGGTAATACTCGTCATTGCGGGAGCAGATCCAGTCGAACCGCGCGTCCCACTGCTCGGCGCTGATGTCACCGACGGTTGTCAGGACACGGAGCACGTCCAGGTAGCCCCTGTGGTAGTCTGAGCGGCGGAGCGGGCGGATTGTGTAGTCTGTTGGGAGGACGGCGATTATTTCGGGGCTGATCAGGCTGGAGGGGAAGAGAGGGCCGTCGATGTTGTCTTGAGGGGAGCTGATTGGGGTGATTGTGGAAGACATTGGGGGTTTCGCGGGGCTTGTATGGAGCGTGGGTGGTGTGATCGGTTGGGCGGTCATTTTTGGGAGGTGGTGGTCGGGGTGGTGGTTGTGATGGTGAGTCCGCCTGGTCAGGGGATGGTTGGTGGTGGTGATGGAGGGGTGTGTTTGTGTTTCGAGTAGATTGAGATAAGAGTAGGGTAGTCGGAGTGAGTGGACCAAGCTGGTTCTGGGGAGATTGAGAAGATAGAGAGAGGAGGGAGATGCGAACAAGAGACAAGAAAGGAGCAAGGAGGAAGAAAGAACGATGTGGAATGAAGCCAGAAAAAAAAGCGGAGGTGTCAAAGGATCAACACCGGTTCGCCGCTCCGAAGGTGAGACACGCCCAGGGGCAGTGCTATTAATACATGCCGCACTGAACCATGAATTGGGTCATTGGGAATGGAATGTGTGGGTGGGGTTGATTTCTTGTCGTTGTTCTTCCTTTTTTTTATTTTTACATACTGTACTTGTCGTCTATTCATGCCGAAAACCTGAAGATGCTATTTATAACTCCGATCGGATCACTACTGTCTTCCATCTGACCAAAAAGAATGCTTCAATTGTACAGACCCAACGGGTTATCTATCTATCACATAGATGGCGGTGCAATGCACCTATTTCTTCTCCTTAGGAGCGAGCATCAGCTCGGGACGAACGTGCTTGTCAAAGTCTTCCTCGCTGAGGGCCTTGAGCTCCATCGCGCTCTGCTTCAACGTCAGACCCTTCTTGTGAGCGTTCTTAGCCACCTTCGAGGCCATGTCGTAGCCGATCACCGGGTTCAGGCAGGTGACCAGCATCAAACTGATAGAATCAAAGTTAGCAATGCTCCAATCAATAACTATACAATACAGCAGAAAAGAGGGAGGTCCGGGTTGTTGGGGAGGATATTTACCTCTCGTGAAGGAGCGAGTTAATGCGCTCCTCGTTCGCCCCCAGACCATCCACCAAATGCACACGGAAGCTATCCATGCCATCAGACAGGATGCGCACGCTGTGCAGCAGGTTGCGAATCATGACTGGCTTGAAGACATTCAGCTCGAACTGGCCGTTCATGCCACCGACAGTCGCAGCGACGTGGTTACCCATAACCTGAGCGCAGACCATAGTCAGGGCCTCGCACTGGGTGGGGTTAACCTTGCCAGGCATGATGGACGAGCCGGGCTCGTTCTCGGGCAGATTCAGCTCGCCGAGACCGCAGCGCGGGCCGGAGCCGAGGTAGCGCACGTCCTGGGCGATCTTGAACAGCGAGCAGGCGAGGGTGTTGAGCGATCCGGAGGCTTCGACGACGGAGTCATGCGCGGCCAGCACCTCGAACTTGTTCGGCGCGGTCTTGAACTCCGTGCCGGTCATCTTGCTGATCTCGGCCGCAACGGCTTCGTCGAATCCCTTGAAGGTGTTCAGTCCCGTGCCCACGGCCGTGCCGCCCTGGGCTAGCTGGCGCAGGTGAGGCAGGGAGGTCTGGACGCGCTCGATGTTGCGGTCCAGCTGGGCGACGTAGCCGGAGAACTCCTGGCCGAGGGTGAGCGGCGTGGCGTCCTGGAGGTGGGTGCGGCCGATTTTGATGATGTGCTCGAAGGCTTCCACTTTGGTCTGGAGGGCATTGCGGAGGTTCTTGAGCGATGGCAGCAGTGTGTTCTCCAGCTCGAGCACGGCGGCGATGTGCATAACGGTCGGGAAGGAGTCGTTGGACGAGGCGGACATGTTGACGTGATCGTTAGGGTGGACGGGCTTCTTGGAGCCCATCGTGCCGCCCAGGATCTCAATGGCGCGGTTGGAGATGACCTCGTTGGAGTTCATGTTGGACTGCGTGCCCGAGCCGGTCTGCCAAACGACCAGCGGGAAGTGGTCGAGCAGCTTGCCCTCGGCCACCTCGGCCGCGGCCTGCTGGATGGCCGCACCGATCTTGGGGTCCAGACCATATTTCATGTTGACAGTGGCTGCCGCGCCCTTCAGGATGCCGAAGGCCTTGATCACGGGAGCGGGCATGCGGTCCTGGGGCTGGTTGATGTCGAAATTGCCCAGGGAGCTGTTGGGGGATCTCCGTCAATGTGTATTCGGGTGTGAAGGTGTGTCTCGTCTTACCGCTGGGTCTGGGCACCCCAGTACTTGTCCGCAGGGACCTAGAGAATGAATGGTCAACCCCAAAGCCCTGCCTGACATCATTTTCGAGGGAAATACACACCTGGATCTCACCAAAGGCATCGCTCTCAATCCGGGCGGAAGACTAAACCGTCAGTATCACCCATGACCCGAAATGGATAACAACATACCATTCTAACAGTTGTGCCAAAAGCTCTCGCGGAGTTGACAGAAGAGACAGACTGCAGGCGGGGGAAGCTCGACTGTGGTAGTAGTCGGCTATTGCTGTGCAGTCGGGAAGCCCAGGCCGGCGCACGCGCGCACAAGGGCCGAGCATGTGCGAACGAGCGCACCGCGGCACGCGAGACAGAGGCGTTCATGGTATCGAATCGAGTCAATGGCTCTCGCTGAGAATGAAAAATTCGAGCAAAAGGACAAAAAGGGACAAAAATGCGCCCGAAACGGACTCGGTTGTGGATGCCGAAAGTTCCCGGTTGGTGGATTACATGAATACAGGGGGTTCCGGTGACCATTAGGGCTGTAACATGGTATTTGTACGGTCATGGCTAAATGTTTACTCTCTTTGTAGTTCTCGCTGCAGCGCTTCCACCACTCTCGCGTTGTACTGTCTGCCGCCCTTGAGGATTCCGTCCAGTATCGGGAACGTGTGCGGCACTCCCGGCACCCGAATCACCTCCACGCGGTTGCCTGCCTCCTCCAGTTTGCGCGCATACGCCTCGCCCTCGTCACGCAGAGGGTCCAGCTCGGCCGTGTGCACGAGCGCCGGAGCAAGACCCGCCATGTTGGTCGCGCGCATGGGTGATATCTTCCAATCCTGCTCCCAGTTAGCATTGTCCCTGCTCCATACGTCAGTTGAGGACGGCTCACCTGGTCAGAGGCTGCCGGGCGAGTCTCGCCCAGGAAATGACGATGGAAGTACGCCATGCGCGCCGCGGGGAGGGCGGGCGTAAACTCCATCTCGCGGTAGGATTCGTAGGGGCAGTTATCGCGGTCGAAGTCGCCGTTCGGTGTGAACACACTGTGCAGGTCGCAGACGGGGACCGTCAGGACCTGCAGTCGCAGCGGGATGTGCGCATCGCGGCAGAGATGGCTGATCACAGCGGAGAGATGGCCTCCGGCTGAGACGCCGCCGACGGCGAAGCGATCGCGGTCGAGGTTCAGCTCGGCTGCCTTCTCGTTGCGGATCTGATAGACACAAAATCAGCGCTGTGACGGGGATATTGGAGGGTGCTTCATTACCCAGTTGAACGCCGCCCAGCAATCGTCTATGGCAGTGGGATACCGATGCTCAGGCGCGAGCCGGTAATCAACATCAAAGGCGACGAGATCACCATCCAGACGGTTGACGAGCCGTTTACAGAAATCGTGATCAAAGGCGAGGCCACCGAAGACCCATCCACCGCCATGGAAGTTAACATAGACCGCTCGTTTCTTCTGGTTTGGCTTAGGCGCAGGCTCAAAGATGCGGATCGTGATCTCCCCTCCCCCTGCCACGGGGCATTTCTGCTCTGTGATGCGGAAGATCCGTGGGCCGGGGGCTCGGCCGTAGCTGATGGCGTACTTGCCCGGATTGCGGCGATACTCTTCGATGGGCACTTCGTGGGTGTGTAGTCGTCCAGCGTTGAAGGCGTTGTAGTATTGAACGTAGATCGGATCGAAGCGAGGGAGTAGCGAGGGCGGGATGCTGTTGTGCAGGGGTTGGTGGATTTCCGGGATGCGGAAGTTGTGTAGGGCTTTGTCGCCTGCTGGGTTTGGAGTTGTGCTCATCGTGATGGAAGTGATGGTTGTAGAATCAGGGTGAGAGGATGCGGGGAAAGAGCTACACTAGGGACAGATCTATATCTACCGCGGTGGAAATATATATCCTGTTCAGTATACCTATACTTGATCAGCACTGAGTTAACTCACCACAGTCAATACAGTACGTCCCGTAACTGGGGTCACCTCCTACACTCTTCGATTATTTCTCAAACCCTAGTTGCCAGGATATATAGCGGGGTGTGTTCTCTTGTACGTTCGATACACCTGACACCTACACTTCGAAAACCATCGTACCTTAGCACGCGCAGATCCTTGATTAACGTAGCCCCTCAAAGCACGAGCTTATCGACGACATGATCTGCAGTGGAGAACTATCTGTATAGCAAATGGTATAGGTTGCTGGCTGCAAGGTACTGACATTCGGCGGAGTTAAATGCGAGCGATGCCGTACGCAACGGGGCGCACAGCTGGCTCAAGACCGTGTGGGCAGTCGGCGACCTTCTGCTATTAGAGATTCTAGTGGAAGGGATGATAGTCGATAATCTGGACTGAGTTCCAGACTGACATACTCAGAGTTGGTACTGTCAATACGGAGCGATTTGTAGCAATCCTGCCCTAGGGATGTAAGAACGAGTATGGTCGAAACTGGTCGTCCAAAGCAGAAGCCGCGACTGTACATCCCTACATTCTTGATCACGCGCAGACACAATATCCGTACAATTGAGGTCTTCGGCTCTTGAAGATTCTGTTCAATCTCGCTCTGCATTTCCCGATCGCCAAGCCTATCAGACGCTTGGCTTTACCCATGTGTTATTGATGAATCCGGCCTCCCTAATAGGGCCTATTTGGTCTGCGTTAAGTGGGATTCTTTGGACCTTTGATGCATTGAACAATTGAGAGGTGTCTCCATTGGTGTCAAAATTTAAAACAGACTAAGAAAAATAGGGCATCCGGAAATAAGACCCCTTTCTTAGCCGTTTCGCACCCAGTCACAGTTGAGATTTGACCCATGATGTTACATTCAGCAACGCAGACCTTCTTGTCTAGTTTTAGCTGCATTTGATTTTCATGGGATCCCGCAAAAGTGAAGTTCTGTTCCCACGTGCCTCGTATTGCGAGACTACTTTTGCTGCTTTGCAGTTAGATCGTAGCTTTAGCCTAGAGATCTACAACCTAGAAGATCTGAATAGGTATAGCATATTTTAACTTTTCATATTGCCGACTGTCGCCTAACGATGGCATTGCTTGTACAATTCTGAGCTCCAAAGGTCCTCAGATATAAAAGCTACGCCGGGGTGCTTACTTTTGTACTCTGTAGACCTAAAATCAATTCCAGGTTTCTGCTCTCAACACTATCGTACATTCCTCCTAAGTGAGATCCTCGAAACATGGTCGGTTCGAAGTCCATTGTGGCGGCTATGCTGCTGGCCACTGCCACTGCTAAATCTACTGTCTACCTTATCCGCCACGGGGAGAAGCCTTCCAGCGGAGACGGCTTGAATAGTCAGGGCGAGGAGCGTGCTCAATGCCTTGTGAATGTGTTCTCTACCAGCTCCTCTTACAACATTGGACATATTATGGCTCAGACCCCGCAGTCCGGTATGTAAATTGTTAAATCTTTGGTTTTCTTGGCTTCATATGGGTGAACAACGAAGAAGAACAAATCCATGGCTCATGAGGTAACTCACTAATTTAAATCAGATGGCTCGCAACAGCGCCCCTACGACACAGTTCTTCCTCTGGCACAGAGCCTTGGACTTACCGTTGACACGTCTTGCCAGCGTGACGATTCTGATTGTGTCCAGAGTGTTGTTGATGGCTACACTGGAGCCGGCAACATCCTTATCTGCTGGGAGCACGATGCATTGACCGATATCGTTTCTGCCCTTGGTGACGATGATGCGCCCTCTTACCCCTCCGATAGGTATGGAAAAAACGACTTTAAATTAGACGATATGATCTGACTATGACTTTAGTTTCAACCTTATTTGGACGGATCCATCCCCTTACACCTCTATTGTCAGTGTGACTAGCGAGGACTGCCCTGGTTTGGATGACTAGATTGAGAATATGTATGCCGCTTTGAAGCGCGGCCGCATGGTCGAAGCCGGCTTCTTTGGTATTTTTACTTTGCCTATCGTAATCTCAGCCATGCCGGCGGCCGCAGAAATCGTAATCTGCATCCTAGTCTCGATAACGACGGAAGCCGCGATTATTGGAGCCGCTCAGTGATTGACCAGCGAGGATAGTGTACTTGGCTTCAATCAAAGAGTGCAAGTGGCGACACCAGTTTCGGGACAGACTGTACACCATCATCCTACCAGATAGGTTCTATGAGAATAGCAATCGCTACTATGTACCACACACCAGCCTATAGCAGCACCCTGCCAGCGCCAAATGACGTCCTCGATGATGCGTGACACCCGACCCAACCCAACCACTTCCCTCGTCTTCACTCACTCACTCAACTCACCCAGGCTATCCACGGCCCATCCCCTCCCTGCCACAGCCAAAAGCAAGAAACAATACATTACCTCATTCTTGTTGACGGTACTATGGGAGCATCCGTGGCTAAGCGGGTCTTCCCGCGGCTCGGGAAAAAAAAAGGGAGCGATATCGGTTGACTCAGCGCCGGCATTTTGATCCGATCCAGCATTTCGTTACTTGACAGCTTCTTCACGATTACACTCCAATTGAAGTAAACTACAGAATTGCAACTCATACAACTTTTCCAACGCCCCCTCCAAATCCTGACACAACAACGAAATTATACGACCATCACCATGGCGAAAGTAACATCCCGCCTAAACGTGGCCCCCGTGCCACCGGACGAGATCTTCGCTCTGAACCACGCCTTCGGCGTCGACACTCACCCCCAGAAAGTGAGTCTGGGCGTGGGCGTCTACCGCACCGACGACGGCAAGCCATGGCCACTCCCCGTGGTGCAAAAGGCCGAGAAGGAGCTCGAGGCTGAGTCTGACGCCTTCCGCCACGAGTACACGGCCATCGAAGGCGATGCGCCGTTCCTGCCCTTGGCGCGGGATCTGATGTTTGGATTTGAGGGAAAGCCCAGTGAAGAAGAGGCAAAGGCGCGCATTGCAACTGTCCAGACGGTGGCCGGGACCGGCGCGAACCACCTCGGCGCTTTGTTCCTGGCGCACCACATGAGACCGCGCTCGGTGTGGCTCTCGAATCCCTCCTGGGCGAACCACATGACGATCTGGGAACTGGCTGGGATTCCGCGCAAGACGTACCCATACTACCACGCGTCGACGCGGGCATTCGATTTCGACGGCATGATGAGCACTCTTGAGAACGACGCCGAGGAAGGCGACGTGGTGCTTCTCCACGCGTGCGCGCATAATCCCACCGGTCTGGATCCAAGCAAGGAGCAGTGGATTGCCATCGCCGAACTCTGCGAGCGCAAGAAACTCTTCCCTTTCTTCGACTCCGCGTACCAGGGTTTTGCTTCCGGGTCGGTGGAAGAAGATGCTTGGGCGGTGAGGTATTTCTTTACTGAGAAGCCGGATATGGAGATGTGTGTTGCGCAGAGCTTCTCTAAGAACTTTGGATTGTATGGCGACCGCGTTGGCGCGTTTCACTACGTTACCAATCGGGCGTCGAGTAGTCTGCGCGATGTGGTGGTTAATAATCTGTGCCATTTGATCCGCGGCGAGTTCAGCATGGGTCCGCGTGCTGGCACGGCGATTGTGAAGAAGGTGCTTAGTGATGAGGCGCTGGTCAAGGAGTGGCATGAGGATTTGAGGGTGATGAGCTCGCGTATCCGGTCGATGCGTGAGGCGCTGTATGCTGAGCTTGTGAGACTGCAGACGCCGGGGACGTGGGAGCATATTGTTCAGCAGGTGAGTTGAGTCTTTCGTTCATTGTTGCAGCCTGAGTGCGTTTTGCTAATGTACATCATGTCCAGAATGGCATGTTCTCCTACACCGGTCTGACCCTGAAGCAGGTCTACGCTCTCAAGGATCAGTACCATATCTACCTGCTCAAATCGGGACGAGCGTCTATTAGCGGCCGTAAGGAGCACCTTGACTTGACACTAGATTCCAATGCTAATCCACATCAATCCAGTGAGCAAGAAGAATGTCGCCTACGTCGCGCAGGCTATCGACTACGTTGTCCGCAACGTGAACTGATTGATTGATTCAGATCTGCCCGTCTACAAGTGGCGGCTTGAGTTTCAGTTTGGGTTGCGCATTCTCTTTTCTTACACTTACGCCTTCTCCCGGTTTTGTTTCGGTTTGCAAGATTGAATTTCTGCATCTCGGGGACTAGCATGTCACTTATTTACGACATTGATGATAGAATGTATAGAAATCATATCATAGCGAGTCCGTTCGGCTTGAGCTACTTGCTCTGCTGGTAAATCAACTAATAAGTCAATGTAAGGTAAGTCTTCTTAAGTGAGATCGGCCTGAATACTGAATGGAATTGATGGTAAATACAATGCGTCTCATACAAGCTTTATCGCTGAAGAAGCTCGTTGTGGGTAACGGGGCGGCGGGTAATGGGTCCAAGGTTTGGACCCATTTGTGGGTTCTGCCGAACTCTATGCGGAGTCAACTATCAACAAGACTAATTCCATCACCGCAACCCTAAATGCGTGCATTCAAGCATTTAATCATGCTACTATCCAAAATGCATCTAAAGCAGCTGTTTAGTACCATATAATCTAGGTTAGGTGACGACAAAACCAATTATTCAACTTCGGACACCTACTCCCTTAGGTAGTCGACTAGGTAGCTAATCGAGTGTATAGAGCCCCAAATCGCTAGTAAATCTTAAATAATTGAATCGACGAGCTTCTTCAATCAAATTCCTGACTAGTCTTCGATTACAAAGCCCCCTACTCTGACAGATACGGCGTTCGATCGGCTAGTCAAAGCATGCCAACTCACGATGCATATAGCTCCAATTCTTACGGAGGGAAATCGCAATTTGCGCGCTGAAAATGCAGCACAAAGAAAAAGCGCACGAAAACGACTAAGGGCGTGGCTCATACAGAGGGCTTTAGTCTACTGGAAGCTAGAGAGTCGAGGAGTCAGGCGAATGAAGCCCAAATTGCCTCCCCCGCTCCTGGAAGCAGATGCTTTAGCTTCACAGCCGATCAGACGCGTTCCCTTGCGATGCAGCGAGTATAATCAGTCTGAGCATAAGAAAACGCTTTTGCCTAATAGGTCTGTTAGGTAGTAATTTGAAATTGATGGGGTTGGTGGTCTAATAAATCGATTTAAAATATTAGTAGTTGGTTGGGTGCGGCGCTCGCTTACCGATTAGGTTAGTGGCCCGCATATAAGACATTCTGAAAGATTGGAGTGCATCTGAGAGATTGCCCCCACACCCCCAACTTTCTTTCTTATATATTGGGCTACTCCCCTGGTGTGTTATATCCTTATACAATTTTTACTTTCTTACACAAGTCCTCGCTTGCATTACGTGAGTACGCATACCACTATCACCTCACTATATGATCATCAATATGCTTACAGTTTTGTTAAATAAAGCTCTATGGCTGATCAAGGTCGCCTCAGTGGCATCTTAGGACCATTCCGGCTCGTCTGGGTATCCGTCAAATGTAATTCTCGCTCCTTATCGTCACCTGTACCAACATACTAATTCTCCAAAATAGTGCACTACCGCGCTTTCAAAAAAGCCATTCGCAAAGACGGTCTCGCTTCTCTTACACATCCCCAACGAATTCGAGACGCTGCTGTAGCAAAACTGTTCATATTAACTTGTAAATTCCCTCTCCTCAACCCGAACCCTTACATACTGACTCGCGTGCACAGCCTCCGGTTTCATCGCCTATGAAAACACCACCTCTGTCCCCTCCCTTGTCCGCGCCGCTCAAGGCAAAATACTCGAACTCGGCCCCGGACCAGGCAACCAGATCCACCGCTACGATCCATCTCTGGTAGACATCATATACGCCGTTGACCCTAACCCCAACTTTGAAAACCCAGTTGCCGTAAAGCTCAAGAAACTTGATCTCCAAGATAAGTATAAGTTTCTAGCGTGTGGTGTTGAAGAAAGCGATATTTTGATGAGGGAGGGGATTACAGAGGGGAGTATGGATACTGTGGTAAGTATTCAGGTATTGTGTTCGGTGCGGGATGTGAAGAGTGTGATGAGGGCTCTGTGGAAGTTGTTAAGGCCAGGGGGCAGTTTTGTATTTTGGGAACATACGAGGAATAAGGATACTGTTACGGCTATGGTGCAAGGTACGTATTGGTTGTCGGATTGAGAGTGTTGCTTTGGAAGCTGTGTGGAAGGGCTAATATGAGAATAGCTTGTTGGAATCCTGCTTGGAGCGCACTCGTCGGGTGTTGTCTGAATCGGGACATCAAGGCGGATATCCTTGCTGCTGGAGAGTGGGAGAACCCCGGTGACATTGAGGTGGCCGATGATCCGTATAGTTGCTTGCCCAGGATTTGGGGAGTGCTTAAGAAGAAAGCTTGACTGGAAAACATTTTGATTATCTTCGGTTTTCTCATTACTCGCTTGCAACCCAAGATATATGAGCCATTGATCCTATTTGACGCCTTATCTGTCCAATGTTATGCCTAAAGTAAGAATCCCATACATCTAGCCTGTACTAAACTGTCACAAAAAGAGAGCCACGCATATATTATACATTTGTGTATGCCATGTTATAGGCCGGGTCTGAGACAGAGGTATCGGCCGTGGTGTCGGTTACCGATGACTTTTCCAGACGGTCACGGGCCAGGTTCCGAGTCACAATGCCAGCCGAAAGGTAGGTAATCATAACCAGAAACTCTGGTAGGGTGCCAAAGACCACTTGTACGGGCATACTGGCTGCAGATGAATATCCGTATATGAATGTTGCAGCAATAGCGTAGATGACCCGTACCCCAATAAGTGGCATAGCAACGATCAGAGCAAGAAGCAGCTATACAGATGTCAGCTAGCAACTCATGAAACTGCGCGGGCGAGGAAATTTCATACCTTCTTTTCTCCTGGAAGTCGGCAGCTGTGTGCCTTTGCTTTGAAAGACAGAACAACTAATCCAGTGACGATAAGCCAACCCATGGCAAAGACGATCATGCCAACTTTCAACAACGTGGGATTCTTGCTACTGGCGGCTGCCAGACCGATTCCTCCTCCAATGACAAGATGGGGGATGAGCGTGCCAGCAAGCCCCAGAAAAGGAGAAAGGGTTGACTGGATAGAGGCGTTGCTGGGATCGTATTAGGACCGTTAAGGTATCCACGAGAACGAAGAAAAGAGAACTTACGACTCGCGCATAATCCCCAAGGCTGCGAAAAGAAGAGGAGACATACCAATTCCGACGATGATGGAAGCAGCAGTATTGGGCTTGCCGGTTGTGGAAAGCGCATGATAGGCCATGCCGTTGCCAGCCAGGCGTAGACCACACATGATTATCACATAGAGCCAGCCTAGGATCCCGTGCTTGCCGTGTTTTATGAAGCAGTAGATTGCGGGAAGAGTAGCCAAGGCATAAAAGGCTATGTTGGCTAGTTCGAGGGCTTCGGCTGCAGATGTCATGGTGGAATGGGAGCACAAAAGTTGGCTTTGTAGAATATCCGAGTCTAATGACAGATTTGGATATAGCTTGATTCTTATAGACGAACTGAAAAGATGAGATGCAAATGGCCCTGGAAGACCCCGGCCATTTTATATCTGCTACCGTGGTTTGAAATTCTATTTTATTTTTATCAGTCTGTTCTCGACAGCCACAGAGAGCTACCTGGGGCCCACCATTTTGGGCTGTGATGTTGGGGGCTGTGAGCCAGCAAAATATTCAATGTGCAGATCAGCGCCTGTTAGGGCTCTGATTGGCTGCACGGAGCACTTGGAGGATATAGGAAAGAAACCGAAACCGAGTCTTGGCGTGGGTTTTCGCGCATGTCAAATTTGTTTGAGGACAAGAAATGCTATACTTCACTCACTCAAGATGTGAAACGGAGCTGAGTAGTCTACGGAGTGTGCTTGGCAATTGACATGAGGCGGTTGTCACCCTTGGCGAGAACGCCAGTTTGTACGATCCGCCGGAAATTGCAAGTCAAGAGATAGATACGTTCTTCTTGAAGTCCCTTATCGTGATATGGTACATTAACTATCCAAATAAAGAATCTATCACACTCCGATTCACCTGAGGAACGGTGGGTTCGCTCTTAGGTGCCTCTTTCTCTTCGGAGATTAAATTGAGAGCCCAACCCATAGTCCACTTCCACTCAGGAGGCACGATACTGTTGATGCCGCGCACCTCTCGCTCAGGGATCCCACGGAGCCACCAAGTATCCTCAATATTTTTCGCCAACGCGAAGAAGTATGCCATGATCACCAACGCCCGTGGTCGTCTCTCGTAGACAAAATCAAGGAATTCACCCGGTACGATTGGCGGAAACCCGGTGAATAGCTTGCGAACAACGAAGTCAGGCTCGTTGGTTTGTATGGCCATGTATAAACGCTCTAGATAGGCGATGGTGTCACGATATGCCTTCACTGTTTTATCATCCATCTCTTCTTCATCTCGACGATATTCGAACAGAAAATGGAACGGTTTTTTCGGGCCCTTGTAGGGTCCCTGGAACCAAATAGTTGGCTCGGCCAGCAGTAAAGGACATAAACGCGAGTTTGACCGAACCAAATCGTGATAAACCTCTTTCAGGACAGTTCGAATGCCGCGTGCCATTGAGAGCCATAACAATGGGGGCTCATATGGTTCTGTGGAAGGCTCCGACCGCAGAAATAAAGCGTATAGCGAGATTAATATAGCGTTCAGGCAAACAGATTCGCTTGTACTCTTATCAATCTTGGCTGCCACCGGGCGGTGTCGCTGAAGAGTGGAAGCGATGTAAGAATGATATATGGGGCGCAAAGAACTGGCTTCGCCTGGAAGGAGTGTGGCGCGGTGTGCCGCACCCAGGGCAAGTAATGTGTGAAGGAGAGGCTCATATTCAAAGGCCATTTGAGGTACTGAAACACCCCACATTTCACGAACGCCCGCTAGTTGGGCCGAGTTCATCGTTTTTGCAGTGGCGGTTACCCAGTGATGCATAAGGCGTAACTCAAGGATCCGTCTTCCCCCAAGCTCTGGAAAAGGCAGTGAGGGCTTGGGGGGTTCTTGGGTTGCGCATCTTGACAGCGTGTTGGATGGCTTGGGTTGAGTGGGATCGTAAAAAAGAGTTGTTAATGAAGGGTACTCGCACGCAACACGGTGGCGGGCGCAGTGACTGCATTTGGGCCGCGTTTCATCGCACTGCTAAGATGTTGGCATTCTCACCGAAACCAGTCCCCCAAACTGATATATTTCTTACCTTGACCCTGCGTGATTTGCATCGAAGACATCCTCTAGTGGATTTCCGATGATTCAACCGCGGCGGCATGGCTCTGCAGTAGATCGCACCGGAAGAAAATTAGGGCGGATCAGCTCGGTTTCGCGATAGTCAGTCTTTTTCGAAAGGTGGAGGCGCAGAAAGCAGATTTATTCCTCGAGGAGACGCAAGGGTTTTGGCTTTTCGATTTCGCGTTGTTGCATACTTTTGGGAATAGCGTGATAAAGAGGTGGTGTCAATTGGCTGGGGGAGACCCACAAGGCTGTGCCGGATCTCAATACTGAAGCCTAATCACCGACTATTTTGGCATCGATGATGACAATGCCTATTTGCAGAATCATGCTACCTATTAGAGGAACTCGCACTGCCTCAAATAATAGATACCAGCTGAGGTTTCCGAGCTTAAATACGCCTTCAAACCCCCGAGACTTGACTTCAATCCATTCAATCTACCACACGTCATTCAAACAGTTAAAGCTGTGAGACATCTATCTGTCTAATCTCAGTCCACTTTATTGAATCCTCCAATTCTTGACAAGTCACCATGGGCCTCATTAAGACTGGTCTTGCTCTGGCTGGTGGCTACGGCCTGATCAAAGCCGCCTCAAAGTAAGTTACTTCCCCTACGGCTTCTCAGGATCATACATCCTAACAATATTGGGTAGAGCTGCAAATGAATACCAAGACAAAAAGGACAAGGGCCACAGCCAAACCCAAACCCAATCCTATCCCCACCAGCAATATGGCCCCGGTCAAAATCAACAAGTGGGTTACATCTACCCAACGCAGATGGACAATGCCTATTCTCAGTCGCAATCCCGCGCCGTTGAGCCCCAAATGAAGAATGGAGAGGGTGCACCGCCCCCATACTATCAGCATGGGTCGGCCCAAGGATATCATTCTAGAACAGTGAACTAGAGGGATCGCGTGGACAGTGGTTGGAAGTGACGAGGATTATGGGTTGACCTTTTGTTTTGGGAGTTAGTGTAGCATGTGGCGTGGACATCTGGGCCATGGCGTTTTCTACGGTCGTACTCTTTGATATTGTAGTTAATGAGTCAAGGGTGCATTAGGAAGAAACTATAAGAACTATCTACGTACTGTACAATAAAACAGTAAGAACACAACACAGCAGAGGACAGAACCATCCAATCCATACGTCCTCATCGACAAACGTAACGCAAAGCAGGAACGGGATATAAGTTAAGTTGTAGACAGACGCCAAAGTGGACAGGCTCGAAAGAATGCAAGAAAGACAAGAGGGAAGAAATGCGATCTCCTAGAGCGGGACTTCGTTGAAGTCGCTCTCGCCCTCTTTGCCCTTGTTCTTGACGCTGCTGCCGTTACTCGTCGTCGGCACGGGCTCTTCTTTTTCCTCGGGCATGTTCTGTGGCAGGGTGCTTGACTCCTCTTTCTCGACACCGTTCTCTTCTTCGTTCTCATCTGGTGATGTCTCGGATCGTGCCTCGCCGTTCTGATGAACATGTTCTTCTGTGGGCATTTCCTCCTCCACTTCATCCTTGGGTGGTGGTGGCGGAGGGGGTAGGTCGTCTTCCTCGTCCTCCGAACTGACCTCGTGCGCCTGTGCTTGTGGCCGCTCGCTCGGATCACCGCCAGGGAACGGCGTCAAAGGAGGCTCGTTTGTGGTCTGGACCTGCTCGGTGCTCTGTTGAGGCTGCGAGCTGGGGCGGCCCTGGTTGGCGACGGTGGATGTCGACAGAGTCGAAGTGGTGCGCTGGTGCGAAGAACCGTGAATCGGGCCCAGCTGGCGTGCCTTCGGGTCTGCATCGAGATAATACCCTCGGACCCCGGCGATGGTCCCCTCTGTTTCGCAACGGTCTACCCACTCAGGCACCACGACAGGGATGTTCATCTCCACAGCCTTCTCCCACAGCGGGCCCCGTCCCTCCGTACAGACAAAGTGGGTAGTATCGATGCGGACGGAATCAATCATCTTGCCACCAATCCGGTCCAGTGCCGCGCCCAGAGCCTCCTTCCGTTGCGGATCGAGGATGCCGGGGGTCACGGTGATGCCTGACAAGTCGGTCATCTTGTGTGTGCGACAGGTCAGCTTCTCGGACTGGTATGTGCCAGCGGTGGTGCGTAGAACGAGGCGGAACGTGTACTCGGTGTGAATGGCCAGGCCACTGATCTTGGTACTGCGCGTCTCGAGCGGGCGGGGGATGGAGCCGGCCTTGGAGCCATTACGGTAGAGGGAGAGCGACTTGACGGACGCGGTAGCCAGGTCGATCGGGTCCCATTCCAGGACGAGCGAGGTCTGCGTGGCGTTGCGGAGGCGGAGTACGGGCGGCGAAGGGGACTTGACGCCGTATGTGTTCAGGATCCGCTTCTGAAGGGACTGGAAGGCCGATGCGCTGGCTGTTTCGGCGGCGTGGTTGCGCGCGACCGTGATGTCGACGATGCTGCCGGAGGCGATGTTACTGGGGAGGAGGACTGAGGGGAATTCAATCTGTCTGAGTGTTAAAAGGTGTTCCTGGCAAAGGTCGCAGTGAGTGCCTGGCAGACAGGCACACATCGATCACCAGGGGCAGCAACTTACAAGGCGATTATCCTGGGTCAAGAGCACGGCGACGCCGGCATCTACCTTCCCGACTGTCAAGGAGACCAACATGATGGTGGATGTTGGAGAAGGGGAAATGTTGCTGGGGGAGGTGAGAGAGTGAAAGTGGGAAGGTGTTTGGTTCCGCCAGATCGGCAGTTGGTCAGGTTCGAGGCGCGGGAGCTTCAGTCCTTTGTTCTATACTTACTTACCACCGGTATCCCAAGGCGATTATTATACGTATTCTATGATTATGGATTGATGAATGGATTACATGTTGCTAATTTTGATGAAATTGATGGATGTGAAAATGTAGTAATGTACAGCCGAGTCCAACGCCATGCTAATGCACCCACAGTAGCTATAACAGCGCCATATGATACAAGTCAGGAGAACCCACGAGTCATGGATTGTCTGACTTTGAAGAGACAGTCGCATCCTCGCCACTTGCGCTTTTCGCACCACTCGCCCACTGCCTCAAGATCCTCTCGACAAGAGAATCAGCGTCTCGCTGGACATCCTCAAAGCTACTCAGGACGCTCTGCGGACGAGGGTGGATATCAAGCGAGCCCGTCAGGTCCCGTTCATAACGAAGCAGACCCTCCGCCGTCCGCTTGCCGTCCGGATCAAACCCCTGCTTCCTCAGCGCGTTCCGGAACGCGGTGCGAGCTCGCCGGCGGCTCCACGAGCGCACCACCCCCTTGTACTCCAGAAGCTGTACGATGGACACCTGCCACCATAACGTGTTCCGGTCCCGGTGGGCGTACATGTGTGCGATTTTGGGCCGGATCGGATGGAAGGGAGAGGACAGGTAGCGCTTTGCAATGGCGGGGATTATGTGCTGCGCATTGTACCGCATCACCAGATTCTTTGAGTTCAGCTTCATTGCGAGGAGGGAAGGGAGGGAGGTTGGCTGTAGGAGTGTTCGGAGGAGTGGCTAGGGTGGCATGCTGAGGGTTTAAGCTATGAGAATCATAATAATATGTCGGACCTGAGAACAATACGAAGAAACTAGTTCAAGCGGTGTAGATGGTTCCTGAGGCAGCCACCGCCACATGGATTATGTCAGCACAGAGATTTGAACCGACACAAAGACTCGGACGGACTCCTCCCTCTTACCCTCCTACACTTCACCCACACCGGTCCCGGACCATCTTTCTTTCTTTCGTATATCTTCGTTGATCTACGAACCGACCTCCGAGACAAGTCTTCTTCTCAGGTCCCTCCCACCGCCATGCCCAAGAACAAGGGAAAGGTAAGAATGAGAACTCTGCTGCTGCCCCTCTTTGTTTGAAATGTGAAATGTGCCCGACCAACACCCCCGCCACCCCAACCATCATCACTGTCAAACAACCTAAAAACAAAGCAAATACTGACGGCTCTCAAATAGGGCGGTAAAAACCGTCGTCGTGGAAAGAACGAAAACGACAACGAGAAGCGCGAGCTGGTCTTCAAAGAAGAAGGCCAAGAGTACGCACAAGTCGTGAAGATGCTAGGCAACGGCCGCCTCGAGGCTCTCTGCTTCGACGGCGAGAAGCGTCTGGCCCATATCCGCGGCAAAATGCGTAAGAAGGTCTGGATCAACCAGGGCGACATCATCCTGCTCTCGCTGCGCGACTACCAAGACGAAAAAGGCGACGTGATCATGAAGTACACCGCCGACGAGGCCCGCTCCCTCAAGGCCTACGGCGAGTTGCCCGAGAGCGCCAAGATCAATGAGACAGATACCTATGGCCACGAAGGCTTCGAGGATAACGTCGAGTTCGACGAGGATCGCGAAAGCGAGGATGAGAAGGACATTGATGTCGATGAGCTCTAAGCTCGACCCCCTATTTCATCTCGTGCTCTCTGCCCTGCAAGAGTGCCGGAAGGCTTTTCTGCGCTCTCTTTCTGTTTCGCCACCTTCCCTCCTCCGGCTAGCCGCGCACCGTGGTTCGACAGGCTACACACCGTGAATGGCCATCCACCATTCGGCCCGCGACGCTGTTCTCCGGAGGAGAGGGTTGTGAAACTCCGCCAATTTCCCAGGGTATGAAGCAGCACAAATCGACCGAGAATCCTAGGGATTGCATTGATGTTATCAGTCTCTCCCTTCCGGATTCTCATGTTACAGAGGATATGGCTGCAACGCGCATGATGAAACTGCGTGCTTGTCTATTTGCATTGCATGGCATGCCCGTGGCTCGTCGTGCTTTGCCTTCGTTTCGAAAACGTTCCTTTTGAATAGAGTTATGAAGAAAGGGTTACGAGAATTGAAAAGTTGATCTCATGACGACGATGTGTTTGCTGTAATACAAAGTTCAAGGTAGAATACTGGCGCCATTAGCCTAGATGTTCCTTAAATTATGTTAAGAGTTCGCCATATCCACATCGTCACAACACCCATTGCTAGTAGTTACCCCTTTGTAGGTAATTGTACAAGTGTGCACTATGAGAGAAAGGAAAAGGGAAGAGAGCTGGCTACAGCTTAGCGAACTCTGCCCCAATTTGGTTGAGCAGGGCCGTATGATCCTTGCTATAAGTGTCACCATCTCTAGCGATCACTTCACGCACCCAAGGCCCACGAGGGTTAAATGAAGCCTTGAAAGCCAGGGCCCGCAGGACCAGGCCGTCGGTGCATGCAAGAGGGTCAACAAGGATGGGTTCGCCCGTCTCCTCAGACAGGCCAGCCTTGATGTCGAATGACCATAGCAACTGGGCGACGACGATCCAGATAACATTGCGGGCGAAATACCGCCCAGGGCAGGTCCGCCTCCCATAGCCGAAGACGGCCGAGGGGAGGGCTTTGAGCGTTTTGCCGTCCTCGTCGAGCCAGCGATCCGGTATGAAATTGTCGGGATCCGGGCCGAACAAGGGCTCTTCCCGGGAGATTGTCCAAACGTTGGGCACAATAACAGATCCCTTGGGAATAGTATATCCGCTGTAGGTAGTCTCCTCCTTGTTCAAGTGAGGGACGCCCTCGGGGCCAAAGGGCCGCCAACGGAATATCTCTTCGACAATAGCGGTGATATACGGCAGGTTGGGCTTGTCATCTGGGACTGGGAGTCGGTCGTGCCCGACAACGGCATCCAGCTCCCTGCGTGCCTTGGCGACGAAGCCCTGGTCTTGTGTGATGCAAGCCACCACAAACCAGATCAAGCTATCTGTAGTGCCGTCCAGGGCAGCGTCGATCATGGTACCAAGCTCGAACGCTAGCTCGTCCAAGGGCATATCGAGGCCATCATTTTCGACAGTCTTCTTGAGATGTTTTGATATATTCCAGGCGTCCGACTCCAAGCCCCGCCGAAAGTTTTCGTTGCGCAGATCATACTTGGTCGTGTAGTGATTCTCAGCCTTTGCCTGCCATGGGGCCAAGAAG